ATGACATTAATAACATCACTTCTGTCCAGTACTGGACCAGCCATATCAACCGCAGTGTCAACAAGATAGTCTGCACGCTCGTTCCCTTAAATACCCGCATGACCTGGCACAAAGATGAAGGTTAGGGCATCTGTTCATGAAGTGCTTAGTCTTGCAACCCATTCTTGCCTGATAAATCCACCTTGGATTTATTTAAGCATATTGATCGAGTCAATAACACTTAACACCGCTGGCCTGGGAAATAAAACAGAAGAGATTATTGAAATGATGGAAAAAAGGAAAATCAAGTTAATGGGGCTAGCTGACATAAGACGCAAGGGAAATAGTAACAAGAAAATACACAGAGGCTACCTACTAACATATACAGGAGGAAAAACATCGAAAAATGGAGTGGGTTTCCTGGTGCATCCGGACATATCTAACTACATATTAGACATACATTATCACTCAGATAGAATTATTACTTTGAAAATAAAAAGAGGAGAACCAGCTGAAACATATATACAATTATATGCACCATGCAATGAATACAGAAGAGCAGAAAGATGAATTCTTTGACGATCTGTCTGATGAGATAGAGAAAGTTAAGGAAAGCAGCACACTATATGTAATGGGTGACTTCAACGGGAGGGTAGGAAATAACAGAAGAGAATACGAACAGTTTCTAGGTCCACATGCAGCTAAGAACAGTGATAGAAATGGAAATGGTCAAAGAATATTGGATCTATGCAGCCAGCACAATCTTTTTATTACGAACACATTCTTTGACCATAGAGATTCACAACTTTACACTTAGTACAAATGGAATGATGTCTCCATCAAGAGCCAGATTGACTTTATACTTACCAGAGTTCAAGGAAGAAGGAGAATTCTTGATTCAAGAGCAATCCCTTATGGTCTATGTGACACTGACCATAAAATAGTTGTGTTTACAACAAAACATCTTACATTAAAGAAACACAGAAAGAAATTAACAAAAAACAAGGATCTCATCAAGATAGCAAATCTGAAACAGGAAGGAGTAAAAGAACAGTTACAACAGAAAGTAGAGACAGCATTCAAACAACTTCCACATGTAGTTGGCAATATTGAAGAAGAATGGAGTAAATATAAAAACACTATGCTTAGTATTGCAGAAGAATTATGTGGAAAACGGAAGAGTGGAAACAGACGGGGAAATAACAAATATTCACCTTGGTGGTGCGAAGAAGTAAAAGACGCAATTAAAAAGAAAAAGGACTTATATAAACAGTGGATAAAATCAAAGAAAGAAGAAGATTATGAAAACTATAGATTGCAAAGGAGAGAAACCAACAGGATTGTCAAGAAAGCAAAACAAGCATCCTGGGAACGTTTTGGTGAGTCACTAGCAGAAAATGAGAAAACAGCCAGCAGAAAATTTTTCAAAGTAGTTAAAAATATGCGGAAAAGAGATGAGAGCTACAACCCCACTGAAATAATTGATGATAAGACAGGAAGGCCATTGATAGATCCACCCGAGATAGCAGAAAGATGGAGGGAATACTTCAATGAGCTCTTTAATCCTCTAGGAGATCATCAGGAAAGAACAACTGAAGAGCACAGAGCAACAGTGTTAGAACCACACATACTAATGGATGAAATAGAAAAAGTCATTAGGCAGTCTCCCAAATATAAAGCACCAGGAGCTGATAGATTACCAACAGAAATAATTCAAACAGCAGGTGAAAGCAGCATCAGATGGCTTCAAAGAATATTTAATGCAGCATGGGTATAACAAACTGCCCCTATTGATTGGCAACATGCAATAGTTATACCATTGTGGAAGAACAAAGGAAGCAAACGAGAATGCTGTCAATACCGAGGCATCTTTCTTTTAAGCCATATTGGCAAAATGTATGCCAAGATAATAGAAACAAGACTGAGACCAGTAATAGAACCACAGCTGGCAGAAGAACAGATGGGATTTAGGAGAAATAGAAGCTGCACAGATGCAATCTTCACACTTAAACAGTTAATATAAAAGAACATTGAATACAATAAGAACTTATTTGTGGCCTTCATAGACCAGGAGAAGGCATTTGACAGAGTCGACAGACAATAATTGTAATGGCAAGATATGGAGTAAGCGAACACCTCATCGAAGTGTGCAAAAGTTTATACAGGGATTGTAGAAGTGTAGTTAGAATAAATCAGGGAACATCTCATCCATTCACAGTAACATCTGGAGTAAGACAGGGGTGTGTCTTATCACCACTGCTGTTTATCACCTACATCGACAGTATATGCAAGAATGCCAAGCCCATGAAATTGCAACAACATCTAACATCCATGAATGAAGAATGTAAAACAAATAATATGAGAATCAACACTGAAAAGGCAGAAGTAATGTCAATAGGAAAAAAGAAGACAGATCTAAACATAGCAATAGAGAACAAAGGCATTAAACAGGCATCTGAGTTCAAATATCTGGGAACTACATTTACTGAAGATGGGAAATTGAGTAAAGAAATTAACATTAGATGAGGTAAAGCAAACCAAGTATTGGGACAGCTAGCCCCCCTCTTACAGCATAAGACAATCCCAATCAGCACAAAGAGACATCTTATTCAAAGCATATTTATTCCAACTCTGTGCTACCAGTGCCAGACATGGTCACTCACAACAAACCATAAAAGAAAATTAGTAACCATGGAAATGATATGTCTGAGAAGGGCTGTAGGAGTGACCATAAGAGATAAGATCAGGAATGAGATCATAAGAGAAAAAGTTGGCACAGAACCAATTCTAAATTACATACAAAGACAGCAAGTGAAATGGTTTGCCCACTTAGAGAGAATGCCTTGTGACACCATACCATACAAAGCATACATGGAAAGAGAAGAAGGTCGTAGAGCAAGATGTAGACCAAGAACAAGATGGAAGGACAACATCAGAGAAGCTCTACAACAGCACGATGTGCCTATGGTCGAGGCGGCCAGAAGAGCCAGAAACAGAACCTTATTTCTCCCTCGACACCCACAGCGGTAAAAGAGGAAGTGAAGAAGAAGACGAAGAAGATCGAGTCACTAAGAATTCACCTTTGGTCTCTTTCATAAATGTTTATCTTGGAGTTACCATGGCATGTCTTTGTTTCCTTTGTAACTGCAGAGAATCACAGTAGTGTCTGTGCTGTAAATTATAGACAACATTTGGCAGTCGCACTTCACCTCCCTCATCTGGATCTACTCAGCCAGCATGCTGGAGTAAAAGATAATAAATGAACAGACCAGCTGACAAGTAATGCAGTAATACGAAAAGGGAAGAAGCAAGAACAGGACTGTTCTAGCCAATCCAGTACAGACTAGATTGGTGGATAATGATGCCTCAGAAACTAACTCAATTAAGTGACTTGGAAGTGAGGCTTGGCTAAACATCTCTATGACATCCTCAATGTTAGGACTGGAGAATACCATGAAGAGATAACTAGGGATGGCTGCTGCATTGGAGAACTGCGGATGTGTTGAGTTGAGTGTTGAGTTGAGTCAAGAATTGACATCACAGCACTCGGGGCATTCCCATGCATTCTCTGTCCTCATCTTCAGCAGCCAGCACAGAGTTCCAATACTGATCGTACCTGTCACATTGTGGTTAAAAGTCCATCTTGCCTTTCCTCTGAGTGTAGTGAACCGACCGGACCCCCTAGTTACACTCAGGTGCCTCACTCTCTCCAGGCCATAATAACCTTCTTTCTCTACTAATTAAAATGCAAATGTGTGGAAATGTCCAATGTGCAGTGACATGGACTGATAACATAACATACACCATATCAGGTTGTTTAGTCTGAAGCTTTGTGTGTATTGACATGACTGATAAAATAACATTCACCATATCAGGTTGTTTAGTCTGAAGTTTTGTGTGAAGTGACATGGACTGATAACATAACATACACCATATCAGGTTGTTTAGTCTGAAGGTTTGTGTGAAGTGACCTAGACTGATAACATAACATACACCGTATCAGGTTGTTTAGTCTGAAGCTTTGTGTGAAGTGACATAGACTGATAACATAACATACACCGTATCAGGTTGTTTAGTCTGAAGCTTTGTGTGAAGTGACATAGACTGATAACATAACATACACCGTATCAGGTTGTTTAGTCTGAAGCTTTGTGTGAAGTGACATAGACTGATAACATAACATACACCGTATCAGGTTGTTTAGTCTGAAGCTTTGTGTGAAGTGACATAGACTGATAACATAACATACACCCTATCAGGTTGTTTAGTCTGAAGCATTGTGTGAAGTTTGTACATGTTTTCTTATAGTCAGTGCTGGATGTCCTGGGTATTTAGCATCCCTTGGATGTTCTCTTTATGTATGCTGGGGTGTTGGGAAATGAACAGGCAGATAGACTGGCCGGTTCTGCACCACTTGGTGGTGAACTGATGTATGACAAGCTAGATGTTTTGAGGGTCCTCTGAGAGCGAATGAACAATGTGGAAGCACAAATAGATCATTACAGTCTGAGGAGAATGGCGCTGCGAGGAGTTGCTAGTAGATCAGGTTGATGCTCAACACTCAAGGGAAAGGCGAGACAGATATACAATCAGACAGTTACTGGTGCCATTGAAATTGGAACTCTTCGTTTGCTGCTGAAAATGGGGGCAGAGTGCTTATGGGAGTGTCCAGAGTGCTGTGATGTCGATTCCTAATTCAACATTTAACATTCAGTGCTGGAAAACATTGGTATTTAATCAGACTGCTATCGGTACCATCAGAACTAATACTCTGTGCTGACTGCTGAAGATGGGGATGAAGCACTTATGGGAATGTCCCATATATTATGATGTCATTGTCTCCAAGTGTTTTTAGGCTAACAACTGCCATTCTGTTCTGGCTGATGTAACGACGTGTGGCACCAGCATTTAACACAGAAGTTATACAGAGTTAAAGTAATGTCTGCATCGGACTAAAAGAGTTGAAAAAAGTATATTGTACATGTTTTATTTTTTATGTCATGTCTCTTTCTCTCACCAAGCTTGTCATTGAAGGAAAGGTGGGAACTGGATATCTAAGTAACATTGCCCTTGATGATATCACAGTCACTAAAACAAAATGCACAGTACCCCGTAAGTACTCAGTTATTTGTTCAGTTGGTTAGTTAGTTAATCAACAAGTTTTTCTCATTGCACATTGGACAAGTCCATCAGCTCATAATTATACATAAAGAGAAGGGATTTCATGCATCGTTTATCTGTTCAGTTAATATTTGTAGTTAGAGCCCCATTTTATGTACCATACTCAGAATATGAGGGTGGTATTTTCATCCATTCTCTACCCGACGGCAGCCTTTACAATGCTCATAAGCTGAAGGTTAAAACCAGGATAAGAAAGGTACTTATCAGAGAGCTGCTTTTTGCAGATGATGCAGCAATAACCACCCACTCAGAGGAGGAGCTGCAATGCTTACTGTCTGCATTTGCTGATGCGTACTGTAAATTTGGAAAGCTCAGAAAGCTCACGATTAAAACAAAAACTCTAGTCTATCAGGCTTGTGTTCTCAGCACTCCGCTTTATGGCAGTGAAACTTGGTCCACTTATTTGCACCAGGAGAGACGGCTAAATAGTTTTTACATGTGATGTCTAAGAAGAATACCTGGCATGGCATTTAGTGGCAGGACAAGATTACAAACAGTGAGGTAATGGGAAGAGCAGGTATTACAACAGTCTTCTCAATGCTTAGTTTATGAAGGCTCATGTGGCTATGTCACACCTGAAGAATGAAGGATGACAGAGTCTCTAAGAACATACTTTATGGTGAACTGAAGACGGGTAGAAAATGTTGAGGCCGACCTCTACTATGATATACACACACAGGCATGTACGCACACACAGAGAAAAATCTTTTAAACAGTTTTTTTACACAGGTAACTTAATAAGTTGTTTAAAAATGTATTTATTTATATTTTAAAAACTTGATTTCAAAATATGTGAAGATATTAAAAGATTATTATTTTGAAGATAAATAAATGGGCTATTAGAAAATATTTATCTTCAAAATGATAATTCATTCAATAACACATGCTGCAAATTAATTAAATTGTAGTTTAATTTGTGTATAAATCTACTTGATAACAATTGTTACCACCGTTCAGCCACGCCAGCCTAAAAAATATTTGAATACCTGTTTGAGCTGTGCGGCCTTATAACTGGAGCTGGCCATAGATTTAGACACCACATTCTCAGCCCCTAAGTAATGACACCAACAGAAAAAGTTGAAGACAACTAAAAACCAATTTAATAGCCATTTAGAAAACAATTATGATTACTTTGTACATCTCTGATTTTAGCCGCATGTAACTTTGACAATGGAGATATGTGCAGCTGGATGAATCTTGGCTTGAGTGACAATTTTGACTGGATACTGAACAGAGGCAATGCAAGCGCTTCTAGTAACAGACCACCAGTGGATCATAGCCAGAATTCTGCACAAGGTAGTTCGTTAGGGTTTAGTTCAGATTTTTCCTTTCATCCTCATCCTCATCATTTGATGTTTGTAATCATAAAAATCAGTAATTTTTAAAAGTAACTTGTTAGGTCTAAAAGACATAACAGAGAAGCTAATCAGGTTAAACATTGATACAAATTACTTAGTCAAGGTAAAAATGCACTGTCTCCGCAAGGTCACTAACAACGCAAGAAAAGACATGGTTACGAATACCAACATTAAAGATAAAGTTGGAATCAGGTCATGTCTGGATTATATTGACAGACAAAGAATAAAATGGTTCAGCCATCTGTGACGTGCGGAGTAGGCTCCATTGTGACGTGCGGAGCTTCACATTGCGTAGGCTTCATTGATTTGACGAGCGTAAAAGTGTCTAGGGGTGTCGCAATGTAACAAATGGCATCAACACTTAACATGCCACTGGCCAAGAGTAACACAACATAATGAATGCTGAAGCTTCCAACGTAGCGGAACGAGAACTCTCTTTAAAAGTTCCATTTGTGTATTGACAAATGCAATGATCAACACAAGAATACGTATGCAATCAATAATCAACTCGTTCAACCAAAGCTCACTCGTACATCCATGTATTGATATGTCCTCACGATAGGTCGCAGTCCGACCTTGAGATCCAGACGATTATCTTTGTCCTTGGACAAGTCCAAATTAAGCAATGAAAGTATACCGGCTTACTGCCGAGAATGTAGTGTTCACCAGCTTCCTGCTGAGGTCTATCTTGGAATCCCGGGGTAAAACGTCCTCAAGGATCCAACTTCATATAACGTTTGCTTCCGTGGGATCCCGGGGTAAAGCGTCCTCAAGGATCCACACGTCCGTCTCCTTCGGACTATAAACATCAACTCCCTTTGACAACAATCCTTCACAACGTTACGTATTGTTTTGACGTCTTATTTGCTCACTCCGTACTGGTGCGTTCTGGTGCACATTCGCACGCGACAGCTTTTCCCCCCTCCCGAGGACGACCGAGCACTAGGACTTGTCGTAGTCTCGGTCGGAAAACTGGAGTCATGTCGCGGCAAACAGCACCAATACGAGAGAGCAAATAAGAACACACACACACTCACTTCTCAATATATCGTAAATACCTTACTAAATGAATGCAAAATATAGATTCCTGACTTCACTAAGCATTATTATCAACATCATTATTGTTATCCTAATTATTTTACATAACAGCATGCATTTTAAAAATCATAAAAAATCAACAACAAACATCAATCCTATTCCAATGCATCTGGTGTGCGCGACAAAAAATCGGCTAAGACATTTTCTTTCCCTGGGCGATAAATAACTGTGAAGTTGAACGTCTGTAGAAACATTGTCCATCTTAATATGCATGAGTTTTTGATGGGTGCTGAGTTCAAGACTTCGAGTGGACGATGGTCCGTCAAGATAAAGAAGTGACTGCCATACAGGAATTGGGTAAACTTTCCTACTGCCCAAAAAATGGCTAGTGCCTCCCTCTCGCCCACGCTGTAACGGCATTCAGTAGGAGACAGCTTCCTGCTGGCATAAACAACAGGGAGTAGGGTGCCCTCTCTGCCAATCGCCACATCGGACGCATCTGTGGATACATAGAACGGCAGAGACAAATCTGGCAAACACAAGAACGGATTACTATTAAATGCCTTTTGTAATCTCTGAAGCGCGTCCTCGCACTCTCTCGTCCAGATAACCTTCGCTGGCATTCCTTTCATCGTCAATGAGGACAACACGGCTGTAATGGTTGAATAGTTAGGAATGAATTTGGCATAAAAGTTACATAAACCCAATAACGCACGCACTTGTTTCTTCGTTTTTGGTATAGGGATGTTAAGAATCTTACCCACCGTGGTGGCTTCGGGTTTACGGACCCCGTGTCCTACAACGTGACTGAGGAACGTGACCTCCTCGAAAGCGACCTTCACTTTAGTTGGTCTAACTGTGAGATTAAACGATTTTATGCGTTCCAGTAATGTCTTTAGACCTCGAATATGTTCGTCTAAATCATTATGGAAAAGCAGAATGTCATCCAGATAATGAATAACATCATTACGACCCTGTAACAACTTGCGTACGAGGCGGGTGAATGTCGCAGGTGCTCCCGAAAGCCCGAAAACCATATAGTTGAAGTGAAACAAACCTTTGTTCGTCTGAAACGCGGTGTATTTTTTGGAATCCTCGGCTAAGGGAATCTGCCAATAACCCTTGGTAAGATCTAACTTTGTAAAATACCTAGCCTTCGACAATGCAACAAACATATCTTCCATATTTGGGATATTTTCAGCATCTACAACCGTGATTCGATTCAATTTTCGGATATCTATGCAGATCCGAAGGCTTCCATCTTTCTTTCGGACAACCACTATAGGAAAAGCATAGGGTGATGTCGACGGTTCAATTATACCCCACCTAATCATGTTATCGATTTCCTTATCCACGGCATCCCAATAATGAAAAGGTATAACATATGGTTTCATTTTGATGGGTTTATGATCTATTAATTCAATGGAATGCACTGCTTCTGTCGTTCTACCCGGTATGTCCGATAATGTTTTGTCGAATGTAGCCAAAATACGCTTTATACGACGCACCATATCTGGTGGAACCGAGGGCGCGACTTCCACGTCTCTCCATGTTTCTCTGGGTACCAGTTCGGGTAGAGACAATTGATGAGCAGTGTCCACCTCGACATCATTGCTCTCTTCGTCAATGACGTGGCAGAATGCTGCCTCCATTTCTTCTTCTTGCAAATTATTGTCGGGTGCCTCAGCTGCTTCTAACACTTCAGACAAAACACCAGGCGAGACTTAAACTCTTTAAGCATGTTTAGATTATATACTTTATGATGTCCTCTGACATCAATAAGATAGTCCACATCTGAAATTTTCTTAATAACTTTAAAAGGACCCTGCCATTTGGCTGATAAACAATTATTATTATCTTGCAGAAATATCAATACATCATCATTAGGCTGGAGAGTGATCAGTCTCCGGTTACGGTTAACGTATTCTCTTTGATGAGTACCAGTATTTTCTAAGTTGTCCCGTGCAACTTGACAACCTGTGATTATCTTGTTACGTAACTCCGTCACGAATTTAATATATGTTTGAGGCGCTTCTTGATCGCCTTTACCGATCCATATGTCCTTTAACAGCGACAGTGGACCTCTGGGATTAGCACCATATATAAGTTCGAAAGGTGAGACACCTCACGATAGGCGAACAAAACAGCAGGAAGGTATTTGTCCCAGTCTGCTGGAAATTGATTAGTAACTTTGGCTAGCATAGCTTTTATTTTCCCATTTAAATTTTCTACTAGCCCATTTGATTGTGGGTGATATCTTGCAGAAAAAACGTGAGAGATGGCAAGTAATTTGTCAAAAGAGCGCATTGCTTCTGAAATAAATTGTGATCCGTGATCTGAAAGGATTGTTTCAGGAAAGCCTACTCTAGAGAATATAAGCATCAATGCTTCTGCTACTGACTCAGTAGTGATATGACGTAACGGTACTGCTTCAACCCAACGTGATGCCATGTCTACAAATGTTAAAATGTATCTAAATCCTCTTTGTGAAACAACCGGTAGCGGACCCACAAGATCGACAGCAATTTTTTCGAAAGGACGACATGGAAGATAGACCCTTTGAATAGGAGGTTTCTGAGATGCATCCTTTCTCGCCATCATTTGACAGTCTTTACATGACCTACAGTATTTCCTAATATCTGTGGAACAACCAGGCCAATAAAATTGTGCAAGAACTCTTTTCTGTGTTTTACCTATACCTAAATGTGCAGCAAAAGGTGTGTCATGTGCAACTCTCAGAACATCGGTTCTATAACATGAAGGAACGACTAATTGTTTACATTGCATAACAGGTGATTTAAAATATCTCATTAAAATTCCATTCTTCACATAAAAATGCCATGTACCTTGCTTACATGTTCTAACACCGGTTACTTCTGCCCTAGAAAAGCATTTAGTGAGGGTAGGATCCGCCCGTTGTCGAAATGTAACAAATGGCATCAACACTTAACATGCCACTGGCCAAGAGTAACACAACATAATGAATGCTGAAGCTTCCAACGTAGCGGAACGAGAACTCTCTTTAAAAGTTCCATTTGTGTATTGACAAATGCAATGATCAACACAAGAATACGTATGCAATCAATAATCAACTCGTTCAACCAAAGCTCACTCGTACATCCATGTATTGATATGTCCTCACGATAGGTCGCAGTCCGACCTTGAGATCCAGACGATTATCTTTGTCCTCGGACAAGTCCAAATTAAGCAATGAAAGTATACCGGCTTACTGCCGAGAATGTAGTGTTCACCAGCTTCCTGCTGAGGTCTATCTTGGAATCCCGGGGTAAAACGTCCTCAAGGATCCAACTTCATATAACGTTTGCTTCCGTGGGATCCCGGGGTAAAGCGTCCTCAAGGATCCACACGTCCGTCTCCTTCGGACTATAAACATCAACTCCCTTTGACAACAATCCTTCACAATGTTACGTATTGTTTTGACGTCTTATTTGCTCACTCCGTACTGGTGCGTTCTGGTGCACATTCGCACGCGACACCATCTATGAAAATGAAAAGGTGTAGTTACCATATCCTACTTTCTTTCCTTCTCTGTGTAAATGCCAATTACTTTAATTTCCAACCCTTTAATTGGTTTGTTATACTGCTTCTGTAGCCACTAGCTTCCTTGGCTATTTATCCTTACCCTGACTTATTTAATGATTTACACTGACTCATAAAGCATGCTGGGAAATATGGGGACAGGCATGTTCCTTGGAGTTTGCAAGCATCATTTCAGAGGTCCGAAATAGTTAGCGTTCTTTAGATATTTTCTCTGGATATGCAAGTGTGTTAGGAAAGTAACATGCAGACATATTTGCTGGTTCTGCAACACTGGATTGATGCATGACAAACTGGATGTGGTCAGGATCCTGGGAAAACAAATGAACAATGTGTAAACACAAATAGTTAATTCTGATTTGGAGAGAAGGAGACAGTCTGGAGTGATCAGGAGATCTGAGCGACACTCTAAACTCAGGAGAAACATATAATCCAACTGCTACTGGCAGCTTCAGAATGGAAACTCATTCTGGCTGCTGAAGATTGGGATGGAGTGCTTATGGGAATGTCCCAAGTGCTGATGATATATCAGTTCTTACCTCAACAACTACCCAGGACCTCTGAAGTGATGCTTGCCGCTCTGCACTGAGCACGCTTGTTTCCACCTTTCTCAGCATGCTCTGTGAGTCAGTTACAATCACAAAATGTATGTACAGCTGATTTTCAAGCTAGCAAAAGGCAGCAGTGACTGCCTCCACCTTCTCAAATTAGATGTGATATCATATGCCTGCTTTTGTTGCACTAAGCGACATCCATTTGCTGTTGCTATAAAACTACATGCACTTTGTCTGCCCTTCAACACAGAGCCATCTGTAAAGGTAACCACATCACCTGGGCGGAAATTGTCATGAATCATTTTTGAACTTCTATTTCTGAAGCACAGGTGGCCAGTCCCTGCACTCACTTAGCCTGTAGAAAAGAAAGAAATTATATACAGTTATCTAGGGGCTCTGTTGATACATAATGAACCATTTATTGGTGACCCATTGTTTGAAGTCACTTTTTTGGGTCTCATTCCAGGTTATTATGTCTACATGGAATCACGCCAGCTCCAGCTAACCCCTGAGAAGGCTTACCTCCTCAGTGCAGAGCTGGCGGCCACAAGTGGAGCAACTTACTGTTTCAAGTAGGTCATTCTTTGTTTATCTAGACTGTGTTTTGCTGTATGAAAAGTAGAGTTTTGGCTGAGAGGTTTTGTTGTTTACAAATATAGGAAGTATGTGGTTGAAAGCTTTTGTGATGTAAGGTACAAATATAGGAAGTGTATGGCTGAAAGGTTTTTGGGGTTTATTGTACAAATATAGGAAGTGTATGGCTAAAAGGTTCCTGGGTTTATTGTGCAAATATAAGAGGTGTATGGCTAAAAGTTTTTGGGGTTTATTGTTCAAATATAGGAAGTGTATAGCTACAAGTTTTTGGGGTTTATTGTAAAAATATAGGAGGTGTGTGGCTAAAAGGTTCCTGGGTTTATTGTACAAATATAGGAGGTGTGTGGCTAAAAGATTTTTGGGGTTTATTGTACAAATATAGGAAGTGTGTGGCTGAAAGGTTTTTGGAGTTTATTGTACAAATATAGGAAGTATATGGCTGAAAGGTTTTTGGAGTTCCTTGTACAAATATATGAAGTGTATGGCTAAAAGGTTTTTGGGGTTTATTGTACAAATATAGTGCCATACATCATCAAGTATCAGAAGAAGACAAGAACTGTTAAACCTGTTATCTGTGAAGGACAAGGTGAATAGCGTAACTCAACACTATTTCCATGCCTAAAATGTTAAGTATGCTTATTTCTTTAAACTATAACAGTGTATTCAGTAACACCTACTCACTCAGAAAGCTGGTAACTTTGTAATAACAGGGCACCGCTTTATGTGTTTGAAACTGTTGAACAAGGTTTCTGAATTTTGTTCCTATTGGATTCCCATCTGGATAGTGACTCTCTTAGTTACCGAGTGTCAGTCTTTGAGGCTACAATCCTGAAAAGGAATAATTAAAAAGAAAAATGTACTACAACACTGTTGCTTATCAAGCTTTTTAAAAAAAAAATCATAAATACTTTTTCTTTGTGCAGATTTTGGTACAGTCTTGTAGGCTCTGGGACAGGAACTCTTCAAGTGAACTATGTTGTGGGTGGAAAAATACCTGGCAGCACTTTGTGGCAGACTAGCAAAACATCAACTACAGTGTGGAATTTAGCAACAATTCCTATCAAGTCTTCAAATGAGTTTAAGGTTTGTGACGGTGCAGATGTTTCTTTGTTTTCTATGGTTAACTTATGTCTGTTAGTTGCATCTTGTGGTTATAAGTGAACAGACAGGAGAGATAGATGAGAGTGTGGTACATCTGTTTACTTAGCAAATATCCAGGGAGGGACATTTATTCTGCAGAAATAATAACATATAATGGAGAGCTGTGTACTGGACTGATGTGCAAGGAAGAGCATTTGTCCTGTAGGGTTAATAACATTTAGTAAAAAGTGGTACACTTGACTAATGTGTAAGATGTTAATATGGTGCAGGATATTTATAACATATGTGCACTTGACTAATGTATGAGAAGGGACAGTTCAGGTTGTAAAATATCTAATGGAGAACTGTGCACTTGATTAATGTTCAAGAAGAGTTGGTTATTCTGCATGTTCAATATCTAATGGGGAGTTGTCCACTTGATCAATGTTCAAGAAGAGTTGGTTATTGTGCAGGTACAATATCTAATGGGGAGCTGTGCACTTGATTAACGTTCAAGAAACAACAGTTGTTCTGCAGATTGTAACATCTAATGGAGAGCTTGGCACTTGACTTCTTCTTCTTCTTTTTCTTCTTCTTCTTGTTCTTCTTCTTGTTCTTCTTTGCATTTAGAGGCTATACATTCTGGCTGAAAGTTCTGGTTGTTTGTCCACTTCTGGCCTTAGTCTTGTTCCAAAACTTTGAGTTTTACATGCACATCTGTTTTACAGATCAGCTTACTTATAAGCAGACTGTTAGTTTCTCCCCTCTTATTCAAATGCATTTTGACTTAGAAGAAAACACCCCTAATTGGTTGACTTTTATTACATGCTTCTCCTTCGAAGTCGGAGTACAGCTGCCCATGAGGCAGGGAACAATAAAACAGTTGTACACCCAAAACTCAGGTCCAGGTAAAAGCCAAAAGTCCAAGCAGACGATTAACAATTCCGCCGGAATTCACAGCCGGTGAACAAAGAAGAAGAAGAAGATTACATGCTTGTTAGTGGGCAGTGGGTCTATCCCCCCCCCCCCCCCCACACACAAGGGGGCACCCCGGAATCCACACAGGGAGGGCACTTGACTAATTTTCCAGAAGGAAAAAATTGCAGGTTGTATAACACCCAATGGGATTTTTTAAATGGGTCTAGCACAATGTCCCTAATGCAATAATGATGCAGAAAGGATCTTTTACTTTTTTACATAGATGTGTATATGCTCTATCACAATTCTTTGGTTATGTAATGAGAAGGAGAAAACTAAAGTACATTATGACAGTAAGAAAGTTGAAGGGGAGAAAAGGTAGAGGGAGACCAAGAGAAAAGATGATGGACAGTCTGACATCATGGCATGGAGGATCATCCGAGTCAGAGTTGATTGAAAGTACATGAGACAGAAGATTGTGAATAGACATGACTATCAACGCCACACGGCATGTATAAGCTCTAAAAATGATAGCATAACTTAAAAAAATGTTTATGTCTTATGTTTGAGTTTGTTCACTGAGCTACATTTCCCCATTTGTTTACAGCTGTTGTTTATTGGCAATGCTGGGCAGTACTTCCAGGGAGACATTGCTATTGACGACATCACTTACACAGTGCAAGACTGCAGCCTTTCCCCTCCTGATGCATTGCCGCCTGGTGTAACGGCAGTTCCAAGAAACACATTTAGTACAGCCAATCCAGGCTCTTTCACATCAAGTTAGTTATCCTATGACATTTGATCTTATCTACCACATCAAGTTATTTATCCTATGACATTTGATCTTATCTACCACATCAAGTTATTTATCCTATGACATTTGATCTTATCTACCACATCAAGTTAGTTATCCTATGACATTTGATCTTATCTACCACATCAAGTTAGTTATCCTATGACATTTGATCTTATCTACCACATCAAGTTAGTTATCCTGTGACATTTGATCTTATCTATCACATCAAGTTAGTTATCCTATGACATTTGATCTTATCTACCACATCAAGTTAGTAATCCTATGACATTTGATCTTATCTACCACATCAAGTTATTTATCCTATGACATTTGATCTTATCTACCACATCAAGTTATTTAACCTATGACATTTGATCTTATCTAACACATCAAGTTAGTTACCCTATGACATTTGATCTTATCTACCACATCAAGTTAGTTATCCTATGACATTTGATCTTATCTACCACATCAAGTTAGTTATCCTGTGACATTTGATCTTATCTATCACATCAAGTTAGTTATCCTATGACATTTGATCTTATCTACCACATCAAGTTAGTTATCCTATGACATTTGATCTTATCTACCACATCAAGTTAGTTATCCTATGACATTTGATCTTATCTATCACATCAAGTTAGTTATCCTATGACATTTGATCTTATCTACCACATCAAGTTAGTTATCCTATGACATTTGATCTTATCTACCACATCAAGTTAGTTATCCTATGACATTTGATCTTATCTACCACATCAAGTTAGTTATCCTATGACATTTGATCTTATCTACCACATCAGGTTAGTTATCCTATGACATTTGATCTTATCTACCACATCATTTTATTGCGAAAAGTTTGGTATCCTATCATAATTAATTGTATCTACTACATCAAGATAGTTAACCTATCATATTGTAATGCATTTTCCACATTAGGTTAGTTGTTATCCTATCATATTTTATCTTATCTGTCACATCAAGTTATTTTATCTTATCATATTTCCTTTTTTTTTTCTTATCATTTGAAGTTAGTTTTCCAGTCCTATTTTATTTACCTGTCACTTCAAGATAATTATTTATCACATGTTATCTTATTCATCACATCATGTTTTTTATCTTGTCACCTCAAGTTAGTTATCCTATCACATTTAATCTTATCTGTTGGCCAGCAGCTCAAGCTGTCATGATTTGACAACTCCCACATGGCAGTATAAAAAAATAAAATTAACATTTAGGCAGTATCATTTTGTTTTTGATATCACATTGATATCAGATAAAATAATTTATGTGCAAATGCTAGCAGACAACATTATAAACAAAATTCAAGAAAAGCAATTGTTAGCATATTTTGTTGACTACTGAAAGTGCCCTTGGGTTCAGGGCATCCATTTAAAAAAAAAAAAAGGCAGACTACTGCCCCTTAACTCTTTCATTCTTAAGCAATAGTTACTTTAACTCCTAATATTTTGATAGCTTAAGCTTAAAAACAATACATAAATACTTAGCATGGAGTTCAGCAAACAGCAATAGTATTATATATCTTTGGAAATGACAAGAAATAAATAGTGAGTTGTCTGGCATTATTAGAGTTAATGAATACTGTCTGAAAGCTGAAAGCCTCACGTTGTAACTCACAACACCCAGTTGGAGGTGGAGGTGGAGTCGTCAATGGCAGCTTTCCAATGGCTTGAGAGCAGCACAGCCCAACATGTGGTAATTGCAACAGACTCTCAGAGCATGCTTTGGAAAATATAAACTAGTGTTCTACACGTAGAGGGTCTTGCATTTTCTGTCCTGGATATTTGGATGTATGGGTAATGAGCAGACAGATTGATTGACTGCTGCTGCTCCTCTAGGTGATGAGCTAGATTATGATAAAGCTGGAGTGGTGAAAGCTTTCTGGGATCAAATGGGCAGTGCAACAGAACAGACCAAGCATCCATACATTGTCAAACTAATTCAAAGACGGGGAAAGTGGGGGAGGGGGGGGGGTGAGCAAAGATAACAAAAAATGCAGAAAAAACATAGGAGTTTTAATCAGGTATCAACAGGAAACTATTAGCACATCAACTCTTCGTTGGCTAACGAGGAAGGAGACAGAGCATGTGTGAGAACATCCTGAGTGCAGGGATATAAGTTCTTAATTCGTTCATTCAAAGTTAACAAGTATGTCACAAAAAGGAGTAACTGAGGGTTAGCTGAAAGTGGATATTTTAGGCTAAAAGATATTACAGCCTTTCTGAAATCCACAGCAAAAGTGCCAACAACCCTGGTGAGGATGAACACAGAAGAAAAAGAAAGATTCTTAGATAATTATTTACCCACTTCCTTCTTTATTTCTACAGGTCCAACCACTTTCAACTGCAATTTTGAATCCAACATGTGTGCCTGGACGAACTCAACAAGTGACAACTATGACTGGTCATGGGGAAAAACAGCCTCACAGGTGGCAAATGGCAGCAGTAACTTACCTAATGTTGACCATACTACAAATTCTGGGGGTGAGTTTTTCCTTTCTTTTGTTAACCCTTTCAACCCAGATAAAAATTATTTGAAGAAAAAAAGCCCAGAACACAGGAGTTGTCTCAGAAATCCTTATGACTTATGTCCCTAATAAACAAATAAAAAAAATGTTTATTAAAATAATATTTGAATGACGGTAGTAAATAAACATTACCAGAGTATAGAATTAAATGAGTACAGTCCCTTGCCCCTAAATTTAAAAAATTTACATTGTGACCCATACTGTGACCCTGTGGATCGCAAAAACTGTTCTTCCCCATAACGCTTAATGTTAGAAGTGGAAATTGATGATAATGACAAGATGTTGAACGATGATAACTTTTCATGTATTGTTTTGTGTTTGCAGGTGGCCACTTTGTCTACTACAATATGAGACAAGGTATTGCCAATGGCGTTGCTCTCCTGACCAGTCCAAAGATTTCAGCAAGTGGTCCTAAATGTCTCAGGTAATGCCAGATTGTCATTTATTTGTTTCATTTGTCATTTCTTCCAGTAATTACAACTTTTTTAAAGCAGTGTAGGACAAGTTAGTCTTGAAATTATGAGGATTTAGGGCTGCATGTTAATATTATATACCACAGTAAAGTAAAATAAAGCCTTTAGGCAAATGGGGCATATAGGGCTAGACCTAAATTTTATAGACAAATCAGTACAAAATGAGTAATGTGGTCAGCATCACGCCGGCCCCCTTTACTTCCCGGGACTGCACCTGGTACCCACACAAGGCTGAGTCGACCTGGGAGCCAATACCATTTTTTTTTAAAGTTTGACTCCGCTAGGGAGTGACCCCACGACCTTCCAATCCACGGCAAGTGTATATACCACAGTAACATAGGTATTATAAACATATATCTAAGAGAGGGAGCTGGGTGAGGTAGTGGCTAGACACTCACCAGATGGCCTGATGGTCTTAATTTGAATCTTCGTTGCGGCAAATATTTTTGTGTGAGTTAAATTTATCCTGGTTGTATGCACAGCCTAAACTGGGTATCAAGAATGTCCTGTAAAGTAAAGGCAACCAGCATGATATTAACCACATCACTTGTGCCAGGTGGTTTATAAAAATCTAGGTCTCGCACTATAAGCCTAACGGGCAAAAGGCATGGGAAAATACTCACATATCATAACTCAAGTTGTTTCCTCCTGCTGAAGTTTTTCTAATTGTTAACTGATGTTTAACCTTTTTCATTGAACTATTGAAGACTTTTTTGTTATACAGATGTAGTTTCAAACCATGCATAATCTGTTTAAGTCACCACTGATCACCAGCTTAATGAGAGCTAATAGACTGAAATGGCTGGGGTATATTGAGAGGATGTCTGACAACAGAGAGGTAAAAGCTGTGTACACAATAGATTTGAATGGTCGTAGACTAGGAGGCAGACTAAGAAGACGATGGAGAGGTAATGTCCAGGCAGACATACAAACACTTGATGTCATGAACTGGAAAGAGAAGGCCAACCAGAGAGATGAATGGAGATGGGTGATATCTGCAGCAATTAACTTCAAGGGCTTGGAATGTTGAAGAAGAAGAAGCAGAAGAATGTCAGATCACACCCTCAGAGATGAACATGAAGTATCAAGAGAGACTACTTGCATTTCTGTGGAATTTACTCAGTTTTGTGTGTGTGTGTGCTTTGTTTTGTGTTGATGTAACTTTGTAGTAACGCACCTGATGTGATACAGCCAGATTGGCCTGGCAATAAATTGTGCAAAGTATTGTTTGTGTCCACATTATTTAAAACCTTACTCTGTTTATTTCTTCAATCAGGTTCTGGTACAACATGAACAGCAATGTTAAGCAGTTAAATATTTACATTAGGAAGGGAAGTGCACTTTCTGTGTCACAAAAAAGTATGATTGGAAGTCAAGGTCCAAACTGGCATGAAGGATATTTGAACATCAATGAGACTGGCACATATCAGGTAGGAAATAAATTTCTGGAAATATTCTTTGATGATTTTTTAAATTATCAATATAACCATGGTGGCGTAGTGGTTAGTGCGCTATTTATCAATACAATAACTGGGGATTGTCACAGGAACTATAGAGTTCAGCACCTGGGTGTAACCAGAGGGTCTGGCCAGCTCACTACACTCAGAGGAAAGTCAAGACGGACATATAACCAGATTGTGACTGATCCCATCAGTAATGGAACTCTGCGATGGCTGCTGAAGATGAGGATGGAGCACGCATTGAAATGCCCCGAGTGCTGTGATGTCAATTCGTGACTCAACACAACTCAACTCCACTAAAGAGTTCATGTTTTGTATGACACGCTCTGCAGGTGGCAAGCCATTATACAGAGAGAGACTAAGTCATATGGGATAACAACTTAGTGCAAAGAATTCAGTATGTTTGAATTTCAAATTTTTTTTTTTTAAACTTTTAATTTAATCAGGACAATTGTCTGGGTCCAGTCCTTTTGCAGAAGCAGGATTTGTCCCTTTTATCTGGCTCCAAGGTTGACCAGTGTTGTTGACTAGTACTGTTAAGGAGTGGATGGACCAAGGTTGACCAGTGCTGTTGACTAGTACTGTCAAGGAGTGGATGGACCAAGGTTGACCAGTGCTGTTGACTAGTACTGTCAAGGAGTGGATGGACCGAGGTTGACCAGTGCTGTTGACTAGTACTGTCAAGGAGTGGATGGACCAAGGTTGACCAGTGCTGTTGACTAGTACTGTCAAGGAGTGGATGGACCAAGGTTGACCAGTGCTGTTGACTAGTACTGTTAAGGAGTGGATGAACCAAGGTTGACCAGTGCTGTTGACTAGTACTGTTAAGGAGTGGATGGACCAAGGTTGACCAGTGCTGTTGACTAGTAGTATTAGGGAGTGGATGGACCAAGGTTGACCAGTGCTGTTGACTAGTAGTGTTAAGGAGTGGATGGACCAAGGTTGACCAGTGCTGTTAACTACTACTGTTAAGAAGTGGATGGACCAAGGTTGACCAGTGCTGTTAACTACTACTGTTAAGGAGTGGATGGACCAAGGTTGACCAGTGCTGTTGACTAATAGTGTTAAGGAGTGGATGGACCAAGGTTGACCAGTGCTGTTGACTAGTAGTGTTTAGAAGTGGATGGACCAAGGTTGAACAGTGCTGTCAACTAGTACTGTTAAGGAGAGGAGGGGATGGACCAAGGTCAGCCAGTGCTGTAAAGAGGCGGATGGAACAAGGTTGACAAGTGCTGTCAACTAGTACTGTTAAGGGGTGGATGGGCCAGTGTTAGCCGGTGCTGTAAAGAAGGGGATTGATGTAAATTAACCAGTGATGTAAAGAAGCGGATAGAGAAAGATTGATCAGTACTGTTAAGGGTGGATGGAGCAAGGGATGACCAGTACTGATAAAGGGAGGATAGACCAAGGTTGACCAGTACCGTTAAGGGGTCAATGGACCAAGGTTGTCCAGTAATGTTGACCAGTGGTCAAGGGACAACAGTTGACTAGTACTCCACTCATTTCTCTGGTTGGCCTTCTAGTTCCAGTTGGTGACTCCAAGTGTTTGTAGGTCTGCCTGTATATTGTCTCACCATCATCTTCTTGGTCTGCCTCCTAGTCTACAAACATTCAAATCCTTTGTGTACTAGGTGTCAAAGGACTAAGGTTGACCAGCACTGTTGACTAGGGTAAAATGACCAAGGTTGACCAGTGCTGTTGACTCAGGGTCAAGGGACCAAGTTGACCAGTACCATTTAAAGGGTGAACACAGGAGAAGGTAGAATTTTTCATTAACTTTCTCTTTCATTATTTTTCACAATATTTACAAAATCTTGCTTTGAACTTTGCAGGTAGTGTTTAGCGGAGTAAAAGGGGTCAGTGGAATTGACGGAGTCATTGCACTTGATGACATAACAATTGCAGATGGCATATGTGAAGGTGAGTGTGAGGAAGGAACATTCCTGTTACAGCTGAAAACATCATCATTATTTTGTGTCATCTAAAATGGTGTTGCTGTTCATGTCTCTTGGTAGGTCTCAGTCCTTGGTGTTTTAGACCAACTGTTCCACGTGTGGGTTCTGGGGCTCTCTTATAGGAAAAACAAGAATAGATCCACTTCCTACCCAAAAGCATGTCGCAATAGTCTAATTGGGAGCTTCCTTCGAAATCAGAGTGCATCTGTCTGAGAGGCAGGGAACCAGCAGCCTGCATACAAATGAGTCAGATCTGTTGAACGGATGTACACGCAACACTCAGGTTCTGGAACAGGACTGCAGTCCAGAGGTGGATGAACAATCAGAACTTTCCGCTAGAGTTTACAGCTGGTGAACGCAAAGAAGAAGACAAACTGTACTGATGATATAAGCTGTATGGAAGGCTGTCTGGCTGGTACAAAACATCTAAGAAAAAATTTGAAACATGGAATGTGAGTAATACCAACGGAAGCTAAGTATGAACATAAGCGATTAGAAAAAAAAATTGGCATCTTACATGATCTGCACATTGAAGAGAAATATCTTATAAATAACATCCATTCCCCAAAAGCTGAGCTATTTTGGCAATGTAAACAAAATGGTGGCTTGGAAAAAAAAAGGTGATGAAAGGTACTAATTCTGGAGAAAGAGGCAGAGGCCAGCCTCAGCAAATGTGGACATCGACACTGGAAATGCATTGGGTATAAAATCACATAGGGTTGGAAAATTTGCTAGAGAAAGAAACTTTAAGGCATGCCAGGATGAGGGTGACATTCTGTAAAAGATCTGCTGAGTCTTAGTCTTAGTTGAGGTTTCAACATCAATGCAATCTGGTTTCCCCATACTTGCTCCGTTTCTGTGCCAGTGCAAATCAAATGAAACGTCCCTCACTGTCATACTTGAAAAACTGGTGAACAAACAGTTAGTCCCAGAACAATCCATACATTTTTGCAAAAGATCTGCTGATTGATGATCTAGAGGATATTTCTTCATGCCCTCATTTTAGAACAACCAGCATAATTTCTTTTGGAAAAAAGCCTTCCTATTTCACGTTGTCTCAGTTTTCTTCAATGCCTAATATTGCGCAGTGAGATAAAAGAACATTTCTTGTCTCTTTCTTATAGTTGCAATCATAATTCTACCTTCATTATCCTTTTTTTTTCATGCAACCTTTGCTTGCCACTCTGTTTCATAAACCAAATCTCTGAGTATTGAATTATGAGTTTGGTAATCTTTATAGCACTCAGGATACATCTCTGCTGCTCCAGTCCCTAAGCCCAAGACACTGACATTAATATTATACAATGTGTATATATTTGACTCTTGTACTGTAAATCACATTTCTGATTTTGAAGGTGGTTACGGCCACCTTTCTACAGCAGATCCTTCTGGGACTGAAAGTGTTTACCTTCAGCTGCTTTATTTTCCTTTTCAGCTGGTTTATTGAATTTCTAAATCTTTTTCTCCAGTCCCGTCACCATCAATTGTTAACTTGACAGCAAGCCAAACATTCAGCTGTGACTTTGAACAGCCAGACTTGTGTAAATTCACTCAGGACACCACTGATGACTTTGATTGGACACAGCAGCAGCGAGGAACTGACACTCAACTCACTGGCCCAGAAAATGACCACACTTATGGAACTGCTGATGGTAAGGAGCAAGCATCCTATGTCACTCCCTATTTAAGCTTAATTTCTAAAATATAATCTGTACCCGGCCACGTTGCTGTGGCCCAGTCTGGCTAAATGGAAAAGAAAGAAAATAGAAAGCGCACAAGTCTAATATGGTTATTTCACACCCATTGTCTACACAGATATAGAGATAGTCTGGTTTGCCAACCCTAAAACATGCAACATATAATTGTGTCCATATATTAGTGGTTGTTTAAAAAATATCATTAAAACTTAAAAAAAAAAAAAGGTTATTTGTTTGTCACATGCTAAAGTTTTTTTTAATGTTTTAAAGAGCTCAAAATAAAGTTTACTATTGTAAGTGTAAAAAAAAGCCCATCGAATTCTAAAAAAAAAAAATGAGAATAGCTGAGGTAGCGTTGAACTCGGGTCTCACGCATGATAACCCAACATTGTAACCACCCCCCAACCACACCAACAACTACTACTATTCTGTTACTACTACCACTGCTGCTGCTATGAGCTGCTTAATCTTGTGGGCAAGGCAATTACTGTGACTTTCCTGACATGGGCAGTAGTGATGGTCATTGATGCCCAGTGACATGCATATCGCGAAGAAGATCGTGTCCAGGGTGGTGGAAATGGGAATGCAGCCTGGAGACCAAGGGCAAGAGTCGTCTGATTAATCACCACAGAACAGGCGTCAATAGTGGTTTTTGGGCTTGTGGAGTTAAATTATGACGCCCCAGAAAAATCTGGCCAAGATGGCGGCGTAAACAACGTTCGCCGAAAATTGTGACTAAAAGATATGTTTATTCCTGGAAAGAATGTTAAATGTGTTAGAGTAGTGTAGTTGTTCAGTTGAAGATGAATTCGCGACAGGCCCGGCAAGTCGGCGGAGGATTCAGCGGTTCAAAAAGAAATGCCCAAGATGAAAATAGGAGATGTTTTAGAAATAGGGAAAATAGAGGCCAGCAGAAGGTTAAGACCAGGGTAGGGACAATCAATATATGTGGATGGGGCAATAAAGAAGAACAAGTGATCGAATTAATGGAGAAATCTTCTTCTTCTTCTTTCGTTCGCATGAAATAAATTGTCTATATCTGCAAAGCCGTCTCTTGTATGAATTTCACTGTCTTTTGTAATTCACTAAGCGGCCCGTAAAGTTTGACTTCCACAAGTGTCTCTTTTGGCCAAATGTTTTGCCTGAAAGCGTTGAATATGGGACAGTCTTGAAGGATGTGATCTGTTGTTTCAGGTGCCAGTCCACAAGTACACATGGCCGATTGGCCAATCTTAAATTTGTTGTACATGTGGGAGCGAAGTCTATTGTGCCCTGTTCTAAGGCGAAGGATAATAACTTGCTCTGGTCTGTCCATAATATGGTAATCATCTTGTGCCAGTTTCGGTGGCATTCTGATTGATTTGATCATTCTCTTCTTCTGTTGATAAGAGACTGGTATGTCAGGTTGTTCTTCAGTTGCACCTTCCTTAGCTAGTTGATCAGCTTTTTCGTTTCCGGGAACTCCACAGTGGGAAGGTATCCACTGCATTACTAATTTACAGCGGTTGCCTAGTTCGGATAATAGTGTCCGTATGCTTGGTAATTTTCCAGACTGGAGTGACTGAAGTACTGCTTTTGCATCTGTCAGGAATACTACTGGTTGTGAAAAATACCCTGTATTTAGTAGTTTCTCTACCGCCATCTTGATGGCTTGAACTTCTGCATCATAGTTGTGACAGTGCTTTCCCGTTGGTAATTTGGCTGTATCCCTGGTATTATTAGGATACTCAATGTACACTCCCGCACCTCCGTTTTTGACTGCGCTTTCTGCTGACCCATCTGTGTAAACACGGACCCAAAGGTTCTGCGGGTATTCATCATCAAGTAAACTGAGGGTGGCTGTTTTGCGCTGCACACTGTTTTGTTCTTCCTTGTCAAATACCCCTTTCACTTCAGTCTTGATGTGTATTGGAAACTTATACTCCTCTCTCCAGGGGGTCCGTTCTGGGACAGCATTTAAGGATCTATCAGTTGCAGGTAAATCAGTGGTTTGTCTGCCGAGCCGTTTGGCCTGGTGGATAAAACTACTTCTCTTTAGTCGTCCCAAAGCTAAATTTTTGAATCTTTCATTCATAGGGTGACTGGGCATACTAAGAAACTTTTCTGCTTGTAAAAGCATCTTGGTGTCTCTGCGTTCACTTAGTGCTTGGGTAATGGAGAAATATAATGTTAAAGTATTAGGCTTATCAGAAGTGAGAATGAAAGGACGAGGAATGAAGAAACTACATAAAAATTATGTTTTGATACAATCGGGAGTAGAGGAAATGCAACGTGCGAAGCATGGAGTGGGATTTGTCATCGATCCCGAAACTGCAAAAAATATACTTGAAGTTAACTACATCTCGGAAAGAATTATAAGTTTGAAATTACAAGTAGGAAATAGTTCGGAGGTGTTTTTTAAGATATATGCTCCGTGCAATGGAAATTACAGTAAAGAGGATTTAGATTATTTCTTTGAGAACCTGGATGATGAAATTTGTAAGATAGATAATAACGAGAAACTGATCGTGATGGGTGATTTTAACGGTAAGACAGGACGAGACAGAAGAACATTCACAAGATACCTAGGCAATTATGGAGACAACAGCATTAGAAATGAAAATGGCGAAAGACTGTTGGATATATGTACACAACATGACCTTGTTATTACCAACACCTTTTTTCAACATAGAGCTTCACAAGTTTTTACATGGTATAAATGGAATGATCCAGATACCAAGAGTCAGATTGATTACATCTTGACGAGAAAAAGAGACTTTCATCAAGTTACAGATGCGAGAGTTATACCAAACTTGAGTTTAGATACAGATCATAGGATGGTGATCCTTGACAGAAAAATCAAGATAAGTTATCAAACCAAAAAGAAATGTAATAAAAGTGACATAATAAAATGGAATGAACTAGAGTGTGAAGAAAACAGGCGAGCGTTTCAGCAAAAATTACAGGAAAATTATGAACAGCTTCCACAAAACACTCTTGGGGTAAATACAGAATGGTTGAATTTCAGAGACACCACTATGAAAATAGCACAAGAAATATGTGGAACTAAAAGGAAAGGTAACATAGGGCGTAAGCTCTCAACATGGTGGTCTGAAGAAATAAGAAGTATTGTGAGCAGTAAAAAGAAAGCTTATGGCATTTGGTTGAGGAGCAGAACAGAAGAGGATTACATAACATACAGGAAAATTAGAAGAGAAGTAAATAGAACTATCAGAAAAGCAAAAAGAGATTCATGGGAAAAGTTTGGAAGCAAGCTGGCTGAAGAAGAAAGATCAGCAGTGAAAAACTACTACAAAAAAATCAAAGGCATGAGAAACAGGAATGAAGAATACAACCCCAACAGAAATTATAAATGATGAAGTTGGCCAACCTTTAATAGAACCTACTAAAATCTTAGCAAGGTGGAGTAATTACTTTGAAGCATTACTTAGCTGCAATAAAACAGATAAAAGCAGGGAAGAACATAAAAAACAACTCGGAACTAACAGCAGAGGAACTAGAACCAGGTATATTATTGGATGAGGTAAAATATGCCATTCGAACCGCGCCTAGACTAAAGGCGACAGGTATTGATGATCTACCAGCTGAGGCCATCAAGGCAGCAGGAGAAACGGGAGCAATATGGTTAAAGAGAATATTTCAGGTGGCATGGGAAAATCAAGAAACACCATCAGATTGGCAAACTGCTGTCATTGTCCCGCTGTGGAAAAATAAAGGAAGTAAGAGGGAATGTACTAATTACAGAGGAATATCACTTCTCAGTCACACTGGGAAAATGTATGCTAAGATCATCGAAAAAAGGCTGAGACCATTGATAGAGTATCAACTTTCAGAAGCACAGATGGGCTTTCGACGAAACAGAAGTTGCACAGATGCCATTTATACATTGAGACAACTATCAGAGAGGGCAATAGAACATGATAAGACATGTTTGTTGACATTCATAGACCAAGAAAAAGCCTTCGATAGAGTCGACAGGAATATGTTGTGGGAATGTATGGGGAAAAAAGGAATCAGCAATCATCTCATTAATATTTGCAAAAGCCTGTACACACGTAGTGAATGCTGCATAAGATCAAAGGCAGGGTTGTCTAGAACTTTTATAGTGAACTCTGGTGTGCGTCAGGGCTGTGTACTATCGCCCCTTCTTTTCATAACATACATGGACGCCATATGTAGCGAAACAGACTTTAATCAGGAAGAAGATATAACAGAATTACTTTTCGCCGACGACCAGGTACTCATAGCAGAAAATACGGAATGCCTACAGAACCAACTAAATCAAATTAGTAACAAAGGGGAGGAATATGATATGAAAATAAACACTACAAAGACAGAGACAATGATGATAGGAAGACATAAAGACAATTTAGAAAATTAAATTAAAAAAACAACACACTGAGACAAACAGAGGAATTTAAGTATTTGGGAGCAATTTTTACATCCTACGGAAAACTGGACAAAGAAATTAGCCCCAGATGTGCCAAAGCTAATCAAGTAATGGGTCAAATATCTCCTCTGTTAACACACACGCAGATACCTCGGAGTACTAAAGTGAATCTTATTAGAACTATTTTTTGGCCAATACTATGCTATCAGTGCCAAACGTGGACACTTACATCCTCCAATGAACGTAAAATTGTGACAACAGAGATGAAATGCCTTAGAAGAGCTGCAGGAGTTTCAAGGAAAGACAGAATACAAAATCATGAAATCAGACGAATGCTAGGAATAAAGCCAGTCTTACAGGTCATCAAAGAACAACAAATGAAATGGTTTGGACACCTAACAAGAATGCCCTGGTACTATCTGCCACAGCGAGCCACACTAAAACGTTACAACGGGTATAAAGCGAGTGGAAGACCTCGGAAAAGATGGAGTGATGGCATTAAGAACAGCCTTACAGAAATGAACATCAGTCTTAATAGTGCTCTTGACAGAGCTCATCAACGAACATTACATCTCCCCCCAACACTTCGATGAGGTACAAGGTGGAAGAGAAGAAGAAGAAGAAGAAGAAGAAGAAGAAGAAGGAGTTAAAGAGGAAAAGATCTGAGAACCTACGGATCTGTCCAGAATGCTGGAATGATAATCCTCCCAAATCAGTAATCTGTCATTCCCATATCTTTTCATTCCCATATAATCTGTCAACAACACTCTTTTTATTCCCACTTGTGCAATTTGTTTGTATTCCCACATCTTTACATTTCCAAACATTCTTTAAACACTTTGTCCCCTTAGTAAAATAATTATCTCATACAGCTTTATGCAGATTTCTGAGGTTAACAGTCAAAGTTTGGGAACGTAGCAATGAAAAAGAAATTGGATCGCTGGAAAACAAAGTCAAGATGTTGATGTGATCACGGCTAGAGCTATATAGTTTGTGCTTTGTACGATACTTTTATATAAAAATGTGTGTATTTGACTGCAACAGTGTGAAAATTTCAAAGCAATTGGTGAAGAACTTTCAGAGATAACTGATTAGGCACAAATGAGTAAACATTATCATTTATTTAGATGAGCTGCATTGCCAGCTTAGCTCAGCTGTTGTGACTGAATAAGTTAGTATCATTTATACACATCTTATAGAAAGTTCAAACTACTGGACATGAATTTGCCTAGAAAAACCACACAACAGCCAGGGGCTGTTGTGGTTGGTTCTGCAACGTCCCGTAAAGGATAAGCAACTAACCTATAGAAAGTTGGTACAAAGTGATGATAATAAGATGAATAGTCTCAGAGCTTTTGCTAAAGATGCTTTTCAATTTTTTTCATTTTTGGAGCATTTCTCACATAATTTCTCTTTCATTATTCACTTGTGCTAGCACTGTAGCTCTGTTGTTTGGCCATCACAAGTCATGAGGCCCACTCTTTCTCTCATCGGTCATATTATGTTATAACAGTTTCACCGGCCTTGAAACTAAATCTGTTGTCTGTGAGTCTGGAGGTGACTTATCAGCCCAATAAGGCCCAGAATGATCTAAGTCGATGAGGACAAGAATCAGTGACTGTAGGTAAAGGGCCTGTTATACGGGTCTTTCAAGCCTGCCTGTGCTGCTCAGCTGCCCTTTTTCTAGATGCCTGCACTGTTCAGCTGCCCCTCTTCAGTTAGCCTCCGAAGTGTCAGATATGGCTTCTCTGCTGGCCCAGAGGTCTTGGGTTCAAATCTGTCTCCAGGTGGACATTCAAAAACATGACCAGGACTCTCAGGTCAGCCCAGCCTAAATTAGAAACTAGGAAGCATTCTGCAAAGTAAAGGTGGTCAGCATGATTTTGCCCACATCACCCACTATGTGCCAGCTGGGTCTATAAAATAGGAGTCATATGATCATATGCTTGATACACCACTGGCGTGAAATTTAACCATAACTAATTTTTTTTTTTTATTACCAGCTTGTGAGATTATATGTCAAATAGTGCTCACATTCGATTGCTCCATTCCATTCTGTTCTGTGCAGTTTTTTTCTAATATTGCTCACATCAATAACCTACTGGAAAAGCTTTGTCACTCGTGTATTTTCATGCCCAAGTAAAGTAAAAGTGCCATTAGGCACATTGGGCATATAGTTCTAGACTCATATTTTATAGACCAATCAGCTCTCAGTGGGTGATGTGGTCAACATCACACCGAGTGCCTTAGCTTTCTAGGACCTTACCTGGTTCCCATTTTAGGCTGGATCAACCTGAAAGAATAGATAATTTTTGAAAAATCTGGCTCAATATAGATTTGACCTACAATCTTCGGGCTCAAGGTGAACATCTTGCACTACACCATGGTGGTTCCCTTTTATGCCCAAGATGTCTCCATTATCCTCTGTCCACCTTTATGCTGACATAATGCTGTTTTTATGAGCGAGTTTCTTTGGATGTTAAGATCTTGTAGAATGTCAGTATTTTATCTTCTTCATTATAAACCTTCCTCATATATGAGTAATCAGTAAATTGTCTCTTCTGATGTGAGTAATCAGTAGTTTGTTCCTCTGATGTCATTAGTATTGTCTTTTTCTTTTGTTGTGAGTAGTATTGTCTTATAAGTCAATAAATTCAAGTCTTTGGGTCCAGGAAAAGGCGGCATTTCAGAAAATGAAAAGTATGTTATGTAATAAATCACTTTAATTAAACATCAGAAAATGAGTACTGAAATGTTATTTTGAGCCTGTTCTGTGGTATCATAGTGACTCTTGCATTGTGAGCAAACAAATTAAGTCTGGAGGCAACTGAGATGTGGTTCTTGAGAAGAATGTAGAGAATACCTTGGATTGCCAGAGTGCCCAACATTGAATGCCTGGAAATGGCTAGTGAAAGTATAACATTATGTTTACAACAATGAGAAGGAGACAAAGTTCTTTGGTCATGTGATGAGAAACAGAGCACTCAAAAATATCTTGATGACTGTAAAGATCACTGGTAGAAGAGGCAGAGGCAGACCAAAAGAAATGATGGTGGATGGCTTATGACAGTGGCATGGAAGAATATCAGCAGTGGAATTGATCCAGAACACCAAAGACCGAGATCTGTGGAGATGCAGGAACGCCTACCCCACCTGGCAAGGCACTTGATGATCATGAGTATTGTCTTCTTCTAATTCGAATAATCAATTGTTTTTTTCCTGAATATAATTTCCTTTCAAAACATCTTCACTACACCTTTTATCATTCCATTGTGTTCTCATTATTCTTCTTAAACACTGTATTTATATATACTAGCATTAAGAGCCGCTTTATTATAGCAGCTAGATGGCCGCATGCGAATCGGAAAGCAACGGGCTCGGAACTGGACTTTTGTCAAATATGACCTTGGCTCCCAGGTTAAAAGGTTACCAGGTACAGTCCTGGGAAGTAAAGGCGGCTAGTGTGATACCGAACACATAACCCACTAAGCGCCGATTGATCTACAAAATATAGGTCCTGTCCTATACGTTCAGTACGCCTCAATGTACAGAAAGGATCGTTTACTTTACTATATTCTACCACTAGAAATAGTAAGGCATGAATATTTAAACTGTTTGATTACACAGGGCACTACGTGTTTACTGAGGCATCAGATATCAATGGGCAGATCAAGCAGTCTGGTGATTCTGCCCGACTCATCAGTCCAACCTTCATTTCTGTCAGTGAAGATATCTGCCTCAACTTCTTCTACCACATGTATGGACAGAGCATGGGAACTCTCAATGTCAGGGTGAGTACAACACTGGGCTACAACCTGCTATCAGTGAGTCAAAAAAAGAAGAAAGAAGGTTCCCGATTTGGTAAAATCTATGGATCCATATTATTTTTTCAAAAGTCTGTTGTGGACCTCATACTTTTTAATAGTCATACTCTACCCAAAGTATTTCAAGATCCTTGCCGGTGCAATGAAACTCGTGCACTGCGCTTAGATTCTTTGGACTCAGGCTTGAGTTATAAGTAGAACGGAGCACTTATGGGTTATGACCCTTGTGCCATGATGTTGATCCTTTGTATAAGCCTAAACCTCTAAAATGATGCTTGCCACTCTGCAAGTTTAGCCATGAAAAAGAAACAATTAAAAAAGTACTTTCAGTTTCATAAATTTAAAAAAACTTTTTTTTTTAGATGAGTCTTATGATGAACATTTGGACCCAACAAATGAACCAGCCAATGACTTCCCAACCTCCAAGATTAGTAACTCTAATATTTAGTTTAACTGCTGTATGTGAAGTTACCTTTATTTTCTCTGTTAAATTAAATTGCATTTTTGGTTTCCAAATGTGTGTTAGTACTGATTTTCAGCTGCGAACTGGTCCTAACTTCAAAGCTCTGAATCAAGTGATATGGACAATGAGCGGAGATCTTGGCAATCAGTGGAATATAGGAGAAGTAACAATACCAGCCGTGATGATTTCACAGAACTTTCAGGTATTTATAATTATTTTTTAATTAAAATGTTCATCTTTCTTTTATACTCTTCTAGTGTTTTATATTCTGTTTAGACAGATCCTTAGTTTGTTACACTGCAAATTGAAATAAATCTATCATCCTCTTCTTATGCTTCTGTTTCTCCGTCAGTTTATTCACCGAAGAATGGGGGAGATTGAAGAATCATCTTTGTGCTTTTTCTAAAATGCTATGTAAGTTGTGATTGATTCTTCATTGGTCTTAATTTCTCTGAGGTTGTTTTTGATGTTATCACTCCCTTTTGCTTGGTCTTCTCCTTGCTCTGTGCTCATTATATTTCTTCAGCATAGTTGCTGTCTGTGGCAGATGGTAGCAGGAATTCTTGTCACATGGTCAAACTACTTCATCAGTTCTTTAATGAATTATAACTGGTGTCAGTCCCAGTAAACTACAAACCTCTTAATTAAGCAATAACATGGCTGCAGACACTATTATAAGCAACACCCCTTTCAAGCATGTCATAAGAGGTGACTAGGTAGGTTTCTGCTGAAATCAGATGTTAGGTCGACATGTAAACCACCTCACAACGTGCCACCTGCCATTTTAAGGATACAAGCATAAGAAGAAGAAGATCATAACCAACATCTGAATGTTTTTGAAAGCAGCAGTGATTTATTCTGTCAGAAAGGGGGAAAAACAATCATAACTGACCTCTGAATGTTTGCTTTTGAAAACAGGTATTAGTTTAATAGTTTACAGTAGGGGGAATAATTAAAATTGATTACATAACAACTGTTAGTTCACTGGTGATCTTAATAGTTTACAGTGAGCGGGATGGGGGGGGGGGGGGGGGGGGAAAGAAATAACTAAAATTTATTAAATATCTATTAGTTCACTGGTGATCTCTTTTTTAGATCATAACCAAGTGTATGTTTTAGAAGACAACACTGATTTATTAGTTAAAGTAGGGAGAATAATTCAACTGATTAAATATTTCAGATTGTCTTTGAAGCTGTGAGAGGAATCAGTTACTTCAGTGATATAGCCTTGGATGATGTTTCCGCCAAGCTGGGACCTTGTGCATCACGGGGTAGGCTATTTTTATATCAGGTTACATGCTGTGGACATGTTAATCGTTGCACTGATGATTGTTTAGTTAGATCTGCCCACTTAAACACCTTGCTTAATGCAATTACTTAAAGTGCAGTTTCACATTAGAGCCAAGGTCAGCTTTGAATGAAAAGAATCTTCCATTCCATTCAAATCTGAACTCATGATCTTAGGATTTGTAAGTGAGCATCTAGCGCTACACCACTTTGGCTTTAGCACCATGTACAGAGTAATTAATAAGTGTACGGTGAGCTGCATTGTAATGGATGAGTCAAGAAGGATTGACAGTCATCACATTTTGTGAAGAAGCTGTAGTCATATATTCAGAATTATTGCTACATGATGAATTAACATGATTTTCTTTGTGTCTTTTGATCAGCCACATGCAATTTTGATACAGACATGTGTTACTACTCAGATTATCCAGCAGATTATAACTGGATCCGACATCATGGCTCCACAGGTAAGACATGGAACTTTATTACATGTGCACTTTTCTCAGTATGTATGTCAATTTGTCTACACAAGTAGGTGGGTACATGTAATTGCTGACAGTGCTCTCTTTTCAAAAGCATGGTCTGGATTAGGTATCAATATCTGCAGTCTTCACCACTATCTGTTGTAATTAATCATTTGTCCCCTTCGGGCTGCTAATTAGAGGTTTACTATACAGTCCTGAGATTTAAAAGTATCCCAGTCCAGACAGCAGATCAAGAATGCAGATCCAAAAAATCCTGTCAGCCTTAAACAAAATTATAATAAAGACACCCATGATGGCTACCCCAGCCACGTGTGATCTGCAGTCCTATATGGGTCAGGACGTTTTGCTTATATGATCATTTTTCCGTGTGTGTTGCAGGGCCCCACTGTTGAGTTAAACAAGAATAGTCCCACTTCCTCCTTAACTAAGAGTCGACTAATTAGGTGTGTCCTTCAAAGTCGGAGTGCATCTGCTGGAAAGGTCAGGAACCAGCAGTCTGCATACAAATCAGCCAGAAATTTTGTAAAATGGATGTGCACACAAAATCCAAGTACTTGAACAATAATAGAGTCCAGAGATGGGCAGGTAACCAGAACTTTCTGCTTAAGTTAACAGCAGTGAATGTGAAGAAGAAAAGAAGAAGAAAAATAAGGAATTATTGTGTGAACCCAGCTGTTGAAATTCTCCATGTGCATTGAGCTATATGGATTAATTACAGAGATACATGATCACCTATGCCAGGTAATAAGGAATTTGATGGTGATAATGAGATATTTGTCTATAATTTTTTGGGGCGTACCATAGTGAAGTGGTCTAGGTGTTGACTGAATACACTGGAGGTAGGAGGTTAAATTTCAGTTTGTGTTGTTTGGGTTAACAGCACAATTTTATTTTTTGGAAGATCCTTGCCCATAGACTTTGGATTTACTGAGTTTATGCATTATGTGATGCATTCGCAAGCTGTCAGCCACTCTTGAGAGTGTTGTTTGTTTGCATTCACCAACTGTAAACCCTGGTGGAAAGACCTGGTTGTTCGTTCATTTCTGGACTTTTGCTTTGTTCCAGGACCTGTGTTTTGCATGTGCATCTGTTTTACAGATCTTGCTTATTTGTATGCAGACTGTTGGTTCCTTGCCTCTTAGGTGGATGCATTCTGACTTTGATGGAAGCTCCCAGCTAGTCGCCTATTACAGCATGTTTGTTGGGAAGGTAGTGGGTTTATTCTTGTTTTCCTCAGAATGGGACCTTGGAACCCACACAGGAAAAACTCTGGAGAGTGAGTGAGATACAAAGATAGAGATGAACAGAGAGAGTGTGTAAGAGAGACAGTGAGAGAGAAAGAGAGAGAGAAGAGAGAGAAATAAAAAGAGAGTGACCAACCCACATGGAATACAAATATGAAGCGATTAAGTGGATCTTCCATCTCTCTTTAAATTTTTTTTGCCCTTGACAATTTAAAAGCAGGCAAAATATATTAAACTTGTCATGTTTTGATATTCTTCACTTACAGACTCTGATTATACTGGACCTAGTGCTGACCACACCCAGGGAAATGACAATGGCTATTATATGTACTTAGAGGCATCAGCACCTCATATCCAAGGGCAGACAGCAGTTCTTAGCAGTGAGAGGTAATACAAGGCAGATTTGGAGGGGCAATAGGTTTATCTGATGTAAACATTAAATATCTGAGTTTAGCTATGTTGCATGTTGAGCTAAAAACTGACATCAAAGCACTCTAGATAGTCCCATAAGTGCTCCATCCTCATCTTCAGCAGCCAGGAAAGAGTTCCAGTTCTGGTGGTGCTAGTAGCAGTTTAGTTGTATGTCCAACTTGCCTGCCCTCTGAGAGGGTGACAATGAGATCCTCTGGTCACTCTCAGCTGTACCATTCTCTTCAGACCATAATGATCTATTCGTAGCTCTGTGCATTGTTCACTTACTCCCACGGAACCTTGACCACATCTAGCCTGTCATGCATAAATTCATCACCCAATGGTGCAGAACCAGCCAATCTGTCTGCCTGTTCATTACTGAACACTCCTGCATGCCCCAAAAGAAAACTAACTACCCAGCATTTTTGAAGCGATTCCTATCAGACGAGATTTCCTCAGCAAAACTGTTGCGCACATAAAAATATATCTCTTGCAAATCAAAAAGAGTAGCCTAACAGCTCCTAAAAATGTGGAGTTAAAATCTACCCAAAGTATTTCAGGATCCTTGCTGGTACTACGGAGCTTGCGCACTGCGCTGAGATTTTTCGGACTCAGTCTTAAGTTAGAAGTAGAACGGATCACTTATGGGTTATGACACTCGTGCCATGATGTTGATCCTTTGTATAAGCCTAAAAATCTGAAGCGATGCTTGCCACTCTGCAAGTTTAGCCATGAAAAAAAGAAACAATCAAGCAAGTACATTCAGTTTCATAAATTTAAAAAAAAAACTTTGGACCCATCAAAGATGCAAACAGTGGGGAATGGAGAGTGAGAAGCAACAGCAAAATTCGTAATCTGTTTAAATCACCATTAATCACTGGCATCATGAGAGCTAATAGGCTGAAATGGCAGGGGTATATTGAGAGAATGTCAGATGACAGAGAGGTAAAAACTGTGTACACAAGAGAGCTGAATGGTCATAGACCACAAGGCAGACCAAGAAGACAATGAAGAGATAAGTCCAGACAGACCTGCAAACACTTGGTGTCACCAGTTGGAAAGAGAAGCCAACCAGAGAGATACATTAAGAAGAAGAAATACATTCAGTATCTTATTGGTTTACATTTGTCTGTCTGCTTACCCTCTCTGGGCTGCTGCCTGAAGGAGTAAACACCCCAGAGACTACAAGAATCTCATGCTGGATAGCAAGCAAACGACAAATCCAAGATATTGTCTTCAATTGCCTAAAATGTATTAGAGCACCTGTGACAGCCACACCAAGGAGTGTACTGTTGTGTCTTGTATGGATAAGTTATTCAGGTTTGCAGCTCAATGTGTAAAATTATCCGGAGTGCAATGATGATAACCCAACTAACTAGCTAACTAACTAACTAACTGAGTAAAATTACACCTGTGAAAGATGCCTGAAAAAAGCCACCAACATAACCATCTGAGACAAAATTAGAAATAATATTATCAGAGAGACTGTAGGAACAACACCAGGCAGCAAATTCATTGAGAAACAGAAGATCAAATGGTTTGGTCAGTTAGTAAGAATGCAGCCAAAACAACTACCAATGCAGGTGCTACAAATGTAAAGATCTGAAGTGGAAGTAAGTCGCCACCTTAGGAAAACATGGACTGATGACATTAAAGAGCTTCTACATTGACACGGAATGACAATAGTCATTGCTGCCCATCAAGCAATGGATCACAAACTGTTCCTCCCAACAATGCTTAATGACAGAAGTGAAAATTGATGATGATCAGGTTAAGTGAAATGAACTAAGGTCCAAGAGTCACTGGAAGTGAGCAGCATGGAAGCCATATTCCTTTAGTTTGCTTTAATCAAATATGAAATATAAGAGAACATTAAAGAGTCTGCCCATCACTTCCCCAATCTCTTGTGGTTTCAGTAAAGAAACATTTGAGTTATATGTTGCCAATTATTCTCATTGTATGTCCTTTTATGCAGTATCTTCATTTTCTCATTTACCACTAAAATTTGTTTTCTATGCTTTCTAAGCAACCTTTTAATTCTCTCGTACCATTTTTGTCTTTCTATATGTTTGTTTTTAACAAATTTATATTATATTTGCGTATTTCTGTTCTGCCATTATGTATTTTATGATGTTGACATTACAATTTTGTTTGTTCCTAAGGTTGTCACCAACAAATGGCAGCTGCTTCACTTTTTGGTACCACATGTATGGAAGCAGTATTGGGAAACTCAACATTCTCATCAGCATCACTCCGACACAGAATGCCACAGTCTGGTCACTCTTCGGTGATCAGGGAAACCAGTGGCTCAATGGTCAAGCTCCGATTGTATCCCAGTACAACAGTTTCTTTGTAAGATCAATTGGTTATCAACACTCTCAGTACTAAGCAGTCATTACTACAACTCATTTACCCAAAGACAATTGGTTATCAACCCTCTCAGTACTAAGCAGTCATTACTACAACTCATTTACCCAAAGACAATTGGTTATCAACCCTCTCAGTACTAAGCAGTCATTACTACAACTCATTTACCCAAAGACAATTGGTTATCAACACTCTCAGTACTAAGCAGTCATTACTACAACTCATTTACCCAAAGACAATTGGTTATCAACACTCTCAGTACTAAGCAGTCATTACTACAACTCATTTACCCAAAGACAATTGGTTATCAACACTCTCAGTACTAAGCAGTCATTACTACAACTCATTTACCCAAAGACAATTGGTTATCAACACTCTCAGTACTAAGCAGTCATTACTACAACTCATTTACCCAAAGACAATTGGTTATCAACACTCTCAGTACTAAGCAGTCATTACTACAACTCATTTACCCAAAGACAATTGGTTATCAACAATCTCAGTACTAAGCAGTCATTACTACAACTCATTTACCCAAAGACAATTGGTTATCAACACTCTCAGTACTAAGCAGTCATTACTACAACTCATTTACCCAAAGACAATTGGTTATCAACACTCTCAGTACTAAGCAGTCATTACTACAACTCATTTACCCAAAGACATTTGGTTATAAACCCTCTCAGTACTAAGCAGTCATTTCTACAACTCATTTTACCCAAAGCGTTGTTACGTTAACCCTTTCACTTCATAAATGCTTTTTAAAAAATGCTATATGAACTTATAGAATTGTCTGGAAAACATCAGTATTTAAAAAAAAAAAACAGACACAAATTATATAGGTCACTTATACATTTGCTAAAAATGAATTTTGTTTTAAAATCTTTTTATAAAAAAAAAAAAAAAAATTAATGTTCGCACATAAAGATGTATCAAGGGGTAATAAATAAACATGAACAGAGTGGAGCATCAGATGGATTAAAATCCCTAGGGCATTTAAAAAAAAAGCTTTAAATGTATTGGGTGACTCATGCTGTGAACTATATCACTGAGGCCAATGAGAAAATATGACATTAAATTGGCTTTCAAAAAGCAATTGTGATCATAAGACCCCCCCTCCCCCCCCCCCCCCCCCCTTTCCCCCCAGTCCCCAATTGCTATTTTTAGTTACTATATTCATATCCTGGCCTATTAAACACTACACAGCTGCACTTAGGACCAGTGGAATTTAACTACGCTTTTCAAAAAACAGGTAACTGCAGACATGGCCATATATCAGCATTTCTGGGGAGGTGCCACAACTGGAGGATTGTTACTGGGACACAAGGGTAAAACAAATAAATGTTGGGTCTAAAGAAGTTAAAATAATAACTTTTTTGAACAGAAAGAATAAAGGTTATTATTAGGGTAGACAGAGATAATTTATAACTAACGGAAATGTAAAGAGTTACAACAAGCACATCATGCATGAATTTGCCAGTAAATGCATGGAGAATTCCCTGGTACTGAATGAATTAACTGATTCACATGTAATTATTTAACAGAGCCAAAATATTGAAACACATAATTTATTTTTTATGATAATGTGTTGATGATAAGAAAAATGTAAAGTATTACAGCACATTGTAGAGAATAGGTCACTCCAGAATTTCTCTGTTCTTGTGCCAACAAAAACCACACAAAATACCTATCACTGTCCCTTGTGAATAGTTAGACTGCAGTCCTGGCAGGCTAGAAATTGCACAGTTCATTTTTCTATCGTCTTTGTTCAAATTTACAACAAAGAAACATTTTTTTTTATTTATTACTTTTCTTTGAGAAATTGATGCCAACTTAAAAAAAAAAAATAATAATAATAAAAAATGTTCACATTTAAATTGTGAGTAAAGATATTTAATACTTTACGTTTCACATGTGGAAATTTCAGATTTTAATTCAAGGTGTAAGAGGAGTTGAATTCGATGGAGACATTGCAATTGATGATGTAGGATATCAGAACTCTCCATGTGGAAGTAAGTGAAACATTACAACTCTTTGAAAGGAACATTTTTAATCAACCTGGCTTTAAAAATGCTATTGGATTTACAAGAAAGCCCCTGTAAATGCTATGTTTAGTTAATATATTCACATCCGGACCTCCTAAATACTGCACAGCTACATATAGAGCCAAAAGCACTCAACTATGTTTGAGAACAGGTCACTTGTGAAAAGACGATATATCAGAATAAATGTGGCCTGTATCACAATTGGAAGTGACCAGATTTAGACTTCTCATGGTAAAAGGGTTAAAATTTTCACTTTTAGTTGAAAAAGAGGGTTAAAGTGGGATATAGAACCTTTATTGTTATTTTCAGGTGAAACATGGACAATAAGCAGACAAGATGAAACACATTTACTTGCAGGCAGATGAAAGCCATACATTGATTAGAGAAATTAGATGTAAACAGTCGGAGATTTTCAGGCGTTAGGAAAAGCAATAGATTTTGAGGTTTGAACAATGGATCAACCCATAAGTGCTCTGTTCTTCTTCTAATTCAAGTCCTAGTCCAAAGAAGCTCAGCACAGTGCACAGGCTCTGTAGCACCAGCTAGGATCCTGAAATACTTTGGGTAGATTTTAAACTCCAAATTTTGCCCAGGAATGCTGTTAGGCTACTCTTTGTCATTATCAACTGCCAAGGGATTTTTTACGTGCGCAACAATGCACACGAGTGTCTGATCTCACTACCAAGAGACCAGGGGGAATTACTAGTAGTTCAAGTCCACATGAAAAAATCCCAACCCTTACCGGGGATTGAAATGAGAACCTTTAGCACTCGAGGCGAACACCATGCCTTGAGACCATGTAGACTTGAGAACTTGGTGACAACTGGCAAGTTTGATGGTAAGGGGGCAAGGAGAAGGCAAAGAGATAAATACCTGGAAGGTTTCATATGGATAAGGCAGCCCAAAATGCACTGAACTGATTCACGAATCTAGTGATCATGTGAGAACCATGACAGCCTACACTTGTTGTCATAGCTCATGGCGGTGGTGACGAAATTAGTAATCTCTCCTTTTATTACCAAATTTTTAAGACACAAGACAGAGGGTACTGGAATTTTTTTAAAAGGCAATTTTCACTGGGAAGGTAGCACATGGTAAAATAGTTAATTAACACTACTCTTCATTTTCAGCACTCCCTGCTACGGCTAAGCAAATAGTACACATCCTGACACCACCACCTCCTGTACAGACATGTAAGTTTGACATTTTTTAACTTGGGATTTTTCACATTCTTGGTTAATTTCAGATAGCAGAAACAGTTTTATCTCTCCTAGCACACAAAGGAATTTTAACTTTTTCAGGACTAGACTGCTTCACAGTTGGTGCTTCACAGTTGGTGCTTCACAGTTGGTGCTTTCCAAAGTGGAAAATATTCACTTTAAAAATCATCAATGCATGAGAGTAAATATACTCTCATTGCATAGAACATTATAAAGGAGAACACTAGTAACGGTCAAATCTCTTTCCACAGGAACCCACACTGCTAAAGAAACCAAGTTGTCACCTTTTTAACTAACCCCACTACTCCCCCTTTTATGACCGAAAGGACACTGTAGAATACCTGGACTAAGAAGAAGAGAAATACTGGCATCCTAAAAGATGTGAACATCATTGAAGATTGGCTAGTAAACAGCATCTTGTCATGCAGACTGACATATTTTTGCAATATAAAACCCCTCAGCAGATTGGAAAGAATAGTAGCAGAAAGCTTGGTGCCAGCAATGAGAAGCAGGCACTGACCAGCATGAAGATGGGCACAGTATATAAGTGAGACACTTGGTAGGAAAGTGCATGAGGCAGGAGATCTGGCAAGAGTTTGGGTTTCTTTCAGACACATCGGGATAAGAGCGATATTGTGCAAAGTGATGCACATGATGATAACGAGACTCCCTGGGTGTCAGTACTTGTTAATAATTGACTACCTAATCTGTTCTGCTTAATTTTATCTTATAAACAGTAAAGTATGAGTTGAAGTCAATAAGTAGGTCATAAATGGTTGTTTAAAAAAAAAGAAGCCTACAGATGATAACAACTTGAAAACTGTTTATTTTTGCACATACACTGTCCCTTTATTTTTAAACATAATTTCTACCAACACTGATGCACTTGTCCCATCATTTTACCAGCCCTCCCAAACCTGCTGCATATAACTGCGTGTTCTGTTTTCTAAACCACATTTTCACTTTACATTCAAATTTTGTGATTTGCGAAATGTCTCCCACCAAAGTGAGTTTTCATTGGACCAAAAGGGTAGAAATCGCTAGGGGCTAAGTTAGGGCTGTAAGGTGGATGTTCCAGAAGTTCCGATCCTAGATGGTTAATTTTCTCCTGAGTTAACTGAGCCGTCTGTGGTCTAGCTTTGTTATAAAGGAGCAGTACTCCTCCAGTCAGCACGCCTGGACATTTTCTTTGAATTGCATCTTGAAGCATTGATAGAACTTTACAGAATGAATCAGCTTTCACATTGTCACCTCTATTTTTTTTAATTAGTTAAAATCACTCCTTGACAGTCCCAAAACGCTGTCAGCATGATCTTCCCTGCTGATGCCATAACCTTGAATTTTGTAACACAAGGTGAAGAAGGATGAGGAAAATCTGGTAGCTATTGCATCATCACAGCCCAGTGTCGTTAAAAAGATGGTTATGAAAAAGATTGTTTTTTCATATTAGGAATCATTATTTTGTGCAAAGGTGAATTTTGTATATGAAGGGAAGTAATCTCAAATATAATAGAAAAAAAAAAAAACTGCTTTCCTTCTCTTTGACAAAGAAAACAGGCACATAGAGTAGTGACATCATCAAGAGTTTATTACAAAGTAACAAAGAAAAAAATAACAAGACAGAAGGAAAATAGTCAAGACAGAAATCAAGTTGAGTTGAGTTGTTTCAAGAACCAACATCACAGCACTCGGGGCATTTCCATGAGCGCTCCACGCCCATCTTCAGCAGCCAGTGCAGAGTTCAAATACTATTAGTGCCAGTGGCATTCTGATTAAATGTCCATCTTGCCTTTCCTCTAAGCGTCGAGCATCGGCCAGAACCCCTCATCACTCCCCGCTGCATCAATCTCACCAGACTGCGGTGATACATCTGCTCCTCCAAACTGTACATGCTCTCCCACAAGGCACTAACCACGTCTGCCTTATCATGCATCAATATTCCACTAAGTTGTGCAGAGCCGGCCAGTCTGTCTGCCTGTTCATTCCTCAACACACCAGCATCACCCACAGAAAAGATCCAGACAATAGTTCTTACCCATGACCTCTGCAGTGAAGCATGCCACTCTGCATAAAGCATGCCTGTCCTGACCTGCCTTTCCTGTCCTGACATGCTTTCTGAGTCAGTTAGTGTCCCAATGTGTGTGTGTGTGTCATGTTCTCTAACCAGTGGAAAGCTGCAGTGACTGCCTCCACCTCAATTCTTAAGCTGCATGTTGTGGTATCATTTGCTTGGTTCTCCTGCACCAAACGTCGACCATTAACTTTTGCTAAGAAATCCTAAGCACTTGTTTTGCTTCTTGACACTGACCCGTCTGCATAAAAAATTACATCCTTTGTGCATGCATTATCTTGAATTAATTGCTGAATTTCCACCTCCATGGCACCTGCTGACCACTCTCTACACTCACGGCTTAATCTTATTATGACTCAACACAAGTCTGACTGTTCAATTAGCACCTTGACCCACTCCTCTCCTCGCCTAATGTTCTCCAGGATACAAACCTGTCTGATTCTAACTTCTGCCTGAGCAGTCCATGACGTCTCTCTTATCAGCCGCTGACCCTTATCTACACCCAGAACATCGTGCAAAGGGTGATCTGTATCTGCAGCTACTCTGAGATATGACACCATATAAATTGTATGCAACTAATTCAACTCTTGAACATAATACTGTTAAAAAAGAAAAATGTTGTTGAAGTATGTGCGTGTTCAAAGTATAAGTATATATTAGAATAAATAATCCTAAATGTTAATATTGGTTTATATTATTATATAAGTATGTATTATAATTATATTGCTTGATTTATTTTGGATTTGTTATTTGCTTTTAGCTACCGGACCTTTAGACTGCACGTTTGAAACAGACATGTGTTCTTGGGTACAATCAAAAACCGATATTTTTGACTGGCAGAGGGAAGCCACACGGGATCCTTCATCTAGCTCTGGACCCACTGTAGATCACTCCGGGTGTAAGTTATATTTGTTTCTTCTTCTTCTTCTTAGTGTTCCTTGGCTGTAAACCCCAGAGGAAAATTTTGGTAGTTTGTCCACTTCTTGGTCTTTATCCTGAACTTGAGTTTTTATTGGGATTGTTGGTTCCTTGCCTCACAGACAGATGAGCTCTGACTTTGAAGGAAACATGCCTAATTAGTTGCTTCCAACGACATATTTGTTTTTGGGGGGAGGGGGAAGGGAAGTGGGCCAAAATAGAGCCACTGAAACCCACACACAGCTGAGCTGCTGATTTTGTGTTTAAAAACTAGTTTAAAAAAAACAAAAAACCTTCTTAATGTCATATGTACATAAAGCAATTGGAAAGTTATTATACCCTTTTTTAGGCCAGTGACAAATCAGGCACATCATACTAGATTCCCATTTTTATAGACCAGTCTGTATTTGACAGGTGATGTCAAAATCAAACTGATTTTCTTTCATTTCATGCAATGTTTCGTGGTACCTTTGACCTGAGAACTCTAAATGTGGCCATAAATGATGACTGTCTTTTTCTGGTGTTTGATTCAACTTGTTTAACTCTTTGAGTCCCAGGGGGTTTAGCATCACAGGCCCAAGGGGTAGTCAAGACAGATGTAAAATCGGCGCATCATGCGTTTATTGGGCCTCTAAGTAAGAATCTATAAACGTATGATGCGTTCCTTGGGACTCAAAGAGTTAAGAACATTGCAGATTTTCTTATAATAAAAAAAAAGGAAAAACAGGAGAAATTAAAAATGTACAGATTGAAATATCACGCGTGTATATTAAAAGCTGACATTTTAATTGTTTTATTCTTCACATTCACTGGCTGTAAACTCTGGTGGAAAGTCCTGGTTTTCATCCACTTCTTTACTTTGTTCGTCTTCCAGGACTTGAGTTTTCTGTGCACATCCATTTTACAGATCATCATTATTTGTGTGCAGGCTGTAGGTTCCTTATCTCTCAGGCAAATGTACTCTGACTTCAGAGGGAAACTTTGATCCTATCTGCGACGACCAGGCTTCCCAAATGGGATTCTGTTTCTAGGATTACTGTGAGGTCATACCAGTATGAACCCTGGTCCTGGGGCAGCACCATGTGTCGTTCAATACCTCTGCAGCTCCCTTATTTGTGATGAATAATAAAAGGAAAGCTTTTTTTTTTTAAGTAACTAAACTGTTTGTGTCACACACTGAAGTTTGTGAGGTCACTTCTAGAATGTGTCTAGTGATCCTGCAACCTAAACTGTTTGTGTCACACACTGAAGTTTGTGAGGTCACTTCTAGAATGTGTCTAGTGACCCTGCAACCTAAACTGTTTGTGTCACACACTGAAGTTTGTGAGGTCACTTTTAGACTGTGTCTAGTGATCCTGCAACCAAAACTGTTTGTGTCACACACTGAAGTTTGTGAGGTCACTTCTAGGCTGTGTCTAGTGACCCTGCAACCTAAACTGTTTGTGTCACACACTGAAGTTTGTGAGGTCACTTCTAGACTGTGTCTAGTGACCCTGCAACCTAAACTGTGTGCACGTTTGAAAACTAAAGTAGATGGTTTAAAACTAATATGGACATTTTTCAAAACGCCTACAACACTTTTCATACCCAGCTGGATGATTTTCACCACCTATGACGTTTGATCATCATCCAGTTTAGTTTAAAAAATGTCCTAGTTGGTTTGAAAAGTGTCTAGTTTAAAGTGAAAATTTTATATATATATATATATATATATATATATATATATATATATATATATATATATATATATATATATATATATATATATATATATATATATATATATATATTTATATATTTATATATGAAATGGTGTGCATGTGTGTGTGCATGCATGTGCGTGCATGCATGTGAGTGTGTGCGTGTGTGCACATGTGTGTGTGTGCGTGCATGTATGTGCATGTGTGTGTATGTGTGTATTAAGTGTTACTTATTTTGCATAAGGTATTTTACAATTTATGTAAAAAAAATATCAGACCCTTTCCACGCCAACGGTGAACTATGCATATAATGCTAGACAATTTTTGTTTGACAGACAAGTTGACACCCGATGTTGATTTCAACATCAAGGCAGCTACATCTATATCACAGAATATCTCCTTGTGCCCATTTTAAACTGGCTGGACCTAGGACCAGCTGCAGGGGGTTTGGCAGCAGACCAGGTTGCACTAGTTTTGACGGTAGTATCCAGAGCCGACAATTTAAAAAGCAATGACAAAATACTGACATAGAATTGCCAAGTGAAATCATAAAAAAAAACAAAAAATGCTGTGGTTGATTCTGCAAAATCCTGTAAAGGATACACAACTAACTGTTTTGTTAAAGAGGGGGGGGGCACTATGGGTCTAGTACACAACCCCCCCTATCCCCGACTAAATGTGGAGCCCGAGAACCCACACAGAGAAGCTTCTTACCAATATATCAATGCTTATTATTTCTTTATGTTTAGCTGGCTTCTTTGCCTTCATTGACTCCTCTACACCACGCCGCCAGTACGATAACGCCATCCTCAACAGCCCTGTCACATCTGGTGAACACTGTTTTATCTTCTGGTACTACATGTGGGGGGACCATATCTGGACACTGAATCTCTACAAGGGACCCAGCAAACAAACTCTGCTGTGGACCAGACAAGGAACTCAGGGCAAAAAATGGCTGCAAGCAAACATCTACATTGACAGTGCTTATGCTTATGTGGTTAGTTTGTGGTAGACTTTATATGTTTTGATAGGAGTTAATATGTTTTGTTACATTTAGCACACATATATTAACAGGGCTTATGCTTATAAATATATATATATATATATATATATATATATATATATATATATATATATATATATATATATATATATATTAGGGCTGTACCAAATATTGGCTTTGTATTTGCTTTGGGGCTGAATAGTGGACCTATTGACTATTCAGTATTCTGCTAAATAGTTGCGGTCGGGCTGAATACGAATAGTAGTTACCTTAGACCCGCTTCTGCATACATGACCTTATTACTGACAACATGGAACGATTGGTTTTGTTGAAAGCTAATGCAGCTTTCATGCATTAACTAAGCTACAGTGACAATTTCCAAGTTAAGTTACTTTTTATAATACTTAGGATACTTTCATTCCTAGTTATTAGTTACCACAGTCTGACTGAAGGATGCAAAATATAACATGTTTTTAATCAAATGTTTACTATTCTGTACGAATTCTAACTAGACATGGAAAGAATATAAACTCTGGCCACATCCAAGTCGATAATATGAAAATCAAACAAACGGAAACATATAAGTACTTGGGTGCAAATTTCAACTGCTCCAACATGCTGAGAGAAGAAATACAATCTAGAATACAATCTAGAAAAAAGTACACTATGCCCTTCAACATCTGCTAAAGTCAAAGTGTCTGTCTCGCAACACCAAGATCAAAATATATAAAACATTAATAAGACCAGTCGTTTTATATGGCTCTGAAACTTAACGCAGAAATAAAAGAGATGAGGCCTTATTACAGGTTTTCAAAAACAAATCTTTGGACCCATCAAAGATGCTAACAGTGGGGAATGGGGAATTAGAAGCAACAACGTAACACATAATCTGTTTAAATCACTGGCATCATGAGAGCTAACAGACTAAAATGGTTGGGACATATTAAAAGAATGTCAGATGACAGAGAAGGGTTCTCCTTAAAACTACAGCCACTTATTATGGAGTACGCCGGAGTTCAGTCCCCTGGCCGCATTGCATTTACGGAATGAAAAAGAGGGAACGAAACAAATGACGTAATTACTGTGTATTGGTGATAGATGCACTCCTGTCATTATAGGGTTAGAGTTTTGGTTAGGGTTAGGGTTAGGAGTGGCCGTAGTTTTACGGAGTACCAATACCCTAACCCTAACCCTAACCCAAACCCTAACCCTAATCCTAACCCAACCCTAACCTTAACCCTAAGCCTACCCCATTATGACAGCAGTGCATCTATCGCCAACACACAGTAATAATGTCATCGGGTCACGCTGTCTATCGCCACCACACAGTAAGTACGTCATTTGTGTCATTTCCTCTTTTCCTCTCGGTAACTGCAATGCGGCCAGGGGACTGAACTCCGCCGTACTCCATAATAAGTGGCCGTAGTTTTAAGGAGAACCCAGAGAAGTAAAACTGTATACACGTTGGAGATGAACAGTCGTAGACCACGAGGCAGACAAAAAAGAAGTTCGAAAGATAATGTCCAGCTAGCTCTGCAAACAACTGGTGTCACAAATTGTGAAGATAAGGCCAGCCAGAGAGATGAATGGAGACGAGTGAAATCTGCAGCAGTAAACCTCAAGGGCTCAGAATGCTAAAGAAGAAGATGACTATAGTGAAAATCACTATTCTGTACAGCCCTAATATATATACACACACACACACACACACACACACACACACACACACATACAAACACATGAACACACACACACAAAAACACACACACACTTGTGTATAAAACATATAACATCTTTGATGAGGCAAATAACCACAGTGCAAAATCAGGAGTAGATAACTGTGTATTTTTATTTTACACTACGATTTCCATAAAAGTCCTGATGGGGTTAATAACCACAGTGCAAAATCAGGAGTAAATCACTATTACCTCTTTTGATTCACAAGGTTTTCTATAAGATTCTTGATGAGGTAAATAACCATAGGGCAGAATCAGGAAATAATTACAGTTAATTCTTTCATCTTGTGAGGTTTTCCATAAAATTCCTGATTGGGTAACTAACCCCTGTGCAAAATCAGAAATAGGTTCCTTTAAATTCTATTGTCCCTTAATGTTTTTCAAAAGATTACTGATGGTGCCTGTTCTGTTTTTTTTTTTTTTAGCTGCAAATTGAAGCCATTGTTGGATCAGGAGCAGGTGGTGACATAGCCATAGATGACATCTCTGTTACAAATAGCAAGTGCCCAGAAGGTACCCACAAAAATGTTTTATTTGATTTTTTAAAGCCATTTGTTAATTGCTCTGTGACTTGTTATTACCAGATGATATATTTAGGATTCTTGATTGGTAATTCTATCATCACTATCCAGTTGTGCCGTTTATGGATCATGTTGGGCTTGCAGCCAGTAAAGAAAAAAAAGGTAAGTCGGGAGATGTGAACCAGCATCATTGCACACGGTTATAAACCATAAGTGCTCTGCCACCAGTACGGACAGCTAATAAGAAACTGTCCGCCTGTGTCACCATCCGCACGCAACTCTGTAGCTACAGCGACGTTCCTCCATTTACCCCAGCGTGTTAACTCTGATACCCATTTCCTAGAGGCTAGGTGAACCTCAGGAACACCCCAGTTTCGAACAACGGCCATGGGCTACAGCGAGTCACAGCTAGATTTGAAATTGGGTCTTCTATCGACCATGCTAACACGACCCCTGATTGCAGCCAGTTCTTATATTCAGTGTTTCCTGTGCGATACTTTCAGATTTGTGTAAACAATCCGTGCTGGCATAGCTGGCAATGTTTGTTACAGGGTTTCCTTCTGATATTCTGGCTTCCTTAACCCTCTGTAGATGGAGCAGCCAAAATATCCGCCCAACGCAACGTAGCCAGAAGGACGGCTGGGCCGATCGTTTAACCCTGTGTAATAAAAGCCTTGATATTGGCTGGCAGGTTTTTGCACCAGCCAATCAGACTGCTTCTCGCATTTCTTGCACATGGAGCCTGTTCACTGACACCTTTCAAGAAAGTTTGATGTGTTCTGTGATTTTACGTAAAATTTTTTTATGGGGTTACCTGTGCTCCAAAATAGCGAAAAGGACTGTTGCATCATAGCAACTGAAACATGGCTGGAGGCAAGAAAATGAGTAGCACCATGTGCCAGACATGTCTGAAAGGCCTCCAAGGGCCTTACTTCCCAAAATACAGGTGTTAGGACTTATTCAAGCTTCATCCATTAAAAAAATTCACCCAAATTGTTCAGCTTAGTTATGTTTCCAAGTTTTATAAACATTGCTTGCATAAATTATGCAAATCAGAATAGTTAATTTGAATAAATGTTGAGATTTCAGTTTGATTCATAAATATTCTGTTAGTTCATTCAATTTCCTACACGAATATTTATAGTTTTGTAAATATTCATCAAATGCATTTTTAAAAATAATTTTTTGTGTATAAACTATGATAATCCCCTCTCGAAGGCTCCATCTTCTTGGCACCGTAACTTTAAAAAGGCTCTGTCTCCAAAGGGTTAATCCATTTACTTCTCATTTCAGTGCCTGTTTTGTGATTGTCTTCATCTTATCAGGATGTGTTGTAAATATTGCCATTGTCTTTCTTTTAGAACTGTTGATACCAACTGTTCTTCAGACTTTCTTTTGTTCTTGTTCCCCTACTCCATTTAAAGTTCATACATTTTTTGTCATCTGTTTTTGAATACATTTAACACTCATTTCATGTTTTTGTTGGTTCTTTAACTTTCACCAAATGTGTTAGAATTGACCTGAAGGGTTGCAGAGTGACCAGAAGAGATAAAATCAGGACTGAAATCATACGAGAACAAGGCAGCACAGAACCAATTATAAATTACATACAGAGACAGCAAATCAAATGCGAATTTCTTGTGATGCCATCCCATATAAGGCATACAACAAAAGAGGAGAAGGATGCGGAGCACAAGGTAGACCAAGAACCATATGGAAAGATAACATCATAGAAACTCTACAACAGAACAATATGTCTATTGTTGAGATGGCCTTAAAAATCAAGAAACAGAGCCTTATATCTCACTTGTCACCAGAACTGGTAAAATAGGAAATAAGGACAGATAAGAACAGAGAATATATAACGATTTTAAAACTATAATTTAGAGTTACGAGTTTCAATATCTGAGAACAAAATTCACTGAAGATGGTAAACTGGATGAAGAAATTAATGCCAACCATCATTATACAATCTCAATCAGCACAAAGAAACATCTCACACAAAACATATTCATTCCTATCTTGTGTTATCAGTGCCAGACATGGTCATTCACAATAAACCAGAAAAAAAAATTTGTTACCATGGAAATTTGAAGTCTAAGAAGGGATGTAGGAGTGACTAGAAAAGCTCAAATTGGTTAAGAAAAATGTCGGCGCAGAAGCAATTTTGAGTTCCATATCTTGTTGAAACTTTTGAAAGTAATGATTGATAACTGATTTTCTTATTTGTTTGTTTTTCTTTTTGACAATAATAATAATAATAATAAATCTTTTTATATGAAAATATTCTTGTTTGATTCAGTAAACCTTTTTTGTTTTTGTTTATTGGTGTATTATACTATTAAAAAAAAAATAATAATTAGCATGCTCAGAGTGATGTGCCTTTGTTCTTGCAGCACTTCTAGGTGTTCCTGGTGTCAGCTGCAATTTTGAGCTGGATTTCTGTGGCTATGTCCAAGACAAAACAGATGAGTATGACTGGACATGGCACTCTGGTTCCACACCATCAGACAACACAGGACCAGTGGAGGATCACACATATGGAACTAGCTATGGTAAGTGAATATACTGCCTCTTTTATATTTTTATTGCCTCTGTAGGACTATCCTTTCCTGGAGGAGCTTTGAGGTTTGAAGTTTGAGGTTTGAACAACGGATCAACATCATGGCTCATGGGTAGTAACCCATAAGTGCTCTGTTCTTTTTCTAACTCAAGTCTGAGTACGAAGAAGCTCAGCACAAGCTCTGTTGCACCAGTGAGGATCCTGAAATACTTTGGGTAAATTTTTAACTGCAAATTTTGCCTGGGCAGTGCCGTTAGGCTACTCTTTTCAATTTCTAACTGTCAAGGGATTTATTACATGCACAACAATGCACACAGGTGTCTGATCTCACTACCCAGAGACCAGAGGAATTACTAGAAGTCCAAGTCCACCTGAAAAAATCCCAGCCCTTACTGGAGATTGAACACCGAACCTCTAGCACTCGAAACACTATGCCTCAAGACCACGTAGTTCCCCTGTAAGAGTTTCGAAATGACATGTGGCCACACCCAGTAGACATGATAACTAAGCTTTGGGGAGGGGGGTTACTGGGGGGGGGGGGGGGTGGGGGACTAAAAAAACCTCAAGCTGACATCACTATTGCACATAGTGGACAGACATTGTATTTCTTGGGATTGAAAGAGTTAATGTGCTGTGAGCTTAGTAAATGTGAAAGCCAAACACTTCAGACCTCTGTAGCCATATTTGACAAGAGATAACCTCAGACCTTTGTTACCATATTTGTCCAGAGATAACCTCAGACCTTTGTTACCATATTTGACAAGAGATAACCTCAGACCTTTGTTACCATATTTGACAAGAGATAACCTCAGACCTTTGTTACCATATTTGACAAGAGATAACCTCAGACCTCTGTAACCATATTTGTCCAGAGAACCTTTATCTGTATATTGGTTTATAATTGTAGCATTTTTCTACCATGTTCATCATTAAAATGCTCTGTGTTGTGCCTTTCAGTCCAATATATGTACAGCAAAATCCAAATTAGTCAACTATTATGACATGATTTGGGGGGGGGGGGCATTTAAATCCCACCCCTCGACCCTAATCCCACCCCCCCGCCCCTCCCCCCAAACAAATGGTGCTCCTATACGAATTATCAGACAGACCTAAAACATGAGTCACTACAAGGACAAATCTTGTTATTTGTATCCTCCCTGCCAATGGTTTTAGATAAAAGGCCACATAACACTGTGAAAGGCTGTAGTGCTACACATGTCCTCCATTGATCCATACAGATTAGTTTTCACCAGAATGCTAACCAGCTATACCTGGAATATTCTTCTGTATGTAAAGCATTGCTGCACTAAATGTTCCTCTGGGTCTTCCATTGGGTCTTTAGGTTTTTCTTTTTCTTTTTAATACATATGGTTGCAGAGTCTGTTGCGATCTGCTTAAAACAAAAGTCTGTTGCTTTTACTTGAGGAGTTTAATCGCATCTTCAGGATTGTGTTCTAGACGGGAAGTGTTCCACTGGGTTCTAACAGCTGCCCTAAACTAAGTTGTATTTTGCTCATAAGTGCTTCCTGTAGAGGTTTCTAATTGCTCCTAACTTTTTGCTGTTGTATCTAATGCCTGCAGTCAAACTTTAACTGCTGCCATGATCCTGCCTCATAGTCAAAGTCTTGTATGTTGTTTGTTGTACCTGCAATTTTTATAACTTGTTCAGTAAATACTTTATTGCCCACTTCAGAAAGAGACAATTTACATTTTTTGGTCATGTTATGAGAAGAAGAAAAACTTGAGTACATCGTGACGGTAGGAAAGTTGGAGGAGAGGAGAGGCAGAGGGTAAACCAAGAGAACAGATGCTGGACATTTTGACATCATGGCATGGAAGATCGTCTGTGTCAGAGTTGATCGAAAGTACACGAGACAGAAGGTTGTGGATAGACATGACTACCAACGCCACACGGCATGGACTTTAAGAAAGAGAATGATGAGACACATATCTATCCAAGCAGTTACACTTTAACCCTGTAACTGTTGCCATGGTCTTGCCTCACGGACAAAATCTTTTATTATTGTCATCATCATGATGTGCCTGGCCAATTACCATAGGCTGTCATGTCTCACCATCTCAAACAATCATCAGAATCATACACCAGGTCAGTGTTCTAGTCTCACCGATTCTTTATGTCTAAGCCATCCATGTATTTATCTCTTTGCCTTCCCTCTTGCTTTCTTTCTATCAGAATCATACACCAGGTCAGTGTTCTAGTCTCACTGATTCCTTATGGCTAAGCCATCCATGTATTTATCTCTTTCCCTTCCCTCTTGCTTTCTTTCTATCAGAATCATACACCAGGTCAGTGTTCTAGTCTCACTGATTCCTTATGGCTAAGCCATCCATGTATTTATCTCTTTGCCTTCCCTCTTGCTTTCTTTCTATCAGAATCATACACCAGGTCAGTGTTCTAGTCTCACTGATTCCTTATGGCTAAGCCATCCATGTATTTATCTCTTTCCCTTCCCTCTTGCTTTCTTTCTATCAGAATCATACACCAGGTCAGTGTTCTAGTCTCACTGATTCCTTATGGCTAAGCCATCCATGTATTTATCTCTTTGCCTTCCACCTTGCTTTCTTTCTATCAGAATCATACACCAGGTCAGTGTTCTAGTCTCACTGATTCCTTATGGCTAAGCCATCCATGTATTTATCTCTTTGCCTTCCACCTTGCTTTCTTTCTATCAGAATCATACACCAGGTCAGTGTTCTAGTCTCACTGATTCCTTATGGCTAAGCCATCCATGTATTTATCTCTTTGCCTTCCACCTTGCTTTCTTTCTATCAGAATCATACACCAGGTCAGTGTTCTAGTCTCACTGATTCCTTATGGCTAAGCCATCCATGTATTTATCTCTTTGCCTTCCCCCTTGACTTTCTTTCCATCAGTCAGTTGTTACCAAGTTCTGGAGTTCAATCCTTCTCCTAACATGTTTGAAAAACATTGACTGTTTAGGTGTATAACTTTTGTTAATAATTTTACTGCTCTCATCAAATTTGTTATGTTGTTTTGTTGTTTCCAGTTTCCGTAATAATTAGCCTAATATACATATTATAATAATTTACAAAAAAAGAGCCACAGTGGTGTAGTGGTGGGGCGCTCACCTGTGGAGTGAAAGGTTGTGAGTTAGGGTCCTGACGGAACCAGACTGATCTTGTTTTCTTTCAAAAATGCTGTTGGCTTCAAGGTTGACACAGCCTTGTGTGGCCACCATGTCAAGTCCTGGGAAGTAAAGGCAACAGGCGTGATGTTGACTGCATCACCCACCAAGTGCCAATTAGTCTATAAAGTATAGGTCTAGTCCTGGGAAGTAAAGGCAACAGGCGTGATGTTGACTGCATCACCCACCAAGTGCCAATTAGTCTATAAAGTATAGGTCTAGCCCTATATGCCCAGTACACCTGAAGGCGTGGAATAGGGCTTTTACTTTACTTTTGCTAATAAAAAGGATACAGATCTAATACAAGGATTTACAGTTTAACCCAAAAAGACAGATTACTTTGTCTTTATAACTTTGATGATTAGGTTAAATGTTGAATTGAGAATCAACATCACAGCACTCGGGACACTCTCATAAGGGCTCAGTTTCCATCTTCAGCAGCAAGCGAAAGTTCCAATTCTGATGGTGCCAGTAACAGTCTGACTGTATATCTGTCTCATCCTTTCCCCTGAGTGTCGAGTGTCGGCCAGATTCACTGGTAACTCCTCGCAGCCCCATTCTCCTCAGACCGCAATGATCCATCTGTGCCTCCGCACTGTTCACCCTTTCCCAAAGGGCCCTCATAATTACAATGACAAATAGGTTAAGGTAATGTATTAAAGGGAACTTTTACTAAACTTTAACACATTTCCTTATGATCAATACTTAAGGAAAATGTGAGACAGAAATATAATCATACTGGTAACTGGTACCATCAATATTTGAACTTTGCACTTGCTGCTGAATATGGAGACAGAGCGTTTACAGGAATATCTAGAGTGCTGTAATGTTAATTCTTAAACATTAAACTCATTTCCTGAAGTTGTGTATGCAGTTCAGAAATTGTTACATTCAGAAGTTGCAAACATTTCTGTATATAATAAACCAATTGCATTGCCTGCACACTTTTGTGAAGCTGCATCATCACCAACAAGTGCCTTGCAATAGGCAGTACTGCTTCTCCACAACCTTAAACCTGTATAAGTTGATTTAATCTGCACTTACATGATCAACAGTTACTTCCTTGGCAGTTAAGTTAGTATCTTGAGTACTAAAGATAAAAACAAGTAAAGGACTTTTCCCCCCATGTCATTAGGCATATAGGACCAGACCTATTTTTCTATAGACTGATCAGCATTGGAATGGTGATGTGGTCAGCATCACGTCAGCAGCTTCAACTTCCCAGGACTATTCCTTGTACCAGTTGTAGGATGGCTCAACTTGGAAGCCAAGGCAATTTTGTTTTAGTTGAAAAATATAACTCAATGCAGATTTGAATCCAGAATCATCTGACCAGCAGATAAACATCTTGACTACTAAAAAAAATATATTTTGAGTAACCCATATAATATGTGAGAAAATTAGAAAATGTTTGCTCAGAAGACAAGGAAGCGCATGCGCATAAGCACGCATGCATGCACACACACACACACACGCATGCACGTACGCATGCACACACACACACATGAGAGAGAGAGAGAAAGAGAGAGAGGGAGAGAGAGAGAGAGAAAGAGAGAGAGAGAGAGAGAGAGAGAGAGAGAGAGAGAGAGAGAGAGAGAGAGAGAGAGAGAGAGAGAGAGAGAGAGAGAGAGAGAGAGAGAGAGAGAGGCAGATTATTATGATATAATAATAAAAAATAGTTACAGGAATTCATAAACCAACCAAGGCATGCCCTTGCATTAAGGTTAGTTTGCTTAACTTTTTTTAAAAACAATGTCCTTTGATCTCCAGGCAATCAAGGACCAGACTGGATTAAGGCTACAGTAGATATTACAGCCAACTCTAATAGAATAGACATCATATTTGAGGCAACTACAGGCATTGATTATGACAGCGACACAGCCATTGATGACGTTGTACTGAGAAATGGAAAATGTACTAGCAAAGGTGTGTCTTGTTTCTTATTTTTCTGCCCTTTAACCTCTACTTGAGCATAGATCCTCAACCAAGTGATCATAAAAGTGATCATAGAACCTCAACCAAGTGATCATAGAACCTTAACCAAGTAATCATAGAAGTGATCTAAAACCTCAACCAAGTGATCATAGAACCTCAACCAAGTGATCATAGAACCTCAACCAAGTGATCATAGAACCTCAACCAAGTGATCATAGAACCTCAACCAAGTGATCATAGAACCTCAACCAAGTGATCATAGAACCTCAACCAAGTGATCATAGAACCTCAACCAAGTGATCATAGAACCTTAACCAAGTGATCATAGAACCCCAACCAAGTGATCATAGAACCTCAACCAAGTGATCATAGAACCTCAGCCAAGTGATCATAGAACCTTAACCAAGTGATCATAGAAGTGATCATAGAACCTCAACCAAGTGATCATAGAAGTGATAATAGAACCTCAACCAAGTGATTATAGAACCTCAACCCAGTGATCATAGAACCTCAACCAAATTATCATAGAACCTCAACAAAGTGATCATAGATCCTCAACCAAGTGATCATAGAACCTCAACCAAGTGATCATAGATCCTCAACCAAATTATCATAGAACCTCAACCAAGTGATCATTGAACCTCAGCTAAGTGGTGCTTAGTTGTCCTATTCTTTGATCCTTTGACAAGGTTGCAGTTAACTTTCCTATCCAGTTACAACACATTCTTCTAGTTTCTCTTTTCTGCCCGAGCAGAAGACACAATAAGACAAATATGCATGCTGGAGAACATTGTGTGAGGAGAGGAGTGGGTTAGAGTACCAAAGGTAAGGCATATAACCAGATTGTGATCGGTACCATCAGTATTGGAACTCTGCACTGGCTGCTGAAGATTAGAATGGAGCCCACATCCGAATGCCCGAGTGCTGTGATGTTTTTGTTTTTTAAATATTTTTTAATGGGGAGGTTTGAGCCTCATTTGATTCCTGGGACTGCATATAACAGTCGACCTGAAAACGTCTTATGTATGTTTCTTTATCTCAGGTATAGTCAGGGCAACACATCTGTCTCCTACATTTTGCTGTATATTTAGTCCCCCAGGATGTAGTACACCTATAATTTTGTTGTCATTACTGTTGCACCCAAGCATCTGCTATGAACTTCTGCAACCGAAAGAGTTGAGACATATCTTTCAAAAGCCGTGACGACAGAGTGATTGTGTGTTTGCCTGCCTAGAGAGTGGTCTGCATTGAATCATTTTAAGTAGTAGGATTTCTCTGATCAACAACTTCAGGGTCGACTGAGCCTCATAAAAATAAGTGTCAGAATAATTTCCAGAATTTTCTAGAAATTGCCAGGTTAGAAACACTGTTGAGAAAGAAATCTGGCAAATCTCACTGCATATTTTGTGGACTAGAATGTGTGAAGATCTGACACTTCACACAACAACATTTGCAGAAGTATCCTTCCTTCCTTCCTTCCTTCCTTCCTTCCTTCCTTCCTTCCTTCCTTCCTTCCTTCCTTCCTTCCTTCCTTCCTTCCTTCCTTCCTTCCTTCCTTCCTTCCTTCCTTCCTTCCTTCCTTCCTTCCTTCCTTCCTTCCTTCCTTCCTTCCCTTCCTTCCTTCCTTCCTTCCTTCCTTCCTTCCTTCCTTCCTTCCTTCCTTCCTTCCTTCCTTCCTTCCTTCCTTCCTTCCTTCCTTCCTTCCTTCCTTCCTTCCTTCCTTCCTTCCTTCCTTCCTTCCTTCCTTCCTTCCTTCCTTCCTTCCTTCCTTCCTTCCTTCCTTCCTTCCTTCCTTCCTTCCTTCCTTCCTTCCTTCCTTCCTTCCTTCCTTCCTTCCTTCCTTCCTTCCTTCCTTCCTTCCTTCCTTCCTTCCTTCCTTCCTTCCTTCCTTCCTTCCTTCCTTCCTTCCTTTCCTTCCTTCCTTCCTTCCTTCCTTCCTTCCTTCCTTCCTTCCTTCCTTCCTTCCTTCCTTCCTTCCTTCCTTCCTTCCTTCCTTCCTTCCTTCCTTCCTTCCTTCCCTTCCTTCCTTCCTTCCTTCCTTCCTTCCTTCCTTCCTTCCTTCCTTCCTTCCTTCCTTCCTTCCTTCCTTCCTTCCTTCCTTCCTTCTTCCTTCCTTCCTTCCTTCCTTCCTTCCTTCCTTCCTTCCTTCCTTCCTTCCTTCCTTCCTTCCTTCCTTCCTTCCTTCCTTCCTTCCTTCCTTCCTTCCTTCCTTCCTTCCTTCCTTCCTTCCTTCCTTCCTTCCTTCCTTCCTTCCTTCCTTCCTTCCTTCCTTCCTTCCTTCCTTCCTTCCTTCCTTCCTTCCTTCCTTCCTTCCTTCCTTCCTTCCTTCCTTCCTTCCTTCCTTCCTTCCTTCCTTCCTTCCTTCCTTCCTTCCTTCCTTCCTTCCTTCCTTCCTTCCTTCTTTCCTTCCTTCCTTCCTTCCTTCCTTCCTTCCTTCCTTCCTTCCTTCCTTCCTTCCTTCCTTCCTTCCTTCCTTCCTTCCTTCCTTCCTTCCTTCCTTCCTTCCTTCCTTCCTTCCTTCCTTCCTTCCTTCCTTCCTTCCTTCCTTCCTTCCTTCCTTCCTTCCTTCCTTCCTTCCTTCCTTCCTTCCTTCCTTCCTTCCTTCCTTCCTTCCTTCCTTCCTTCCTTCCTTCCTTCCTTCCTTCCTTCCTTCCTTCCTTCCTTCCTTCCTTCCTTCCTTCCTTCCTTCCTTCCTTCCTTCCTTCCTTCCTTCCTTCCTTCCTTCCTTCCTTCCTTCCTTCCTTCCTTCCTTCCTTCTTTCTTACCTTCCTTCCTTTCTACCTTCCTTCTTTTCCTTCCTTCCTTCTTTCCTTCCTTTCTTCCTTAGTACTGTTGTGATTTTCAGCATAAAGGTTTTAAGATAACCACATTGCCTGCGAGCCTTGGTTTGTGCTTTATGGATGGGGGTTTTTTTCAGTGCCTTTTTAAGTGTGACTAGCAAGACCTGTACAGAAAAGTCTTCCACAGAAAGAGAATAAGATTACAGGACCATTGTTGTCATCCTTTGTATTTATTGTGTTGTTCTCAGATGCTCAACACTCATCCTTGCTGAAATAATTTAGTCCTCTGTTCTCATAGCCGACGTGATGCTGACCACATCACCCACCTTGTGCCGATTAATCTATAAAAATATAGGTCTAGTCTTATATGGCCTAAACGCCTAAAGGTGTGGAAAAGGATCCTTTACTTACTTTTACTTTTACTTGATTCTCATTCTCTTCCTGATTTTCCCCACACACGCAACATGATCCATAGCATTTTGTTCCCACCAGTCTACTTCAATACATATATCATTCATGTTTCTCTTGCACACTTCTTTATATAAATCTGCAGTTGCTTGCATCATCAACTTCTAGTTCTATTTCCATTCTGTCTAAGTGACTGTTCTTTGTGTTGCACTCTCTAGTGGTAATCTTGACACATGTACAAATCATTTAATCTGCTGTCTGTTAATTAGTATTACTTGTACATGTTATTTACCCTATATTGTCTTCTCTGTTCAGGTAACTGTGACTTCCAGATGGGCATGTGTTCTTGGACAAATTCACAGAATGATTCTATGGACTGGCTTCCTGAGTCGGGCTCAACAGATTCTCCCGATACAGGGCCCCAAAGCGATCACACATTTGGCAACTACTCAGGTGAACTGATATGAATTGATCTGTTACCGTAAAAAATGTATTTTATTGTATTTTTGTTATTGTAAAAATGTTATTATGTTGTATTGTTGTTGTAAATATGTTACTTTATTGTATTTTTTGTTATTGTCAGCGTGTTAATTTGTTGTATTTTTTAAAAATTTCATATGTGTTGTTTTAGTGTATTTTTATTATTGCAAACATGTTATTTTACTGTATTTGCATTACTCTCTACATGTTATTTTACTGTATTTTGTTGTTGTAAACTTATTTTATTTATTTTAACATATTTAAACATGTGAACTAAAAATCCCTTGCAATAAGCAATTACAAAGACTGCATCTTGTAGTGTCTTATTTTACTCTAGTTGAAGACACTTGTTCTGTATGTCAGATACATAATAATTTTAAACATTATTTACTCTTCTGCAAAAAATATGAGCTCCAAAGGACTTTCCTTAATAAATACAAAATCTATTGCAATAAGATTATCACAATAGAAAACATGCTGGAATAGATAGTTCTAAAGAACTACAGGGAAAAATTAAATAATGCATACAAGAACAGGTTTCGCAAATGAGATGTAAATATATCTAAAGACAGAATAATGAAATCCTAGGTTACTTTAAACATCCACAATGATAGACCACAAAATACATTACTAAAATTGTAATTATTGAAAGTACACTTAAAATATATTGACTTAACAACCTATACTCCTTCAATAGTTTTGAATTAATACATAAGCTATGCAGTATTAATTAAACACAACTGATAGGCATAAATATCCATTACTAAACTGGAGAAAAAAAACCGCTTGGTTTAACCCAACTATGATGGTGATGAGTTGAACAAGATGTACTACTACTTTTTGTCTTGTCAGATGATTTTTCTTTTTTTTCTTATTACTATTCTTCTCTTCTCTCCTCTCAATTCTTCTTTCTTCTCCTTTTTTCCATTTCTCGTCTTCTCCTTGCACAAGAAGCAGATTATACTTTTCTTTTAAATTTTTTACTAGATCATTCACATTACTAAATACATTGGCTTGTCTGCATATCTCTCCGTTTCAGTCTCAGTATTACACATTGGCTTTTCAGCATACATCCCCTGTTCAGAAACAGTATCACATACAATGGCTTTTCAGCATGTTTCTTCCTTTCATTCACAGTATTTCCATGGTTTTTTCCCTAGAAGTGTCTACTACAGCTGAAAAGTGTATGCCTGAAAAAAGCTGCTGGTACTGTTTACCATTTCCAGTTAAAGTTAGTTGCATATCCTTAACAGAATGTTGCAGAACCAACCCCAGCAACTTTTGGCTGTTGTGGGTTCTTTTTCTGCAAATGTTACATTCAGTAGTATGCCACTTCTCTCTGTACAGTCAGCTCTCATTACCACTGTTAAAACCAGTGCAAGACAAACTGTCGGCAGCTGGGACCAAACTCAGCACCCCAGCATTATGAAGCTTGTTCCCAATGCTGAAGCAACGGTCACCGACACTATTGCCAGTGTGACTAGAAAAAAAATCCCTTAGTATTACAAGCATGTTTCTCCCTTTCAGTCACAGTATTACATACACCGGCTACAGGACACAACCCACCCACTCTAGACTGCGGGTTACTTCCAGATCATTTTGTGGTGCCCATAAAACAGTGCAGTATGGCTTTATGGTTGAATGGGATTTCCAGGATTTGTCACAGTACAACACACACTGGCATGTCAGCATGTATCTCTCTTTAATTCACAGTACAACACACATTGACATATCAGCATGTTTCTCTCTTTCATTCACAGTACAACACACATTCGGCATGTTTCTCTCTCTCAGTCACAGTACAACTCACACTGGCATGTCAGCATATTTTTTTCCTTTCAGGCTACTACTTGTTCATTGAAACCTCAACACCAGTGATGCCTGGTGACAATGCAATTCTCCAGAGTGAGCTTTTTGAGCCAGAGAATGATGTGGTTTGCTTCCACTTCTTTTACAACATGTATGGTGACACCATCGGCTCGTTGCGTATCTGGCAGGTCTACTACAACATCAGTTCAAATAAACTGCCAGAGATAAGTCGCCAGGTTTTGTGGATGCTCAGCGGAAATCAGTCACAGGCTTGGCTTGAGGGAGTGATACCAATTGTCAATTCAAAACAGAGTTACAAGGTAGGGGATTTTGTTGCATTTTTGTTCAGTGCAACTATACTACCAACATCAAGACATGACTCCTATTCACAGATAAATGTTTACACACATTAAAACCATAAGGGAATTTGCAGAGACAGATAGGAGACAAGGAGGAGAACAATTCATAAAGACATGATTACCCACTCCAAGACAGCAGACGAATTCACAATGACTTGATTGCCTACAAGATAGGAGATACATTCACCAACACAGATGATTGCTCATGTCAGGACAGAACAGTCATCATTTTTGGTCATCAAGGACAGATAGTGACTGAGTAGTCAAAGGCTCTGGTTTGAGGCACCAGTCTGTTTAGACGAGTGGATTCTAGTCCTACTGCAGCCTATATTTTTGACTTCCAGTCAGTTTAAAGGATAGGCAAGTTTACTGTTTTTAGTCGTGGCAAGTATTTGCTTCTGACAATATGAAGATGGAAAGAATATAGTTTCATCACCCAGCTACTAATCTGAGTGCATAGCTCAACACTGTGAGCTGTGGATTTCATTTGGAATGCTTTTTGACTGTGCCCAACACGGTGTGTATTGTAAACTGTAAAAGGTAAAGGTCCCTTTTCAATGCCTGTAGGCCTGTTGGGAACATAGGACTAGGCCTCCCTTTTTATAGACCAATCGGCACTTTGTGGGTAATGTGGTCAGCATCATGCCCCCCGACTTTACTTCCCAGGACTGCACCATGTATTCACTCAAGGTCTAGTGGATCTCGGAGTCAAGGTCATTTTTGGAGAAAAAAAGTCTGGCGCCATCAGGACGTGAACCCACGACCTTCTGATCCACAGGCAAACGTCTAGCGGTCAATGTCATGGCAACTCCCTGTTGTGAACTGTAGTTTCAGAAAATTGCGAATGACTTGTTGCCACAGAGCTAGTGGTGCCTGATATGAATAATTGAGTGTGCAACCCAGATCTGCTGCTTCCATTGACGGTGAAGTGCATTTCTAGTGTCAGACTCATTGCCTTGGCTCTTCTGATTGCTGCCTTATGCATATAATGCATGTGTATGCTATGGATGTGCTGGGATTACAGTCTCAATTTATGTGTCAATTTTTCGCTAAGGGACAGTTGGTTCTGTGTGGGGTTTTTTTTTGCTGGCAAAGGAACAGAGCAGCTATGGAGTGATCTGTTTGTTATGAAGTTAGAACTGCAATAACTGATTCCCTGAGGACAGGGCAGTCATCATTTTTGTTATATTTTATTGCTTTTTCCATGTCAGGACAGGACAGGCATCATGTTCCATCACATTAGTTAGTTAGTTAGTTAGCTAGTTAGTTAGTTAGTTAGTTAGTTAGTTAGTTAGTTAGTTAGTTAGTTAGTTAGTTAGTTAGTTAGCTAGTTAGTTGCATATCCTTTACAGGACATTGCAGAACCAACCCCAGCATTGTTTGGTTTTTGTGGCTTTTCTAGGCAAATTTACGTCCATTAGTTTGTCTTTGCTTTCTGGGCAGTCGGCTTCTCGAAACCAACGTTGAAACGCAAGGTGCAAGGCCTGCAGCTGGGATCGAACCAGGCACCGTGGCATTTTGAAGCTCGCTCGCAACGCCTAAGCCACAGATGCCGACATCACATTATGAGAAAAACAACTTTTGGCAATGTAACAGTGGAAAATGTGCTAAATTGTTTGGCAGAGTGGTCTAAGAAATAACCAGCTTTCATTTTAAACAAGAAAACAGATAGCAGATGTCTGGCCAAGAGCAGTATTGTTCATTGCTCATTTTAAAGATCATCTTCAATGCTCATCGGACATGACCATAAGTTCTCCAATCTCCTCCAAGAGTTTTTAGGCTAACAACTCCCACTATGCTCTGGCTGGTTGGTGTAACAATGGGTGGCTTCCACATGGTTTCCTGTCTTGCAGGTTTAATTGGTACACCCAGGGTATGCAGTCTATTCAGCGAAAAATCAATTTTCCTGGAAACTGAAAGCCTCATGGTGTTTTGTGCCTTGTATGGCATTGATGAAGTCTCTCCTGCCCATAGATTTTACATTCTGGATAGATGCACTGCCAGTCAGAGCATCTACTCTCTTATTGCCATGCTCACCAGCATACCCTATGACAAAAATGAAGGCATTTTGTAAAATGATGTTTGCTGTATCAGATGGAGCCACTGTTTCCTTTGTACCCCACCTTGATCTTCTCTAGCATGCTGAGGTCACTAAATAAACATGCACTGGTAAATTCCTGAGTTTTCAGAACTGTGCAAAGGCGAAAAGACATCGTCTAGTGCAGCAAAGCCTTGCATATGATATCACAAGGTCTAGTTTGGGAATGGAGGTGGAGGCAGTCTCTGCTGCCTTCCGTTGGCTTGATAATCAGCTGTACACACATGCCATGATTGTAACTGACTCATAGAGCATGTTGAGATAGGTGAAAACAGGCATGTTTCGTGCAGAGTGGCAAGCATCACTTCAGAGGTCCCTGGTAGTTAGCATCCTTTAGATATTTTCTGCAGGTTATGTCAGTATGTTGGAGAATGAGCAGGCAGATAGACTGGCTGGCGCTGCACCACTTAATGGTGAATTAATATATGATAAGTTAGATATTGTGAGGACCTTTGGGAACGGGTGAACAGTGCAGAGGCAAAGATAGATCATTACAGTCTGAGGAGAATAGCGCTGTGAGGAGTTACCGGGGAGTCTGGCCGACGCTCAACACTCAGGGGAAGGCTGAGATGGATATACAGTCAGACAGTTACTGGTACCATTGAAATTGTAACTCTTCACTTGCTGCTGAAGATGGGGACTAAGCACTTATGGGAGTGTCCCGAGTGCTGTGATGTCGATTCTGAATTCAACATTCAACATGAGTTTTCAGAAATTCTAGGGTCTTTGTCACAGCCATGACAGCCATTGTCATGCTGGCGGTGGTAGAAGAGCAATATTAACTGTGCATCTTGATATGGTGCATGATAACGATGGTAGTGACATTTGAAACACACTAATTTGGACATGCTTTTTTGTCTGTTGGCAGATTCTTATTGAAGGTGTTGCTGGATCATCATATACTGGTGACATCGCTATAGATGACATATCCATTATCCATGGAGCAAGTTCGTGTGTTTTGTCACCAGCTAATGCATCACCGACTAGCACTGTACCACCCCCAACAGCAACACCTCCTATTGCCCAGATTCCAGGTAAACTTTTGTGTTTATATTTCAGAGCTAAAGAGCATGGAGCATGGATTTAGATCTTTCACTCCCAAACAGTGTTTTTCAATTTTTTTTTTCATTCCTTCTATATAACAAGTGGTTAGCTTTCCTTGTAATATTTAACACACACACAAACTAAAGTTTGTATTTTTTTAAAAACCATTATGGGATCCTGGGACCAAAAGATTGTTAACAGTCTAGCTGTAAAAAAAACTACAGCACATAATGCTGAACACCCTTTTAAGGGAAAAATGCAGAAAAAAGGCAAAGAATACTGCTAATTTGACAGTAATTTTTTTTGTTTTTTTTGTTTTTGTTTTGCAAATAATATATCTCATACATACGTGGTAAACTCATTTTCAAAATTCTTATTGAAACAGGCATATCAAAAAATTAACCTGGGCATTTAGAGACCCAAACTAAAATTGGTATGAGGAAACTGAATGTTTTGGCAGGGCAGATTGGGCTTTGAGCCTCACTTGGCAGCTGGTTTAGGAGGGAATATCTGACGGGCAGTCAGAAAAAGCCCCACTCTTCGGAAGCATGCTTTGCACTCATGATACAATTCGTCACATGAAAACTTTGAAACACAGTGAATCACTTAGTCATTTGTGTCTCAGTCATTTATGTCTATTTATAAAAAATTATAGTTCTAACATTCCAGGTGCTAAATCTGGAAATTTTCAAAGGTGAAAACTATCCAGACTCCTTTCAGCTTTCTCAGTACCATGTCATATTCTTCCATTGGAAGAGTACACCCCCCCCCCCCCCCCACCCCTCCCCATCTTGGTTGACTTGGATGTGAGTACTGCAGAATTAACAACAATTTGTTTCTGGTCAAATGAATCCTTTTGCTAGGATAGGATCAGTCAGTCAAGCATTCAGCCGTCGTCTCCCCACCTGACTCTTTCAGTGCCAAACAACTCACCAACTCACCATATGTCTATTGGTTATTCTACATTGGTGTATATTTCTTTGTCTTATGTCCCATCTTTCCAATTTCTTTATCTTTCATATCTCTGTGGCTTCTTTAACCCATCCTGTCCTTTTATTGAATTATTTTAACTTACCTAGACTAAAGGTTGTTACTGAAAAATATATGTGCTGTGGTATAGAAAGTGTTGAAGTTATGACTGCCTCGGTTTAAAGAGCTAAGATTGGCTAAATTAATATTTTATTTTTGAAGAGTTAAGGTTGGCTAAAATTAATCTCCAACTCTTTGTCTGGTTGTACACTCTCTTTGACTGCTGTCCATCTGGTGATCTTATCTGTCCACTTGTATCACTGTCTATGATTTGCTTACCTGCTTTCAACTTTTCTTCTAGTAAAGTGTTTATAATAAATACTACTAAATGTACAGAAAATGTGACCAAAAAAGCTCACCAGATGGAATGGAAAAAACTCGTACAAATACAACTAAATGTTTTGACAGAAGTTTTTATCATCGGAATACAGCACAGACTGTGAAATGAGCTTTCTAGTCACACTTTTTGTTGCATTTAGTACTTGTCATCAGTTCACTGCAGTCACCCTCTCTTCACGTCACCACTTTAATTGTTTTGAAAAAAATTAGTAGTGTTATCATTTTTAATATGACTAAAATATTTCACTTGTCAGTTTTTTCTTCATTAACTCACTTTTAATTCCCAGTCTCTTCAAAACCTCTATATCTGATTTTAAAATTTATTTTAATTTTAGGTTTCCGTGAAATATCCACTATGGTATTGACATTTTTATACTGAAGCTTTGAATGTCTTTTTTTTATGCAGCCAACTTCAACTGTAATTTTGATACTGATATTTGTGGATGGACTCAGGATACTATCAGTGGACAAATGTGGATTAGATATCATGGCGTCACACCTTCCTTAGACACAGGTCCTACTACTGACCATACATCAGGAAGTACGCTTCTATTTTACTGTCATTTTTATTTAATTTTTAATTTTTTTCATGCAGAATGCTGTTTTTCTGTAGTAATAAAAAGTATGCATCTCTTTTACTATTATCTGCCCAGAAAGAATGAGGCACCTGGGTTTAACCATAGGGTCTGGCTGGCTCACTACACTCAGCGGAAAGGCAAGACGGACATATAACCAGATTGTGACTGGTACACTCAGTATTGGAACTCTGCACTGGCCGTTGAAGATGAGGACAGGGCATTCATTGGAATGCCTTGAGTGCTGTGATATCAATTCTTGACTCAACTTAACTCTTACTATTATCTGTAACTGAATATGTTATGTTTTCCTGCAGAGCGCTTTTATCTTTAATAATAAGATGGGAAATCTGCTTCTCTTTGACTGTTATCTCTGGTTGAATAGGTTATGCATTCCTGCAGGATTCTTTTATCCATAGTAATTAGAGGGGACAGCTAAATTAATTACTAATGAACTGCAAACATTGATTAACTTGTACCGGTGCATAATAGAGGGAACTGAATAGCTAGATAGAATCAATCACTGGAGCTTTGGGAAATAACAAATGAGTTCCACTGAGACAAGAGATGAAGAAAAAGGCTGGCATTCGATAAGACACACAGTGAGAAAACTTGAGAACAGTATACTTTAAATTTCTTTGCTCCGGAACCCACAGGGATTTAGAAATAAATGCAGACCAGACGACACACTGAGAAGGGTATTAGAGGACATGTAGTGAGCTGCATGTGTTAAAAAAGGATTGGATGACTTGGCTTAAGTTGGCTGAGGGCCTGTGCTCCATGTCTTTCCGGTAACTGACTCACAGAGTGTATTGAGAAAGGTGGAGACAAGCATGTTCCATTCAGAGTAGCAAGCATTGCTTTGGAGGTCATGGATGATTTCTCCAGGTTTATGATGGTGTGTTAGGAAATGAGCAGGCAGATAGAGTGGCGGGTTCTGCACCACTTGGTTGTGAATTGATGTATGACAAGCTTGATGTTGTGAGGGCTTTTTGGAAGTAAGTGAATAGTAAGGAGGCACAAACAGATCAGTATGGCTTGAGGAGAATGACACTGGGGAAAGTTACCAGGGAATCTGGCCGATGCTCAACACTTAAGGGAAGGACAAGACTGTTGTACAATCAGACAGTTACTGGTACCGTCAGAATTGGAACTCTTTGCTTGCTGCTGAAGATGGAAACGGAGCACTTGTGGAGTGTCCTGAGTGCTATGATGTCAATTCCTAATTTGGTTAGTTAGTTAGTTAGTTAGTTAGTTAGTTGGGTTATCGTCATTGCACTCCGGACATGTCCATAGGTGCTCAGATCCTCCCCTCAGTATGAACCCCAACGTCCGATGGCTAATAGTACCAGTTCTATGTTGATTAACAAGTCTTCTGACGTGTCCGGTGTGCGTCTCGTTTTTTGCTGTGCCGATCTTAATTCCCAAGTCTGCCATTCTGGCGAGTGATGTGGATTCACTGCCACCAAAGTCCTCTATCCTTCCCATTTCTCTGAGGGCATTGATAATATCAGCATGATCCATAGGCCGACCGTCGGTAGTGATAGCGGATCCAGCCAACCTGTCAGCTCTTTCATTTCCATCGCCATCGACGCCTGCGTGTCCCGGAACAAAAATAAAGGTGACGCCACGCACAGTGGACTTCTGTAATGATTCAAGCCATTGTCTTCGCACTGAACCTGCCTGAACCCTCCGGATCATACTCATTGAATCACTGAGTATACATATGCGGGTGTATTTTTGTGTTTCAAGCCAGGCAAACGCTTGCGTCACTGCCATCACCTCCATCGTCATGCTGCTGGTTGTCATGGAGAAGGCACCGTTGGCTTCTTTGACTGTTCTGCCCGCTGAGCGTGCTGTAAATGCCCATGCGCTTCTTCTTTGGCGTATAACGGATCCGTCTGTGTAGATTAGTGCATCTGCTTCGTCTGAATTTTCACCGATGAGAGCGTTGACCTCTGCATTAACAGCAACAGGATTCTCTTCTCTACATCGCCTGTTGAGTGTGACAATACAGGAAAATGTACAAATAAACGCCTGAGGCACAGGTATCCATTCTGCACCCAGGTATGATGTCGGTTAGGCTGCATATTTGCCTAATAACATCTTCTGCCCGACCTAGCCACGATTTTCCCCTCTTCAGTCTGTCGCCCTTTTCACTAAAAAGCGCTTGATGCAGTGGGTGTTTCTTATCAGCACATATTTTGAGGTATGCCCGAGCCCTCCACATTCTGATCCTTTGGTTCATTGTTGGAAAGTCAAGTAGATACCTCATTGCTTTACAGGATGTGTCTCTTGTACATCCCAAAATAATGCGCATGGCTTCATTTTGCACCTTTTCGAGTCTTTCAATCTGGGTAGCACTGACAGTGAGGATGGCCAGAGCGTATTCAATGGGTGAAAGGACCAGACCGTAGAATAGAAGTATTAGTAGTCTTTGCTCGATATTGGAAGCAGCCATAATCCTCATTGCAGATAGACCTTTGCGTGCTTTTGTTATCACATGGTCAACGTGTTCCCTGAATGACAAGCTGCGATCGAACCTCACCCCGAGAAACGTCATAACGTTGGTTCTGATCAATATATTATCACGCATTTTCACTTCTGGTAAGTCCGACTTGACAATGTGATTGTTCAAAGAGAACCATGACACTGATGCCTTCGAAGGATTGACATAGGCATTGGAACCATCACACCAGGCGGCAATTCGATCGAGTTCTTTGTGGATTTTGCTGGCGATCTCCTGTCTATCACGCCCTCGTTGATAAATCAAAATGTCATCAGCAAATGACAAAGTCCTTCCTTTTCCATTCAACTGCTGCTCAGTGATCATCACCGTATAAACGTTGAATAAGACTGGTGATAGCGGTGATCCCTGTGGCAAGCCTGGACATATCGTTTGCGGTTCTGAGGACCAGCTACCACATCTTAGAACAATCTTTCTTTGGAACAGGATCGCAGCAATCCAGCGGATCAGAATAGGATTGACTTCTAGTTTAAGCAGTAATTGCATTAAATATTCGTATGGTACTTTATTGTAGGCATCTTCTAAGTCCAACACTGCCGCACATGTCTCTTCTTTAATCTGAAATCCCTCGTACACATCGTAGGCGAAAACAGCAGCATTGAACCATGTCTCTTTCTTCAACCTGTACCCTCCAAGTGTTGATGGGAACTTATCATGTAGTTCCAAGTAGGTGGTCAATCTTTGTAGGTGGTCAATTCCTAATTCAACATTCAACTGCCACAAAGAACTGTGATGAGGAAATTTAATAAATAGAGAGAAGAAGGAAGACCATCCAAAAGATTAAATGACTGCATCAAAATATAGCCTTGAAGAAATTCAGTATACAACACAACTGATTAGAAAGTGCACACAGGAGATCATGGCTTCCTGATCCCCCACTCCCAGTACTTTGTCAGGTAACTGAAGAAAGAGAAGAAGAAATTAAATTGGGAGAAGGCAGTTTTGAGTTCCATCACTTAGAGCCAATGTTTTGTTTTTTTCCTACAGATGGTTTTTACATTTACCTGGAGACCTCTACTGGATATCCTGGTATGAAAGCCAGACTGAACAGTCCTCTCATTACTCCTGGAGCTTATCAGTGTTTCTCATTTTGGTAAGTCTGCTGCTTCTTCTTCTTTGCATTTACTGGCTGTAGACTATGGTGGACAGTTTTGGTTGCTTTCCCCCTTCTGGACTCTTATCTTGCTTCTTACCTTGAGTTTTGCATGTGCATCCGTTTTACAAATCTGGCTTTATTGTCAGTAGACTGTTGTTTCCTTACCTCTCAGGCTGATGCACTCCAACTTTAAAGGAAGCATTCCCTAATTAGTCTACACTTTTATGAGATGCTTATTGGGGAGTGGGGAGGGGCAGTGAGTCTATTCTTTCTCCTCCAACAATGGAACCCTAAAGCTCACACAGGGAGTAAGTCAGCTTGATTTGAGCATACAATACTTTTGATGATTCTAATTGTCTGTGCATTGCATATCTTTCTAGTTGTCAAAATATTTTTACATCTTATTGAAACACTTTCAGTCATTCCTATTCAAGTGTAGACCATTACATATTCTCATCATCCTCATCATGTAGCAGGTCTTTTGTAGAGCGTCGCTCTCATCACAGTCTGCCTGAAAGAAACTTGGTCTTTCGCCAGCTCTTCCACCTCATGTACTTTCATACTCAAGGAGTCACTTTTATTCTGTGCCCATCTTCGTGTTGGTCGGCCCCTGCCCCTCCTTCCTGGTACCATGCCTTCTGCTATTATTTTTTCCAATCCGATGTGGCTCTTAATATGACCAAAATATTTCCTAAGAAATAAAATATTTACATATTCTAAGCCAGGGCTACTCAGCTGGCAGCCAGTGGGCCGAATCTGACCAGCAGAGACCTAACAAGTGGCCCGCAAATCATTGCCTCCTGCATTGTATAAATGATCTTTCTATGCTGGCGCTCAGGCCTGTTTCTTATGATAATCCTGGTTTTCAAAACATTGGCTCCTGAGTAAACTTAATTGAATAGTCCTGTTCTAGGCCATGACAATTGAGATGAGGTGATAAGTTCCCTTTCCTTATTGTTTCTCCTTTACCAGAGAATTGCCAACAAACTGTGGAAATTGTCTCTCTGGTGCCCATATTTACAAAGCCTAAGTTCATTCTCAGAGCTGTACTGGTTGGGAAACTTCCGGGCACTGCTGGAGATTGAACCCAGATCACTATTTCAGCAGACAAGCCCATTAACCACTATGCCACCAGTTTGTGAACAGCTTAAAATTAAGCTGTCCAACTGCCATATGTATAGATATTTATTTTCTGTCCATGTACCATATCTACGGTGATTTGTGTGTGTCCAAGTACCATATATATGGTGATTTGTGTGTGTCCAGGTACCATATCTATGGGGATTTGTGTGTGTCCAGGTAGATTATGTATGGTGATTTGTGTTTGTCCAGGTACCATATCTATGGGGATTTGTGTTTGTCCAGGTACTATATCTATGGTGATTTGTGTGTGTCCAGGTAGCATATGTATGGTGATTTGTGTGTGTCCAGGTAGATTATCTATGGTGATTTGTGTTTGTCCAGGTACCATATCTATGGTGATTTGTGTGTGTCCAGGTAGCATATCTATGGTGATTTGTGTGTGTCCAAGTACCATATCTATGGTGATTTGTGTTTGTCCAGGTACCATATCTATGGTGATTTGTGTGTGTCCAGGTAGCATATCTATGGTGATTTGTGTGTGTCCAAGTACCATATCTATGGTGATTTGTGTGTGTCCAGGTATCATATCTATAATGTTTTGTGTGTGTCCAGGTAGCATATCTATGGTGATTTGTGTTTGTCCAGGTACCATATCTATGGTGATTTGTGTGTGTCCAGGTAGCATATATGTGGTGATTTGTGTGTGACCAGGTAGCATATCTATGGTGATTTGTGTTTGTCCAGGTACCATATCTATGGTGATTTGTGTGTGTCCAGGTAGTATATATGTGTTGATTTGTGTGTGTCCAGGTAGCATATGTATGGTGATTTGTGTTTGTCCAAGTAACATATCTATGGTGATTTGTGTGTGTCCAGGTACCATATCTATGGTGATTTGTGTTTGTCCAGGTACAATATCTATGGTGATTTGTGTGTGTCCAGGTACCATATCTATGGTGATTTGTGTGTGTCCAGGTACCATAACTATGGTGATTTGTGTTTGTCCAGGTACTATATCTATGGTGATTTGTGTGTGTCCAGGTAGCATATGTATGGTGATTTGTGTGTGTCCAGGTAGATTATCTATGGTGATTTGTGTTTGTCCAGGTACCATATCTATGGTGATTTGTGTGTGTCCAGGTAGCATATCTATGGTGATTTGTGTGTGTCCAAGTACCATATCTATGGTGATTTGTGTGTGTCCAGGTATCATTTCTATAATGTTTTGTGTGTGTCCAGGTACCATATGTATGGTGATTTACTTTCTTTCCATGTACCATATGTAGTAAATTTATGTTGTTGTCCAGGTAGCATATGTATGGTGATTTATTTTCTCTCCGGATACCATATGTGGGGTGATTTATTTTGTCTAGGTATCATATGAATTTTGATTTATATTTTGTCCATGTAAAAATGTATGGTGATTTGTGTGTGTGTGTGTGTGTGTGTGTGTGTGTGTGTGTGTGTGTGTGTGTGTGTGTGTGTGTGTGTGTATGTGTGTGTGTGCATTCGTGCGTGCATGCGTGCATGTGTACAAATCATATGTATGGTAATAGGCTTTGTCTAGGTATCCAATTATTTTTTTTGGGTGTCCAGATATCATATTTATGGTGATTTATTTTGTCCAGGTATCATATGAATGGTGATTTGTTTAGTCTAGGTATCAAATGAATGGTGATTTGTTTAGTCTAAAGATCATATTAATGGTGATTTCTCTTGTCTAAAGATCAAATGAATGGTGATTTCTCTTGTCTAAAGATCATATAAATGGTGTTTTTTATGTGTTTAGGTATCACATGTATGGTGAAACAGTAGCAAGCCTCGATGTCCAGCTAAAGGGATCTAACGGTACTTCAGTCATGATCTGGCAGGCAACTGGCTCTCATGGAGATCAATGGATTCAAGCCCGCATTGACATTGGTGATTCAACTCCTTCTTTTGCCAATCAGGTTAGTATCCTTCATCCTCTCTTCTCCTTGTGTTTTTTCTTCACTCTGTATACGGAGTTTGGTAATCTGGTAATCTTAGTTTCAGCTTCATAGCTAACAAATCACCCCACAGCTGCTCCGCTTCTGTGCCAACGAAAAACACACAAAATGTTTATCACAGTTCAAATGAAATCCGCAGCTCACAGTGTTACACCATGCACTCAACTCAGAAGCTGAGCAAGAAAATGATATCTTTCCAGTCTACAAATAGAGCAAAAATGCAAAGGCCACCGTCTGGCAGAAGCAAATAATTTGCCACGGCTAACAAAAGTGGCCTTGCCTAGCATCCATTTTGACCTGAAGCATTATGTGAGGGTTAATAAATGGTCACCCCAGCAGTACCCTCACTATTAGCTGGGGAAGGGGCTTAGGATATTACATCCACCAGCAAGCAAGTATATGGAGTACACATGGGAATGCCCTGAGTGCTGTGATGTCAATTCTTGACTCAGCTCTACTCAACAGGGAAGGTTCAATGTGCAGTGATGTCAGGTCTCTGTTAATCCATTCATTTAATGACAAGAAAAATGTTGTTTTGAATTTTCCTATCTCCCAGATTGTTCTGGAAGCTGTTCAAGGATCTTCAATTACTGGCGACATTGCTGTAGATGATGTGCAACTGGTTCCAGGACTCTGCTCAGGTCAGATGTTTATGCCATGTTATTTTTATCAGTGCTGTTCACGGTAACCATGACATTTAAATTAGAGTACGCACTGCGCGCCATTTCATTAAAAATCAATGGACTGCTTTTGGACATGGGTGTGTGAGCTAATTCCAGATTATTTGGGGGACACTACCGGCAATGTGCGATGTTGTGGGTGAAGAAGGTGGGGGTAAATTGTCGCAGGCAGCCAGGCAACCTTTCAGTATGTTGAGTTGCAGTTTGCTCAACACAGATGTCTCGCGGAAGAGACTCGCACACCCCTGTGACTGAGAAGAGTCCAAGAAGCTATGAATGAAAGGTCAACGTCATGGTTACCGTGAACAGCACCTTTTTATCAGTCATGTTTGTTTCTGTCCTGGTCAGCACTCTAAGTGTGACTGACTATTCATTCATGTGTACTAGTCTGTGTATTATGTGTGCTTTTTCATCATATGACAGTGACCTAAGAACTCTTAAACCTGTTGCCCCTTAACTCCTTCAGTCCCAATGAATGTATCATACGTTCATAGGTTCCATCCTAGAAGCCCAGTGAATGCCAGATGCACTGATGATGTTTCTCTCTACTACCCCTTGCGTCACTGATGCTTAACTTCTTGGAACTGAAAGAGATAAATGCCACTTTTAGGGCTTCTTTGGTTTCTTAGTAATGTTGGGTTTAGGCAGTCACCACTTTGCCTGTTTATCAGCTTTGTTAGTGTTTGCAAATCTATAGTGTGTAGATGATCCTGGTAGGTTATACAGTATAATCTCAATGAATACTAAGGGACTGAAAAAATAAAGGGTTTTTGAAAGAAAAAAAATGTGTGCTACTCAGGGACTATTAGATGGATTACAGATAAAATATCCCTGCTAGGACCAAAGTTTTTTCATGTTAACTGATTGTTCATCATAAGTGAGTCTGTGCCAACAAAGTTTTATCATATTTACTTTAACAAATTTGAAGAAAACTATTTGTGGGTGAAAAAATTATCCTTTTCAGTCATTGTGGTATTGTGGCCTAATTATGAAGTTACTTTGTGCCCCTTGTAGCTATGTAAAAAAATAATATTTGTGTTGATTAATTTTCTTAATTACTTCCATTTATTTGTTGCTGTAGTAGTAAAACAATGTTTAAAATGTTAATTATATTTCTAGTGTCTTGAGCTGCTTTATTTTAGTGGCTAAGAGACTGGCCATAATGCTCAGTGGTTTTGGCCGTGTGAATTTTTATGAAAACTGAACAAGACACCTAATTTATTCCTCTTCTTCTTTTCTTCCGCTAGTTTTTTAGAGTAGAATTTCAGAGAATTATAATAATGTGTTTCCTTCTAATGTGCTTTGTGAAAAAATTAATTAAATTCAAGATCTTTACAGTGCCAAAGGGCTGACAACGATTAAAAATATGTCATGATCTATGTAAAAAAATATTTCTGAGACATTTAACATTTTAAATAAATAATAAATTTTTTTTGCGCATCCTTTACAGGACGTTGCAGAACCAACCCCAGCATATTTAGGTTGTTGTGGTTTTTTTCCAGGCAAATTTTACATTCTGTATTTTGCCACTGCTTTCTCAACTGTCAGCTCTTGGTACCACTGTCAAAACCAACACAAGATGTTCGGCTTCCTAATTTACCACAGCTGGGATTGAACCCAGCACCACAAAGCATGTTTGCAATGCCTTAGCCGCAGACGCCAACATTTCAAATAATACAATGCTTTACTTTTTTCCAGCTGCAGGATCCTCACCCATTGACTGTGACTTTGAGAATGTGGGCATTTGTGGGTACATGCAGGATTCCAGAGATCAGTTTGATTGGACATGGTCTTCTGGTGAAACATCGTCTGACAGTACAGGACCCACTAGTGACCACACTTATGGAACTGTCTTAGGTAGGCATTGCTGCAACCAGAAAACTCACCCATGCATTGGTTTAGAGCACTTTGCAGAATATCCACTTGCTTTCTTATGTGTCATCCACTAGTTATTTTACTTATTTTGATTTTAGAAAAATAGGATTTTATAAACTCCGTTAAGATCTAAATTTGATTAAACTAAATCACTTGTGTGGGGTGACATGACCCATTTCAGTTTTGAGGTTCATGGTAAAGAAATGAGTATGCAAATGGTACGGAATCAATAAACAGAATTTCGATACACAAGCTGACACCACTTGGGTCCTTCGGGAAAGAAACTCAAAGAAAGATGGACGTAACCTGTATTGGTCCAGTTAGATATAATATAGTGGAAATAATCCTCCTGTTAGAAAATGTTTATTGTTAGATAGTCAGTTGATAAAAAGTTTTATTTATATTGATATAACAATGATGGTAGAATGAAGTAAACAGGCAAAAATTTAATACTTTCAGTATAGATACACTACAACTATTCTATAATGTTTCTAAATACAGTTCAGATAATGGAGCTTTGTGAGGAGGGCATCAAACAGATTCTAGTGGATTAGGAGATGAAGAAAATACGCTGGTGTCAAATAGAACACAAACTTAGAAAGCCTGTTAACAATATAACTAGACTGTTGTTGAAATGAAACCCACACAGTCAAAGGAATAAACAAAGGCAGAGAGAGAGACACACACACACACACATGCATGCACACCACACCAAACCACACTACACACATTCCACACAAACCACACACACACACTCACACCACACAACACGATGCACACCACACCCAACACCACACCCCACACCACACCACACCACACCCCACACACACACCACACACCACACCACATACACACACCACACACACACCCCAAAACCACATACACACACCACACATGCACTGCACACCACACCACACCACACACACACCACATACACACACACACACACACACACACACACACAAACACCACACACACACACCACAACACACACACGGAAAAAAGGAGTTAGAGGATAAAAAAGAAAAAAAGAATTTGGTATAATCCAAACACAACAAAAGTGTTGGTACTCATCACAAAGTTTTTGTTACAGTAGCACTGGAAAAAAAAGTTATGTCTAGAAATAAAATGTGCTGGTACTGCACGCTGTTGCATATCATCAAAGAGGCCCTGCTTTTTTTCCACCATGTGGCCTAGATATTGAACATTCTTGGCCTGTTTGACACCTGTTCTACTGTAAGTGTTAAATGATAAACTCATAAACCCTTTCTCCATGGTGACCTGAACTCTTTGAGTCCCAAGGAATGCATCATACGTTCATAGGTTACTGCCTAGAAGCCCAATGAAAGTATGATGCGCCGATTTTACGTCTCTCTTGACTACCTCTTGGGCCTGTGAGGCTAAACCCTCTGGGACTCAAAGAGTTAAAAACAATACCCGAGATCCATATTTTGAGAATTTCCCAAAGAAGTCTTTAACAACCACAACAAAAACAACAAAAACAACACAAGACTGCCTAAAACATTTGCATTTACCAAGAATTAAAACAGTCACCTGTATGACAGGTGATTACTCTGCCCATAGACCACTAATGCTGTCTACTGTACTGTTTGAGTCAGAAATATGGCTACATGTTTAATTTCACATTTTTAATCACATGATGGTCTTTTCACTATGGAAGTGAAACCATCTTTTTCTTTAGGTTTGGTTTCATATGCTCAGATCAGATCTTCAGGTTAGCTGCCTCTAACTATATGCAATACAGAATCATTCTATAGTATTTATGGTATATTTAAAGAAATACTAAATATGATAAAACACAAACTGACTAAAAAACACAACTGTTGGAAGGAAAGGACAAAACAAAATACAGCTGTGTTTTGACCAGATGTTATCAACAGAGAACTAAATACGACACAAAGTTTGATTACAAAACTCAACAGATGAAGACAGCAGAGCTTGAAATTAGCCATGTTCAACATGAAACAGAAAAATATATTTGTGTTTATTTTAAATGTTTCCAAAGGTGTATTGTTTGTGTACTCAATATTTGAAAGCTTTAGAGTTGGTTATAAAGGGGACAGTTTAGGTAATTTTACATTTGTATTCATTGCACTATGTTCTATATGTATATACTCCTCAGGTCATTACATGTACACCGAAGCATCCCCTCAGTACTATGGAGACATAGCTAGATTATGGTCACAACCATTTAGACCGACACCTGGCCAGTGCTTGTCCTTCTACTACAGCATGAATGGAGCTGACATGGGGACCTTGTCTGTGTTCTATGGCTACCTCAACCAAACTGCCAATCTTGGCATGACCCAGTTGTGGAGTCTGAGTGGCGATCAGTCTAGTCAGTGGCTACAGCAGTATGTCCTGCTGCCAGTGCCAGTTGCTCAGCCAGTGAATGTATGTATATGACACTTGTCTTACATGCTGTCTGTAATGATTTATTTCCTGTTGTTATCATTGTTTTCTCTGATTCTTCTGCTTCTCCTCATCTGTGTTATTTATTAAACAAATTCATCATATTTTTCATCATCTTTCTCTACCTCTTTTTCTTCATATTATCTCTCCTCCTGCTTCTTCTCCTCCTCCTACTCCTCTTCCATATTCATGTTTGATTTTAACTTTATCTTCTTCTTCATCTTTTTTCCTCTACTTCTTCCTTCTGCTTCATCTTTATGATTCTCTTCATCTTCATGATGTTCTTCATCTTCATTACATTCTTCTTTCTCCTCCTTTTCTTCTTGCTCATTCTCTTCCTCCTCTGTTTCTTTCTTTCATCTTCAGATTAAGTTTTGGCCCTCAACTTATTCTCGTCAAGGCCTTGAAAGACAGATCCTGATTAGCTGCAATTTACAGCTACACTTTTCTCAAGCTAATCCTCCTCATTGACCTCTTACAACAAGCCTGAAAGGTCACAGTATTTCTATTCATTGCTTCCTTTATATGCCTTGGTAACACATGGCACTCACAATACCAACAACTGAGAAAACCTCAAAGAACCTACAGAGAAAGATTAGATTATTTGGCCACAGTTTTGAGTATTTTATGGCAAATGCAAGAATATTAGTAGTTGCCAGTCTGTATACTTTGTTGTGAATGCTTCATAATTCTGAGGTGGTGGGTTTGATATTGGCTCCAGGCCGTTTTACAGCAGTCCACCTGGCATCGGTTTTGCCATTCTTATTCAGAGCTGACCATTCAGGACCAGTGGCAAACTACTGAACATAAAATTGACCAACAAAAACACAAACAACCCTCCAAAAAAATTGCTGGGCTTGGTTTTAGCCACATCCTATTACTGATATGAAACTTACTTTTCTACTGTGTTGTGTTGTAAATGTCCTGTGCTCATAATTATATTGGACAGGAGTCTGTGTTCTCAATATACCAAGATCTGAATGTCATTGGTTCATTCCATCAATGCATTGTTCAGCTTACAAGTACAGTTTTTACAGAGATCCTGGGATCTTTGAAAGAAAAATAGTGTTTGCACTTTCTTTGCCATGCTCTTGGTAGATGGCTAGCCATTCTGGGTAGGAAGATGAGCCATGCAGGATAAGCTAGGGCAACAAAGTCAGTCCTCTCAACTTTAGCTTATAATTGATTGGATAGAAAACAGCCACAATGGCGGCATGCTTTTTCGTCCGTTGAGGCGAATGGCGCAAATTAACTATTTTTGCTCACGTATAATGTGAAAGTTTCATCGGAATGGGGTCTGAACCGTGCAATGGAGTACATGCACGTGAGTTCAGACTTCCCTCAGTGTGTATTCAACGTCCGATGGCGACTATCTACCAATTCAAAACAACCCGTAGACGGACAAGGAGAACGCGAACAGGCAAGCACGGTGGCGCCTGCAGGAAGCGACTGAAATGTGAGAGACTCAGCTTAAAGTATGCTCGCGTTCTCTACTGGAACTGCGCCTCGTTCTGTCAACGCCGACCCATTTTCGAGAAGCTCCTCTACAGCAACGACATTGTTGTCCTACAGGAAACACACCTCGGTGACGAGATGGTTAAAATTGCGGGCTTCCAATCCTTCTACAATAGACGGCACCTCGGACAGCTCATTCTTGTTCGTGACCACATACTGGTGTCTGAGGTGGACATGTCTAAGTGGGATAATGACGACCTACAAGTACACGCAGTCAGAGTGATGGGCCCGGCCCAGTTTGTGATTGTCAATGTGTACGCCTGCAATGGAAAGGTGGATACAGCGAAATGGCAGAGTTTGCTCCAGACTGAGGAAAAGAAAGTCCTTTACTGCGGAGATTTCAACGCCAGAGGAAACCAGTGGGGCAATGTAATCACCAATAAACAGGGGGAAGACCTGGAGGATGCTCTAGTGTCTGCCGATCTAGTATGCTTGAACGACGGAAAGGTTACCCGAATGGCAACCCGACAAGGGGATTCTGACAGCGTAATTGACCTGGCCGTAGTGTCTCCCTCCATTGCACCAGGATGCAGGTGGAGCACACTGGGATACCATGACAGTGATCACTTTCCTTGCGTCGTCTTGGTGGAGAAGAGCAACAACAAAGGTCATGTAATCAATGTGCCTGCTTTTATATATGACCGTACAGGGCAAGATGCCATTAGCAAAATCAGACGACGTAATACAAGAGCAGATCGCAGACGGCGGGAGAGATGGGCCCAGCCACCATGGTGGAATGAAGCAGTCAACATAGCGTGGCTAGAAAAAAGGAACGCTGTCAAGGCATGGCAAAAGGCAAGGAAAATTGATCCATCACTTTCTGAAACGCCTGATCAGTCTGAAAGATGAGGTCAACAAGCGGACAGTGGCTTTCAAGTTAATTGCGAAAGAAGCCAAGACAGCGAAATGGAACGAATTCTGCAAGAGCGTTTGCTCCGAGGGATCTCTTGTGACATTCTGGCGCCTTCAACGGAGCATGCACGGCGCCGCACGACCAAGGGGTATCCCTGATTTTCAGGGTACAGACCTGATATGGCAGAGAACTGATGCTGATAAAGGAAAAACCCTTCTTGCGCGCTACTTGGAGCAAACTGACCAAAAAGACGAAGCTGCAAGAATAGGGGTTAAGATGAAACTGTCGATGCTGTGCGAGAACACTGAGCTAGGCACTGATTTCACAATCACTGCAGACACCTTAAGAACTTGCCTCAAGAAATCGCGCAGCACTGCTCCAGGCCCTGACGGCATCCGATACAATGACATGCTGATGATGTCGAATGCTGATTTGAAAAGCGTGGCAAAGGAATTCAATATCAGCATCCAGAGTGGCCAGATACAAGAGGAATGGCTCCATAGTTATTTGTTTCCACTACCAAAGCCTAATAAAGACCACTCAAAGATCTGCGGCTACAAAATCATCTCGATGCAGAATACTGTTGGCAAACTTTTGGAAAAAATTGTCGCACAAAGATTGACCACCTACTTAGAACTACATGATAAGTTCCCATCAACACTTGGAGGGTACAGATTGAAGAAAGAGACATGGTCCAATGCTGCTGTTTTCGCCTACGATGTGTACGAGGGATTTCAGATTAAAGAAGAGACATGTGCGGCAGTGTTGGACTTAGAAGATGCCTACAATAAAGTACCATATGATTATTTAATGCAATTACTGCTTAAACTAGAAGTCAATCCTATTCTGATCCGCTGGATTGCTGCGGTCCTGTTCCAGAGAAAGATTGCACTAAGATGTGGTAGCTGGTCCTCAGAACCGCAAACGATATGTCCAGGCTTGCCACAGGGATCACCGCTATCACCAGTCTTATTCAACGTTTATACGGTGATGATCACTGAGCAGCAGTTGAATGGAAAGGGAAGGACTTTGTCATTTGCTGATGACATTTTGATTTATCGACGAGGGCGTGATAGACAGGAGATCGCCAGCACAATGCACAAAGAACTCGATCGAATTGCCGCCTGGTGTGATGGTTCCAATGCCTATGTCAATCCCTCGAAGGCAGCAGTGTCATGGTTCTCTTTGAACAATCACCTTGTCAAGTCGGACTTACAAGAAGTGAAAATGCGTGATAATGTATTGATCAGAACCAACGTTATGACGTTTCTCGGGGTGAGGTTCGATCGCAGCTTGTCATTCAGGGAACACGTTGACCATGCGATAACAAAAGCACGCAAAGGTCTATCTGCAATGAGGATTATGGCTGCTTCCAATATCGAGCAAAGACTTCTGGTGCTTCTATTCTACGGTCTGGTCCTTTCCCCCATTGAATACGCTCTGGCCATCCTCACTGTCAGTGCTTCCCAGATTGAACGCCTTGAGAAGGTGCAAAATGAAGCCATGCGTATTATTTTGGGATGTACAAGAGACACATCCTGTGGAGCAATGAGGTATCTACTTGACTTTCCAACAATGAACCAAAGGATCAGGATGTGGAGGGCTCGGGCATACCTCAAAATATGTGCTGATAAGAAACACCCACTGCATCAAGCACTTTTTAGTGAAAAGGGCGACAGACTGAAGAGGGGAAAATCATGGCTAGGTCGGGCAGAAGATGTTATTAGGCAAATATGCAGCCTAACCGACATCATACCTGGTGCAGAATGGATGCCTGTGCCTCAGGCGTTTATTTGTACATTTTCCTGTATTGTCACACTCAACAGGCGATGTAGAGAAGAGAATCCTGTTGCTGTTAATGCAGAGGTCAACGCTCTCATCGGTGAAAATTCAGACGAAGCAGATGCACTAATCTATACAGACGGATCCGTTATACGCCAAAGAAGAAGCGCATGGGCATTTACAGCACGCTCAGCGGGCAGAACAGTCAAAGAAGCCAACGGCGCCTTCTCCATGACAACCAGCAGCATGACGATGGAGGTGATGGCAGTGACGCAAGCGTTTGCCTGGCTTGAAACACAAAAATACACCCGCATATGTATACTCAGTGATTCAATGAGTATGATCCGGAGGGTTCAGGCAGGTTCAGCGCGAAGACAATGGCTTGAATCAATTCAGAAGTCCACTGTGCGAGGAGTCACCTTTATTTTTGTTCCGGGACACGCAGGCGTCGATGGAAATGAAAGAGCTGACAGGCTGGCTGGATCCGCTATCACTACCGACGGTCGGCCTATGGATCATGCTGATATTATCAATGCCCTCAGAGAAATGGGAAGGATAGAGGACTTTGGTGGCAGTGAATCCACATCACTCGCCAGAATGGCAGACTTAGGAATTAAGATCGGCACAGCAAAAAACGAGACGCACACCGGACACGTCAGAAGATTTGTTAATCAACATAGAACTGGTACTATTAGCCATCGGACGTTGGGATTCATACTGAGGGGAGGATCTGAGCACCTATGGACATGTCCGGAGTGCAATGATGATAACCCAACTAACTAACTAACTAACTGATTGGATAGACCCCCATCTCATCATCTAGACACAACACCTTTAGATATGTTTTTATTTCTTTCGAAATCACTGTGAAATAAAGACTATTCAATGCAGTGTTTCTTTTTCAATTGAGATGAAAATGAGCTGGAGAAAGTGATGAAAGCAGATTGGTTGACAGGCAGAAGGACATGCAGACATGCTTATCAATTAAAAATCTGTATTTGTCCACAGATTGTATTCCAAGGAAAAATGGGACCAAGTTTTATGAGCGACATGGCTATTGATGACATCAAGCTTCTGCAGTTCTGCCCTGCTCCAGGTACAGATAGCAACATTTTTTTTCATCAAATCTTTTTGTGGTTTTTTTATGGGATGAAACGGTAAACTCGTCTGCCTCAAGCTCTGAAGTTAACGGATTCATTTCATGGCTCATAAGTGCAACTTTCACAGAGATCCCTGGGGATCATTGCAAGAGCAACAGTGTTTCTGTTTGTGTTATGCTCTTGGCAGGTGGCTTAAAGTTCTGTGGACAGAGACCAAGCCATATGGGGTAAAAGCCTGTGCAATGAAGTCGATCTTCTTACTTTTACCTTTTTTTTGTGTGTTGCTTTGTTATGTTGCTTTGTTGTTTATTTTCATATCAATGATCATGAGCAGAAAAAATAGTGCATTATTGTCATACTCCTCCTGTTTAAGCTGCTTGCTTACGGGCTGTTGCAGCTGTGCTTCATTGTCTCACATTTAATACAAATATACATGACCCAGAGACCTGTGTTCAAATCCTTGGTAAGTTTGGGGATTTTTTCTTTCAGGGGCATAAATAAAATTCTGACCTATGAGTCTGTGGCGACAGCACTAGCCATTTGGCTCAGGATCAAAGTTCATAAGTGGACAAACAACCAGAATCTTTTACCAGAGTGAATGCTAAGAAGAAGAATAAGAAGAAGAAGAACAAGAAGAAGAACAAGAACAAGAAGAACTGTAATATATTTTTATTTTTAAAATTACATGTTACACTGCACCCTTATGAAACAGTCTGTATGTTAGTACTGACATTTTGCAATCAATACGCCAGGCGAATGTACCTTTGAAGATGGCTTATGTGGATGGATGGCCCCCTCTTCAACATTTCATGGCATTGACTCACAGTTTGTTCGGGCAACTGCCAATTCAAGAATATTTGTTGCCGCTGCACCACATCCACCAGTTGACCACACTACAGGAACAGGCAATGGTCAGTAATTTGCTCAAGTATATTTCTATTAACTTTTCAGGTCAGTATACGCATCATGTGTTCATTGGTAACTATCTAGTGGTCTAATTAGTGCATGACGCATTCAGGTTTTTTTATTTACCACTGACCAGTATAAAAACTTAACTGGACTATTTGAAAGATATTTTCAGTTTTCATGCAATGAGTTCACACACATGGAATGCACATTCGTTCAATTTGCTGAGTATTTATTCTAAGTAGGGGGGGGGGGGGGGGGCGACATGTGTTTAAAAACATCATATCCTTGTTCATGTGGTAGGCCAGCCTCTTTTAAAATATGCAATAAGAGTACAAGAAAATGAACAAGTGAATAGACCTGCAGGTAAGACCAATGTAAAGGTGGGATAAGCAATGGACCTGGCTGATATACTGAATGCTGTATGAGAAGTCAGACATTTGCAAGAATGAAGTGATGACTGAATCTGCAACTCTGACCAGACTACAAGATCAGCAAGTGGAAATTGGTGAGGCCAGACAAGAGCACTAGCCAGTAAGCTGAAGAAGCATACAAATTTAACATAAAATTGGTGTCATTTATCGAGTAGTGGATCTGAATCTGATTTGAAAAACAGAAATTCAAAACTTCATCTTCTTTGAGCCGCCTGAGGGCATGCTATATTGAGGACTGGTTGTTTGCTATCTTAAATGAATTTTGTTTATTTGTGGTGATCAGTTTCGCCTGAGTTTTGTTTCTCTGCTTCAACTTTGTCCAACGTGGTCTGGCTTTGCGGCTCTTGGTAGGGCTGATTTCCTCGAGTTTGGGAGGGAAGTCTGCCAGTCATGAGAAGGACTAACAAATTGCCTGGGCTGGCCTGGAAAAGGTATGGGTGGGGTTTCTGCCATCTGTCCTGGTGCTTGTTTGTGTTTCCTGTGTTTTTGGTAAGCTGGCTTTTCCTCAGAGATAACAGGCTAGTTTCTGGGCTTGCTTCATTGGCTGGGCTTTTGCTAGAGTAGTGGATCTGAGCACTGATGGACTTCATAGTTTGATGTGCAATGAGAAATAATCTGTCTGCTGACTGACTAACATATACAATAAAACAAGCACATAGTTCTTTTATAAACAAAATAATACTGCTGTATTTGCAGGAACTTACATGATTTTGCAGTCAGATTTAAACAGTGGAAGCCAGCAAAGTCAGAATGTGAGTTTGGTCTCAGACGTTATCCAAGCCACGGGATCTAATGGAAAGTGTTTCCACTTTTGGTTCAACAACTATGGGATTCATTTTTCAACAGCTTCTCTTGTCATTCTGGTAAGTTTACTGTAGCAATGAACTTTCATGTGTTTACACTGGAAAGTTTCAAACCTTCTTTTGTGATATTGTATATTTATGTGATGTTGTGATAAAGGCTGTGACTAAATAATTTTCACATGCTATATAGAGCCAGCGCATAGTATATAGAGCAGTAAAAACTGTATACACAAGAGAGGTGAATAGTCCTAGACCACAAGACAGACCAAGAAGACGATGAAGAGATAATGTCCAGACAGACCTGCAAACACTTGGTGTCACCAACTGGAGGTGGGTGATATCTGCAGCAATGAACCTCAAAGGCTCAGAATGCTGAAGAAGAAGAAGAATATAGAGCCAGTTTTAGCCTACGGCTGTGAATCCTAGACCATTAATAAACAAGCCGACCAATATTTTGAGGCCTTCGAGACGTGGTTTTTTAGAAGAATCCTTAGAATTCTTTTGACAGCTAAAAAAGGAGCAACCCAGATGTTTTGAAAGAGGCGAGTGCTCAAAGAGAACTTATCACAAACATCAAAAACAGAGAATGGAACAAGTTGTTACCGCTGAAAAGATCTGGGGAATTAGAGGCAGAGGAAGACAGTAGGAAAGATTCTTGACAGCCTTTTCTGGTAATCTGGTAATCTTAGTTTCAGCTTCATAGCAAACAGGTCACTCCATAGTTGCTCCCCTCCTGTGCCAACGAAAAACTCAAAAAAAAATTTCACAGTTCAAATGAAATCCACAGCTCACAGTGTCACACCATGCACTCAACTCAGAAGCTGGGCAACAAAACTGTATCCTTCCAGTCTACAAATGGAGCAAAAATGCAACGACCACCGTCTGGCAGAAGCAAAAAAAATTGCTACAGCTAAAATAAGTGGCCGTGCTTAGCGTCCATTTTGACCTGAAGCATTATGTGAGGGTTAATAAAAGGTCATCCCTGCAGTACCCTCACTATTAGCTGGGGAAGAGACTTAGGACATCACATACCCCAGAAACGGCCTGATGAACAGCTTTTTGTCGTGGCATGGAGTGATGTCAACATATGAACTGATACCCGCAGTTACAGATGGCAGATTGTAGAGAGGCCTGACTGCCCATGCCAGTTGACTAGGCACTTGATGATGAGGCAGTTTTACTTTTTGTTTGGTTTGGCATCTTTTTATATATTTATAGCTTTACTGCACTTCCCTAATGTCACCGTTCATGTGTGTCCTGCCCTCTCAGAACTGCTACTGTCTATTAGTGTCCATCTGACTCGTCTGTGCGGTATTTGTTCACATTACTATTTTAATCATTTCACTATTTTCTCTCAGCCGACTGTTCTCCTTTTTTCTACCTCATTCAGTTGGCCCACTTCATTCTCTATGGATCCATTGTCTATCACTTGTCTCAATTTGCTAGTTTTTTCATCATTGATCTCCTCCTCATCACTTCCTCAGTGCCTCCTACCCTCCCCCTGTTTTTGTCTGTTGTATTATTATTTGTATTTATGTATTGTATATTCATGGTGGATTAGAAACAGTAATGGCAGAAGGCATGGTACTAGAAAGGAGAGGCAAGGGCTGATCACTATGATGATAGAACAGGATATAAGTGACTTCTTGAATATTAAAGTAGACAAGGCGGGAGAGCTGGCGAGGGACCGAGTATCTTTCAGGCAGACCGGGATTAGAGCGACGTTCTACGAAGGACCTGCTACATGATGATGATGATGATGATATTCATATAATGTGCTGATGAAGGCTCTCTAGCCACAACATTCACTTTGTGTTTGTGATAATTCGAAGCTGACTGGTTCTACTTTTTGTTCGGTTCAATATCTTTTCATGTACTTTCATTGCAAGATTGGGTACAAGTAATCCTGGTACTTATCACAAACATGCCCCACACAGCAAGAGTCCTTCCCCTCGCATTTATGCCATGGCCGCTCCCACAGCGTGTCCTGTGTTGTGGAGATGTCATGTAGTCCATATTTTTAACAGTTTAGCGGTTATCTCTTTTCTCATATTGTAACCGCTCACTTGCGTGATTATTCCCACGTTGTGCTACTTGCCAGACGGTTCTTGAGTATCGAACCTGGGATAGTTCTGTATTTCTATGTGGTTTGTCTGTGGCTTCTTTTTCTCAGGGAAGGCTACCTCCAAGGAACCTAGAAATACACAAACATTCCATTTTCGATACTCATGAACAGTTGCATCTTAGGTGCTTCCCTCTGCAGTACTTCTTGCATGCTGTGCCTCAAAGAGACTCACGACAACACAACCTCCCATAAACATTATATACAGTGAGGGAATGCTAAACAAAGTCATCTCATAACACCCCCACAACATAGAACAGGCAGTGCGACTGGCCGCAACTTGGTTTGGGGGGTTGGGGGAAGGGGGCAAGTTTGTGAGAAGTTCTGTTAGCCTTTAACAAATACTTGTGCAAGATTGTAAAGTTTATGGCCATCGTGGCATAGTCAATGGATTCTTGCCTGTTGGCCCAAATGACATGGATTCAGGTCCACATTTAGTCCAGTTTTTTTCTTTAAAATTTACCAGGTTGACCCAACCTAAAATGTGTATCAGCAGAAGTCCTGGGAGGTAAAGGTGACAATCATGATGTTGACCACATCACCCACAGAGTTCTGACTGGTCTATAAAATATAGTTCTAGCCCTATATACCCTCTACACCTAATGGATTGGATACGGCATGGACTATACAAAGAAGAAAGATGTTATATACTACATTGAGAGATGACAAGCAGAGAAACAAGAAGAATTTTAGAGGCTGGATTGACTCCCTAGTCAGATAAGAATCCCGCCGCTGATGAGATCAAACCCAGACAGGCATAAAGGATGCGTTTGTCTACTATATTGTTTCCTGACATCTTTGTTTCAATATACAATTGTTTCAGCCTACTGCCCTAGGACAGCAAAAGCAAATCATATGGAGGTTATCAAGTAGCACCAACACCACAAGCTTGTCTGAGGCTCAGGCCTTTGTCTACAGTCTGACACCTTTAAAGATTGCATTTAATGTCACATTACTGGGAGGTTCTGGTTCCTTTACTGTTGATGACTTTACCTTTACTGATGGTTACTGCACAGGTTAGTAGTTTCCATTAGATTTCAATAAAATTGCCATAGGTTCTCTGTAAATTTGAATCGTTGTCTGTCTTCTTCTTGCTCTTCTTGCTCTTCTTCAATTCCTCTGTTATCCCTTTGGGTTTTTCTGATATCTTCTTTCTATCTTATTATTGGTCTAGCTTGTGATCTACGTCCTTCTCTTCTGATGTATACCATGTCTGGTATAGCATCACAAGGCATTCTCAAGTGGGCAGAGCAATTGATTTGCAGTCTTTGTATGTAATTTACAATTGGTTCTGTGCAGACTTTTTTCCTCTTATTTTGCTTGATATGACCAAAACATTTCAGCTTCCTATGTTTGCTTTAACTGATAATTCAGACATTTGATAATGTGGGATGCAACTTTCTTTCATAATAATGATCCAAGTGTTTTTTTTTTTTTTTTAAATTAGTGAAGCCCCAAAGCGCTTATGTGGCAGGTGGTGCAAATGCAACAATACAGCCTCCAGTTACTCCCTTCACTGGTAAGTAAACAATGCTCTAATTTGCAGACAAACTTGTATTCATTAAAACAAATGGAGACTGGTTTATTTATAAGGTTTTATTAAGGTCACTTATGGTGTTTCCCATCTCCCAGCTTTGCCTTTGATTTTTAAACTGTTATCTGATAAGTTATCAAGTCCCACTTTTATTACTCCTCATGTACAATTGTAGATGATGAATTTTGCAAAAATATTTTTTAACCTCCGGTATATTATAAATTATGTGAGAAATAATATATAATCCAATGGAAGAAAGGAAACAGATAAAATGTAGGCAAATGAAATCACTACACAGATGTAACTATTGACCCCCCAAAAAAACACAGTTCACTACAGTACAGCATTTTTACCAACACTGCACTACCAGTGCCATATATGGACACTAACATTAACAGAAAAAACACAAATTGAAATAGCAGAAATGAAACGTCTATGATGAATCCTAAATGCAACAAAAAGAGATAGGATAAGAGAATATAATAGGAAACAAGTCTGGTAGTCTTAGTTTCAGCTTCATAGCAAACGGGTTGCCCCATCTTTGCTCCACTCCTGTGCCAGCGAAAAACACTCAGAATGTCTATCACAGTCCCTTGTGGAAAGATTGACAGACTGCTGTCTCAGCATATCTAGCATACACTAGCATTAAAGCATATGGTAGCCATCCGAAGTGCTAACACAAACAGTCCAACATTAGAAATGCAGTTCATCATTGATGATAGCAGAACTTGTCGTCAACAGATCAGCAGTTGTCCGCGTGATCAATTTTAATACGGGTCCCGCAAGCATTGAACGACAGGCATCGCGCCATTTTCTGAATCTACAATTCACACCACCACGTTGGTCACAGTCGAAAAAAAACATTCCAAATGCAATCCGCAGCTCACAGGGTCACGCCATGCATTCAACTCAGAAGCTGGGCGACGAAACTATATCCAGTCTACAAATGGAGCAAAAAATGCATCGGCCACCGTCCGGCAGAAGCAAAAAATTTGCCTCTGTTCCGAACGGCGCCGCTGTCTAGCGTCCATTTTAACCGGAACTCGCCAATAGGAAACAAGCAAGGGCAGAATCAGTGCTGAATGACATCAAAAGTCAGCAAACTAGATGATTCAGACATGTGTCAAGACTGATACTGGACAGTGTAGTATGGGGAGAAAACAACAGGATAGTGTAGTATGGGGAGAAAACACCCACACACACATGTATACACACATACATTCTTCTTTAACTTTATGTTCATGATTAATAGGGTAATTGAGATATTGTGTTGTTGTTTACAGCTAGGCTCTGATGTCTTCACCTTTTGGCCCAGCACATCCATTGTCAATAAACTCCTAATTAGTCAACATTTTATGACATGCTTGTTAGTGGCCAGTAGATCTATTCCCTCACCTCCTAATTGAGGCCCCTGAACCCACACAGGGAAAGAAGAAGGTGCATTTCTTTCCTCTCACAGTCAATCTATAAACCTACTGAGAAATAATGTTAGTGCTTTTTCTCCTTACAAAAAATGCTTGATAAACACTGTGTCAGGGATCTTCACTGAATAGACTGCATAGACTGGGTGTAGGTACTGGAGCAGCGAGACCAGAAAACCATGTGGAAACCATGTATCATTGCATTAACTTTCAGAGTCTCCATGGTGAAGTGGTTAAACTGTTTGCCTCATGTTCTGAAGGTCCTGGGTTCATTTCATGGTGGGTCCATTTAGTTCACGAGTGCAGTTTTTATAGAGATCTCTGGGGAACGTTGCCGGAGCTACCCGGGTCATGCTCTGTGTGACCCTCTCAGTAGGCAGCTAGCTGTTTTGCAAAGAAAGACTGAGCCATGTGGGATAAAACCAAGTTCAATGAAGCTTCACCTTTACATTAGCCAAAAAAAAAATAGAAGTTGTTAGCCTAAAAATACTTAGGGACATACTAAAGAGGAGATCAGAGCCCTTATGGTTGTCTGATGTGTGATGAAGTTGATCTTTAAATGAACAGTGAACAAATACTGCATCATATATAATTTCTGACATTTCACAGGTACAGGCCTGCCTACCGATTGTGATTTTGAGAGTGGCTTTTGTCACTGGACTCAGCACACAGGAGATGATCAGTTTGATTGGTCAATAACTTCAGGAGCGACAGACACAAAGACCACTGGACCTTCTGTGGATCACACTTATAAAACTGGTGGGTAAAAAGATATAAATACAATACTTATACCAACTTTAGGTTACCACTGTCAGACTTGGACATTGAAAAAAGAACATGAGAGAAAACTAACCACTTTTAAGATGAGATCTTTGAGAATGGCTAAAACAAAATAAAATCAAACCAGAAGAGATTAGTGAGAATTTACATAATCACAAGAACTGATGGAACAACACCCATTGTCAAATTTATTGAGAAACAAAGAATGAAATGGTTTGGCCATCTAATGAGAATGAAACCAACGATGCCAGCAGCAAGAGCGTACAACCTGAAAATCAAAACACCAAGAGGCAGGGGAAGACTGAGAAGAACATGGATAAAAGGAGTCACTGACACCTTGAGACTGCATAACATCACAGCATATCAAGTGACCGAGCACACTTGGCTGCCGATGTCTGATCAACTGTGATCCTAGCTGCATAAGCACATATTGGCTAAAGAAAGAAGAAGAAGAAGAAGATATAAAGATCGGTGAACTTCAGCAAGACTAAAATACAAAGGTCTAAAAATTGTCCATGCTCATAAGGCTGTATGTTAGTGGGATACAAAGATACCAATGTGTCTGGGCTAGATTGGTTACTGACCATCACCTTTGGCCTTTGTTGACCTTTCTGCATATTGCCCTTTAAAGGGCATTTGACACATTGTGTTTTAGTTTAAAGCTAGGCTAAGATATACACCTTTCTGCCCACATATCTGATTTTAGCAAAATTAAATTTGTCATCTTTACGATATGGTTGTTAAGAAGCTGCTGGTCTGTTTCCTTCCCCTCCCTCGGATGGGCTTGGCAACGACACAGAGACCAGGTCACAGCGTCAAGTGTCACACTATAAATAGTTTACAGGGCCCAGGCAATATAATTCAGCTGTTTCTATGCCGAAATCATTTTCATTGATCACTCTAAATAGTATTTGTATTTTAGATGATATACTGATTTTGTGCAGTTTTTTAAATTTTTTAAATTTTTTGTGTCATGTGTAAAACGGTTGTTTTTCTAGGAATTATAGTTTCTAGGAATTTCTGAAAAAGGGAAAGAATTGGAGCTTGCCTTTGTTTTCTCTGGGTCATCAAAGTGAAAAGGTCCTGAATTTCTTGTTATTGCCCTCCCATTTCCACAGTGTTGACAGCCCAAACTTAAGAAATCTCTTTATATGCCCTGGCCAAATTGACAATGTAATAGAACATATTATTTGCTGGCTTTGACTGACTAGTAGGATACCAACATACACTATGCGTTGTTTGGGACTACAATTTCCAATTTCTGTGTTTATCTGATTAGATGCTGGGCACTACATCTACATTGAATCATCAAGCCCAAGAATTCCTAACGACACAGCTGTCATTGAGAGCCCAACTTTGAATGGGTAAGTTTTGTAAATTTGTTTTAAAATCTTGACACATTTGTACCTGGAGATGCTTCTATGCTGCAAGAAATGCTGCATCATCATCATCGTGTGGTGTGCTTTCTTATTGTTCCTGATTTGCTGTTGTTCTACTCTTTTTCCTATGTAGTTTTTCCAGAAGTGGACGACCAACCAGAACTTTCTACCAGAGTTTACAGCCAGTGCCAATGCTACAGAGCCTGTGCACAGATATGAGAGATATTTGTTAATACATTCTGATCTCATCTTATATCAAGTTCTATGTATCTCATATTTTGGTATCATATGCAGTCTGTATATTGTATTTTTTGTCTATGAGAAATAAATAGTAGTACATTCTGATCTCATCCCATATCTAGTCCCATATACCTCATATTTTGGCAACATATGTAGTCTGTATATTGTATCTTATATGTATGAGAGATAATTTATTGCTGGTGCATTCTTATTTCATTCTAGAACAAGTCCAGTGTGCCTTATATTCTGGTACCATATGTATGGTGCCAGCATCAATGCGCTCAACATGTACACTAAAGCTCTAGGACAGCCCCGAGTGCTGCTATGGACACGTCACAAAAACCAGGGCAGTGACTGGATTGAAGCAGCTGTTGATCTACCGGTATGACAGTTAGATTTAGTTAGTGTAGCACTGTTCATGCATCTTCCCTGTGGCTACATACGGATGTGAGTCATGGACTATCTCCCATCTTCCCTGTAGCAACATATGGATATGAGTCGTGAACTATCTCCCATCTTCCCTGTAGCAACATACAGATGTGAGTCATGAACTATCTCCCATCTTCCCTGTAGCAACATACGGATGTGAGTCGTGAACTATCTCCCATCTTCCCTGTAGCAACATACAGATGTGAGTCGTGGACTATCTCCCATCTTCCCTGTAGCAACATACAGATGTGAGTCATGGACTATCTCCCATCTTCAGTCATTGAGTGGCCTATACAAATATGTGCCAGCATCATAGACCATGTCTGCTTCAGGAAGGATAAATTTTTTTTACTTTATAGTATCCACATATAAGTATGACCGCCAAGAAAAATTATAAACAGCATAATCATGCAGCACTGTGCTACAAGTACTAAGCACTTGGACATTATCAAAGGCTAACGTATTTAAAAATACCACCTGTCAAATGAGATGTCTGAGGAAAGCCACCAATGTCGCCATCTGAGACAAAATGAGAAATGAAACTGTCTGAAAGACTGTGTGAACAACACCATGCACCAAATTCTTTGAGAAATAGAAGATCAAATGGTTTGATTGTCTTGTTAGAATTTAGCCACATTAACTACAAGCACAGGCACTACACGCTTGTCATCAGTTCCCCACCAAGTGGTGCAGAACCGGCCAGTCTGTCTGCCTGCTCATTTCCCAGAACATCAACACCATATTGATGATGATGATGATAGTATCGTTATGATTTACAGATCTCAGCTCCTGAATAAATACACCAATAAATCATCATGTGCCATGCTGGTAAATGTAGGACACATGTTTCACAATATTACACAACACCAGAAAGTCAGATCAGGTCAGTGTTCTTTTCTCACCCCATCTATATCACAAAGCCATCCAGGTATTCATCTCTTTACCTTCCTCTTGCTTTCTTTCCAGTGGTCTCATCAGTTGCTTTCAGTGTCTCAGTCCATTCCTTTTCATTTCCAATAAAGTTAGTTGCGTATCCTTTACAGGACTTTGCAGAACCAATCCCTAGCAATGTGTGGCTGTTTGTGATTTTACTAGGCAGTTTTGCATTCAGTACTCTGCCATTGCTTTCTGATCTCCTGGTGCTCCATACCTTTGTTGCAATGACCTGCAGCTGGAATTGAACTGTACATTTTGATATTACAAAGCATGTTCACAACCCCTAAGCCACAGACACAGACGTTTTTAATAATTGTTTTTTCCAATGTCTAAGAATTTTACTTTTGCAAAATAAATCAGAAGGAGTGACATATTATTTTATGTATTTACCCACATACCATATACAGACAAGAGGCCCATTCACAGTGTTGTTTGAAGGCGTCAGAGGGATCAGCTATGAAGGAGACATTGGTTTAGATGACATTCAGACATTGACTGGTACCTGCAGTAAGTACAGTTCTTATTTTGTTTAATAGGTACTTATTTAAAATGGAAAGTCAACATCAGGGAAACTCTAAAACAGTACAGTGTATTTATGGTCATGGACCCACAGAAGAGCAAGACGTTTCATCTCCCTTGATACTTAAAGTGGTAAAGAGGAAGTGAAGATGAAGAACTGTTTAATATGGTTGTACACTGTTGAAATAGTTACAACAAATTATGGAGCTGAAGCACCTGAAGTAACATTGGCATTCATACCCCGAGACATCCTTGGGTCAGAGATTCACATAGTCTTGCTAAACGCGTACTCAGTGAATTTATTTACTGGTGCCTGCACTTAATAGAGAAAATTAAGTGGTTTGACATAATCAATAATATTGGGCTTTCAGGATGAACTAAACAAATAGAAGTGATTCAAGATGTAAGGAAAAGATGCTAATGCTGGATAGAGACACACTGAGAAAACCTAATGATAATCTAACTAGTATGTCCTTGTACCAGAATCCCTTGGGCCAAATTAAAAACCCACATGGAAAACATGGTTGTATTAGAGACTGAGGTAGAACATGTATGGACGGACTTGGCAACAACAACAAGAAAACGGGGGTTGACTGGGCATAAAGTTAAAGTTAAAGTCAAGAGGATCAACTTCATTTGACCAGGTTTAATCCCATATGGCTCGGTCCCTTTTCACAGAATGGCCAACAGGCTGCTGAGAGCTTTGCACAAAGCCTGAACTCTTTAGCTCCAGTGGCAATCTCCAGGCATCTCTGTAAAAATTGCACTTAAGACATAAATGGCACAGCCAAGAAACAAACCCATGAATGAGTTGGTTGGTTGCTTATTTTGCACTGAGGGGTTAAGGGTAAAAGAAAGAGGTGTGTGTGTGTGGAAAGACTATACTATGACCTAGTGTATGACATAGCTAATGACTTCATTATCCTATAGGAATAGCCATCATATTAGTGTCATGACCTTTAATTTGAATATGTAATGGTATGTTAATGAATAAATGAAAAATATAATAATCAAAATACTATAATGTCTACAGGAAGTCTTTAAAAGAAAACATGCATTTAGACAGTTTGCAAAGATTTTTAGTCAAACTAAACCAGGCACTTCAGAATGTTGAAACGTGTTCACAGTGCCTAAGCCACAGATGCTGACATATAGGTCAGAACAATGAAATCAACTAAGTCATCCCACAGAAATTCTGAGTAGGAGATTTGATCACATGTGTGATTGTCCAAAAGCAGCATCATCATCATAAAGTGCCTTACCACCTTGAATGAGTGCTTATGCTTCTTCACATCTTGCAGTCTCCATCATGTTTCACTTCATCTGCTGACACCTTTTCCTGCCATGACAAAAAGTAAAAGTAAAGGACCCTTTATAGACCATATGGCACTTGGTGGGTGATGTAGTCAGCATCATGCCAGCCGCTTTTACTTCCCAGAACTGTACCTGGTACCCACTCATGGCTGGGTTGACCTGGGAGCCAAGGTCATTTAAAAAAAAAAGTTCCATCAGAACCCGAACCCACAACCTTATCCGCAGGCGAGCATCTAGTTGCTAGACCATAGCGACACCCATGCCATGACAAAAGGCTACAAAAATCTTCCTTCATTGTTTTCCTTTGTCTCTTTTCCCATAAATCTTTCTGGTTATTACATGATCCAGTTTTTTTATCTTCTCATAATGTAGCAAACAAATTATGATGACCTTTTTCTGACGTTTGAAATAATCTATCAGTCAGCAAAACTCATTTTGGCTGTACAAGAGATGTGAAGTCTGCGACTTCAGGTGCAAACATGCAGTGATGAAAAAACATTTAGATAATTCAGAATCATGCTTTGAATATTTATAGCAGAATAGCTGATATTTCACTGATTTCAGGCTCTGATGATACTGCTGACCGCTGCGATTTTGAGACAGACATGTGCGGATACGTAGCTGAAACAGTTATTCCCTGGGTGCGACGGCAGGGACTAACGCCCACTGCTAACACGGGCCCAACATATGATCATACCTACCAGACTGTACAAGGTGACTTTGTTTTTGCTATATTGTTATCCACATTGCTGGAGCTAACATAGTGCACTTTTCTTTCAACAAATTAGTATGGGTTTTTTGTCACAGGCAGTTGTTACGTCAGCACCCTCTTGTCTACAAATTTGTTTTTTTTAACTTAGCTCTTTCAGTCATAAATTTTAAATACTGCATCATTTTATAACCTAGTGTGTGCACTTTGGAGAAACAACTGTTGGCTTCTACAGGTGTAGTTAATTTTATAGTTGTAAACCCCATTTTTACAAATAATATGATCAGGATGGCATACTTTCTTTGACTGTAAGGTAGTATAACTGTGATCTCACACTGGGGATAGTGTGGCTTCAAGGGAACAGTGTCACCTTTGGCTAAGACAAGTCTAGTTCAATTCATGGTGTAAACTTGTGTTTTACAGAACTGATCAGGATGCCATACTTTCTCCTGACTGTGGGTTTGTGTATCTGTTATTTCACAGTGTGCATCCTAAATATGACCCTGAATATAACCATCTGGTGGGGATTCAAGGGTATAGGGTCACTTTTTACTAATACAGGTCTAATTCATTTCATGGTATATAATGAATTTTTACAAAAATGTGATCTCAATGGCATATTTCCCCCCTGACTAGGAGGTAGTGTAACTGTTATATAGCTTCTCAGAAAAGGGTCACTAATTACACATAGACAGACAAAACAGAAACATAACTCTTAAACAATTTTATTTTAGTTAACATGTGAAAAAGCAAAATGAAACATTAATAACCTGCAAAGCAATTTTATTTTTATTAAAATCTGGAAAGCAAAACCTCCTGTTTTCATAGACCAGTCATCACCAGTGGGTGGTGATGTCAATATCACTCTGCCACCTTCACTCTCTCTAGACATTTCCTGATACTCGTTTCAGCTTTGGTTAACCTACAAGTTTGTCAGGGTTAGTGAAAAATGATATGGTAGAAAACTGGAGTACATTATGGTGGCAGGAAAGTTAAAGGGAAAAAAAGGGCAGAAAGAGAAAGAAACTAATCAAGAAAATGCTGGACAGTTTGACAGCATGGCATGGAAGGTCATCTATATCGGTACATGACAAAGAAAACTGTGGATAGACATGACTACCAGCACTGTAAGGTTTGGACTATAAAGAAAAACAAAAACAAAAACCTGAGAATGCTCAAGTGGTCACAAAGAAATAGTGCTGATGGAAATCCAAACCTGTGATCAACCAGTCTGACAGGCAAGTGTGCTAACCACTGCAGTGTCTCACCTCCCTCATTTCACATTAAGATTTTCCATGACTGTTGTATTTCTTAGGTCTTTAGATTCCAGGATATGCAAGGCATGATGAAGTCTCTTCTCTTTCAGTACCAAACATAGTGTAATGTATTCTGTCACATTTTACATGAGCTTTAGCTGAGAGTAATCTTCCACAACCTCATTCACCACACAGCTACAAGGAAACCAAAACAGCAGTCTTTCAAGCGGGAGTGGAGAAGGCAGAATGGAGATTACAGACCAGAGAGTGACAGCATAACAAACTCAACAGGAAAAAACAAACAATTTTTAGACTTCGGACTGGACACTGTGGTCTTTGAGCACACCTGAATAGGATAGGCATAAAATAATCTACCGCCTGTGATTGTGGAGAAGAAAGACAGACCCCTGGGCACACACTACAGTACTGCCCTTACCTCTCCTAGCAAAGACTGTGGATCTGGCCCATGGGGAGCCACATTGAAAGAGAAGCTATGGGAGACCGGTGGCGACCTTAAACGCACAATCCTATTTGTGACCCAGACGGGACTCAATGTTTAGCCTGACTAATGTCGAACACAGAAGAAGAAGAAGAACATGAGCTTTACTGGCGCTATCTTAACAGGAACTCTTCTCTTGCTGCTGAAGTTGGGAATGAGCACTTATGGGAGTGTCCTGAGTGTGGTGATGTGGATTCCTAATTCAACATTCAACATTCGACATAACAATTTACATTTTATCAGACAGAGCTTATTGAAAATCTGGCTTCCATGGTGTCCATTTCCACAATATATCCAACCTTTTTATGAACCTTTCATTAATTATTTGTCATAGTGGTTATATTATCTCCTTGTTACCATTTTCTGCAACACCTGTTGGCACTGAAAGAGTTGAACTGTGGCTGTTTATTTGACCATGCTGAAATATATCTTTTCAATTGCAGGACATTATGCTTATGCTGAAGCCTCAAGCCCTGCCATGCCTGGACAGAAAATCAGAATGCTAAGCCGCAGTCGTGATGCAACAACCGGCCAGTGTGTCTCATACTACTACAACATGAATGGCTACCAAATAGGCAGTTTGAGTGTCCGAATGAGGACTGGTCCAAACAATGAGATAGTTCTTGCCACTCACACAGGCAACTTGGGAGACAAGTGGTACATGAATGAGGTCACAGCAACATCAACACTCCGGTGGCAAGTAAGTAGAGAAGCCATTTTCTATAATTTAAACATTAAAATTATCATTTCTGATTCTCCACCGGACACTTTTTAAAGAATTGCATGGGACAGAGAGGTGAAAATGATGGAAAATATTACTCAGTAATTACATTTAACTCTTTCAATCCCAGTCGGTTGTTATTTTAACTAATTCTTCCCTAGTTTAGAAGTAGTAAATACTTTTTTTTCACTAAGGAATTCAACAAAGACACTAAAAGACACAAGAAGTTAAACTACTAATCTAGACATTGAAGACCTATATAACACTGTCAACGATGCTTTGTGACAGAAGACAGCTGGTAAATTAAATTATCTTTAAAACGATCTAGAAAAGCACAGTGGGTTGTTGGCACTGATAGAGTTCAGGCTATCATATGTGATTTTATAACAATTTATACATCTGGCTGCTCAAGGCAGGCTGTTTACTCAGGCAGGGGATTAACTGCAAAGGTCTTCAGTGCATGGAGTTACCTTTACTTTGTTGTGTTTTAGTACTATCAATTGAGAATGCTGCTAAAGATAGGGGTAGAATGCATATGGGAATGTCCCAAATGCTATGATGTTGGTTCTCAAACTCACAACTTTATTTTGATTCTTTTTATATGTTGTCTATTAGATGGTGGTTCTGGTCACTGTAGCCGGATCTCTCATGAAATTCCAGCTTGAGTTTTGTGGAACGTTTTAACTCCCAGGCACTTGTAACTTCAAGATTATCTGTTACAAAGTGTTTATACTGTAATGGTCTCTGATTAACATGTGGTAAATATCTTGTTACTGAAAGGGTAACAAGATATTTGGAGTCATTCTGGGGTGTACACGAGACGCTGCAATTATGTGACGCATACTTGAAAAACCATCCATATGTGAGAGATTCATGGTTTACAGGCGAAAATGTACCTTAAAGTCGCAAAGGATAGGGATCACTGGCTGCTGAAGATGAGGACGGAGCATGCATGGGAATGCCCCGAGAACTGTGATGTCAATTCTTGACTCAACACAACTCAGTGTATTGATCACCTTCTGCATAGGCCTTAGGAGAAAGCAAGAAACAATGACTGAAAAGAGGCAGCTCTTGGATGGCAGAGGCAGAGGTCTTGATCAGAACTGTTTGTGCTACTGACAAGACAGCCCATGGTGAAGAATGGGTTACAATGCCATCCAGCAAAACAGACTTGCACAGAGTGATAGTCAGTCACCTTGAACTGAGGGTGCTGGGAATGGATAGAGCTGATCAATAAAAATTCACGCCCGGGTGACACCATAATATATACAAATGTGTCCGTAGTGAGAGGTAAGAAGAATGGGTGGCGTTTTTATTGCAGAGGTGAATAGACACTGCTTGAAAACAGAGAGCACTGCATCACTATATCTAGTATGAGAATAGAGGTGGAGGCTGTAACGACAACTTTCCGATAACTTGAGAGCAGCACAGCCTGACATGTTGTAATTGTAACAGACTCGAAGAGAATGCTTTTGAAAAATTGAAACTGATGTCCTGCATGCAGATTGGCTTCCATCACTTGATAAGACCTAGATCGAGAGCAAATAATGTATTTTCTGTCCAGGATATACAAGTATGTGAGGTAACGAGCAGGCTGATAGATTAGCTGCTGTCACACCTCTGGGCAGTGAGCGACTGTATGATAAAGTGGATGTAGTGAAGGCTCGATGGGATCAGATTGACAGTGCGGAATAACAGATAGGGAATCCATGCACTGAAAGACTAATTCAAGGTGGGAGGGGGTGTGTGTGTGTAGAGGTTCTGAAAGACAGTCAACATTAAAGCAGAAACAGAGCCAGACTTTGAATCAGGCTGCAACTGTTTTAGCATGTCAACTCTTTGTTGGTTAATGAAGAAGGGGACAGAGCAGCTGTGGAAGTGTTCCCAGTGCAGTGATGTTAATTCTTTATTCATTCATTCATTCACCCTGAAAGAGTTAAAGACTGAAACTTTATTGTAATTTTTCCACCCTCAGCTTGTGTTTGAGTCTACAGTAGGATCAGGAACTCTAAGTGACATTGCAGTGGATGACATTGTCATCACGGATGGTACGTGTGGATCTTCTGAAGGCTCCTGTTCATTTGAGACTGACATGTGCGCCTGGATAGGTACATCCACAGGAAATAGCTGGGTCCAGACCAGCTTCAACACAGCTAAAACACCTCGACCATCTTCTGATCACACACTCAACACAAGAGATGGTAATTGTTAAATGTTGTTTTAACATTATTTACTGATGTTATGGTAATTGTTAAATGTTGTTTTAACATTATTTACTGATGTTATGGTAATTGTTAAATGTTGTTTTAACATTATTTACTGATGTTATGGTAATTGTTAAATGTTGTTTTAACATTATTTACTGATGTTATGGTAATTGTTAAATGTTGTTTTAACATTATTTACTGATGTTATGGTAATTGTTAAATGTTGTTTTAACATTATTTACTGATGTTATGGTAATTGTTAAATGTTGTTTTAACATTTTTTACTGATGTTATGGTAATTGTTAAATGTTGTTTTAACATT